ACAAAATTGTGCTGTTGAGGTGCGAAACATGCACACAAAAGGTGGAGGCGCTGGCCGAATCGACAACCTACCTTGGTATGTGGCAGCGTGTCGCTCTCGCAAGAAAAAAGGACGAGCTTGGATGGCTAAAAAAAAGCAAAAGCAAACGCAAAAAACAAAAAACAAAAATTCGAATGTCAGGGCACGCATCGCCGACCACATCACACCGCCCCCGGCAACATCGGCTTGCACGTACAGTAGCCCATGAAGGCCATGGCGCCGAACGCAAACACTTGGACGGAGAACTGGATGATGGAAATCATGTTGTAAATACCATCGGAAGTGTGTGGCTGATCATAAAAGATTGTGCCCAAGAGAATGTCCATGAAAATGACACGCAGAAAGCGCGCGGTCAAGTAGCTACGATCACGTCGCTTCTGCTCCCAGAATCGATCGCAGAGCACCAAAAAGTTGTGCCAAGCCGAGTTCACAAAGCGCACGGGTGTCCGGTTGAGCTCGTGTGGCTGAGCTTCTTGCGCGCCATCTTGGGATGACAGCAGGCGCTCCTGGGCCAGGGTCGATTTGCGATAGTTGTCTGCAAAGAAGGACGGGGTTACTTCCGGTCCTTCGACGGTCTTGTGGGCTTTGCCCGTGCCAGGACCCGTCACATTGACTGTGTCGAAAGGAGACGGTGTTGACAAGTACCACAAGCACGCGACACACGTTTTCAAAAACCACCGATCAGTCCATGCAACGCAACCAAAGTTCAAGGCACTAAAAAGTGAACAAAACAAAGCCTTACTAATATAGTCAGCAGGATTGGTGCCCACGACATACTTGAAACCCAAGTTTTGAAAGTACGGAATGGCCTCGCGAATTTCGCCCAAATAGACAACCTCGCCGGCAACGAGCAACAAGAGTCGGTTGAACAGGTTGAAGACATCGGTGCTTGGCTGATGGATGGTGCACACAATGCTGCGGCCGCGGTCTGCAATCCTGCGCACGACACTCATGACTTCGAACGAAGTGGCCGAGTCGAGGCCAGTGGTTGGCTCGTCAAGGAAGAGCACGCGACAGTCCGTGATCAACTCGATACCAATGTTGACGCGCTTTGCCTGGCCGCCCGAAATGCCGCGAACGGTGACGCTTCCGATGATCGTGTCGGCGCAGGTCTCCAAACCAAGTTCTGAGATGACAACGGAAACCTAGCCAAAAGAGAGAGAGAGAGAGAGAGAGAGAGAGAGAGAGAGAGAGAGAGAGAGAGAAAGAAAAAGAGGCATGGGACATTTCACAGCAACAGCAAGTTCAAGTCGTTGAGCGAGTGAGGTGGGGTTGCATTGGGCAATGATGATGAAAAAAGGAGAAAAAAAAAAAACAAAGCACAATTCCATCTACAAACAATGACAACACGCATACCCGATTTTCTCGCTGCTCGGCGGAGGTCGAGGCCGGGAGACGAAGACGCGCAGTGTACGTGAGGAGCTCGCGCACAGTGAGAGTGCCCAGAAGCGTGTCGGTTTGCTCGACATACCCAATCATGCGCTTGAGCTCCTTGGACATGGGTCGGCCGTTGTACTGGAGCTCGCCTTCAATGATGCCAGACTCCTTGCGGCCGGCCAGGACATCGAGCAGGGTGGATTTGCCCGCGCCTGACGGGCCCATCAGCGCTGTGAGGGTGCCTGGGCGAATGACGCCCGAAACCTCCTTGAGCAGCGTCTTCTTGGTGACTTCCGGCTTTGGGAATCCTCGCAGCGACAGGCCCTTGAGCTTTTCCAGCAGGGTGAGCTTGCGAGCGGGCACAGTGACCGTGTACGAGACGTTAACGAATCTGCGGATGGAAGATCAGGTTGCGACACAGTGAGTTGTCTCAGCCGTGTTCTTTTTGTTTCATTGGTCGCCTTTGATAGTTTTTTTTTCTTCTGACTTGCGTGGACGCGGACAGCAATGTTGACTGCGCTGGCACACAAACCTCAATGGACCAAACAATTCAAAACCAAACGTTCGCTCGTTCGATTTGTCGAATGGGTCGTCGATCCCACTCACTCAGAGCGCAAGCACGAATCCCCCAGACAAGTCCAAGAGCAAGCAGGGGTGGAACGGCAGGCCAAAAACTTACGAGACCACGACTGGCTCGTCATCGTCGGACGTGAGGTGGACGGCCAGCGAACCAGAGTCCGAAGCCGACGCGGCGGGATGCGAATCGGCGGGCTTGGCGTGGTGTATCTCGGCGCCCGCAACAACGCCAGCCCCGTTGGGCTTTGTGCCTGTGCCTGTGCCTGTGCCTGTGCCTGTGCCTGCGTCTGTGCCTGCGTCTGTGACTGTGCTCGTGCTGGTGTCCACGTCGTGGCTGCTGCGGGTGGCGGTCGCAAACGACGTGCGCATCTCGTCCAGCGACGAACTCGGCGCGGTTCCCAGCGAATTCCCGCCAGCTCCTGCTCCTGCTCCTGCTCCTGCTCCTGCTCCAGCCGAAGCTCCGGTGGTAGAGTCGTTGCCACTCTGCGCGGAATGTCCCTGCGCAATCGGCGTCAGCTCAATGTCGCTCATCATCGACAAACTCGAACGATGGGAACCGAGATTAAAAAAAAAAAAAAAAAAAAAAAGGACTGGGATTTTTTTTTTTTCGTTTTTTTTTTTTTTTTCGTTTTTTTTTTTTTTTTTCGTTTTTTTCCTTTGGGTTTGTGGGAAATGCATTCACGTTCAATTCACAATTCACAGTGGCGGCGGTACTGCGATTCACCAAACAAGCAATGCCGATATAAATCCTCCTTCAGGATTTTGTTGCAGAGGGGGGGTGGTGGGAGAGATGTGGCCAAAGCAGGGACTGACGCATTCGAAGGGACGGGGGGAACTTTGGAAGAAGCATCCGACGTGGGTGCACCCGAGCGCTCGGCAGCCAAGGCACAATTCACAAGGACGTGCTCGGAGCTGAAATTAGCTTTTGAGATCTTGTCGAGTGCGAACATGTCTTTTGGGGAACTTTTAACATTTAGAAGCAAGGTTTGTGTGGGGGAAAAACTCTTATTTATGTGGGGAAGATTTATAATTCCCACTGAAGAAAGAAAAAATACACACCAACACAGAGAAGAAGCACGAAATTCTCATGTCGTCAAAAAGGAGAAGGAGGGGGGGGGGAGCACAAAGAATATAAAAACAAAAATGAAAAAACAGGCAAATCAAAGACAGAATGGTGCAGTCAACAAAAAGACAAAAAAAAAACTAGAAAGCATGCAAGCTTGGACTCGAACAAGAACCACCCAGCAGCGAGCTCATCACTCGAGCTCAACGTCGTGCGTCTGCGAGGCAAACGACAAGAAGATCTGCTCGAGACTCGTTTGGGAGAGCGAGTAATCAATCAATTGGAGCGAGGCGCGGTTTTCTTCCATTGCACCGAAAACGCTGGCGAGCTTGAGGTTTTGAGCGCTGACCTCGTAGCGGACCATGCCGTTGTGTTCCTCGATGAACTTGCAGCCGCCCTCGCCAAACGTGTTGGTCACGAACGTCTTGACAGGAGCAGTGTCGGCGCGGGGATTGATCTTGATCATCAAATCATAGCCGGTGCCGTAGCGGGACTTGAGGTGCTGGGGAGAGCCCAGGCAACGGAACTTGCCACCGACCATGATGCCAAGACGCGTACACAAGGCCTCGCACTCTTCCATCGAATGAGAGGTGAGCACAATGCAGCGGTTGTCTGTCATAATGTTGGAAATGACATTCCACAGGAAGCGGCGGGCCTTGGGATCCATGCCGGTCGTCGGCTCGTCGAGGAAGATGATCGGCGGGTCGCCAATCAGCGCCACGGCGGTGGACAGCTTGCGCTTGTTGCCGCCAGAGTATGTGCCGCACGGGCGCTCTGCAAAGCGAGTCAGCTCGAGCTTGTCCACCCAGGCCTTCACGATGCGAGGGATGTCGCGTTCGTCCAAACCACGCAGACGCGCGTACAGCGAGAGGACCTCGGTGCCGGTCAGATTGTCGAGAATACCATCAAACTGCGGGCAGTAGCCAATGCGACGACGCGCATCCAGAATGTCAGACAGAATCGAGTAGCCAGTCAGGAAGGCGTCGCCAGAGGTCACGCCGAGCTCGCCAGTCAGCATCTTGAAGGTGGTCGTCTTGCCGGCGCCGTTCACGCCAAGGAGGCCAAAGCACTGGTTCTTGGGGATACCGACAGTAAGACCGTCGACCGCAACCTTGCTACGCCCGTGCGACGCAGGGTAGACCTTGGAAAGATCCATGATACGAATAACATCGCCGTTCGCAGAATTGCCCTCGAGGACGCGCTTGCGCTCGGCAAGCACGTCTTCGTCTTCCTTGGCAGACAGCAGCTGCATCGTGTCGCCGTTGTTGGCCTGCGCGAGCCGCTCTTGCTTTTCGCGACGAGCAATGAGCTTCTTGCGCTGACGCTGTGCGCGGATGCCATCAAACATGAACACGCGGTACTCAATGGCCAGCAGCATGAGGAAGAAGAAGATGCCCATAAAGAACATAAAGACAATGTTGCGGCCAGCGACGTTCCAGTCGAGCGGGTTTAGCTTTGGCTGGAAGCCACCAGATTCAATGGACAGGGCAGAGTTGTAACCAACATCCATCGTGCCTCGACCGAACGCGTAAATGGGGAAGACGAGGAAGAGCCACTTCAAAACGTCGTTGACGTCTTCAGCCGTCTCCAGGATTTCGAGAATCCACGTCGTAATCACGCAGCCGAGACCGAGAATAATGTTGACGAGAATCAGCACAACGTACGCAGTCGTGGTCGTGTTGAACAGGAAGCTCACGCAGTAGACAAACGGAATGACCGCCCAGCCGTAGAACAGGAAGAGCATGGCAATGCCTCCAAAGCTGTCGCCAGTGTACTGAGGCATGTTGAAGACGGCCAAGACCACCCAGATGATGACCACAGGCACGCAAAAGTTGATCAAATCCCAGAGGAAGGAGCCAAGCCAGTAGGAGAGGAGATCAGCACCAGCAAGGACTTGGAGGTGCTTGGCATCCACAATGCGCTCTTGCACAATCAGCGAGACGAACGAACCAGCCAGGAAGGACATGCCAAAGATCAGCTCGATCGCAACAGTGAATTCAATGCCTGCCTTGCGCGTGTTCAGGTCCTGCTCCTGCGGGGTGGGTGGCAACGGCACGTTGCGGGCACGGATGGTGCGGCCGGGAACGGCGGCTGTCAACGCAGCGCTGTCGTACATGTTGACAAGGGCGGGCAAGATGTGAATCGCATCGGGCACGAAATGCAGCACGCCCGTCACGTTGCTGACGCCGACAAAGACCGAGATGGAGCCAACACTGAGGAAGCGGTTGCGAACTTCATTGTACGATCCGAGCAGGGCTGCCGTCATGTTGCTGGTCGGAGACCAAATGCCACCCAAGGCACCAACAGTCGTGTCCAGTTCAGTGATAAAGTCGACGTTGAGCGGATTGCTGGGATCCGAGCTGTTAAAGTACACATTCGCCTCAGCAGTCGAAGGGAGCACGGACGCCATGTTAAAGTTGATTGCAGGCTTCGTGCCCGCGCTCGGGATGGACTTGCCGATACCCATGGCAAGAATGGCAAAGACGACGGGAACGAGCAGTTGGGAGATGATGGCGCGCTTGTCGCGGCGAGAGTGGTTGACGCGCTTCAAGAACATGGCCTTGAGGTGCTGAACGCGAAGTGCAGGTCCAGTGATGAGCGGGTGGCGCGGGCGCGTATCGGCATCGACAGCAGAGAAATCAATGGTGGAATGTCCGGCGGATGCGGCGGAGAGATGTGCGTGGGAAGCATCAGTGCCAAGCGGGGCCATGGAGGATGGCAGCGAGTGAGGGCCGCTGTGCTCTTCCTCCTCGCGATCGTGGGCGCTCTCTTGCTTGTCAGCGTCGTGTCCAACACGCAAAAACACTTCTTCCATGGTGGTGACGGACACACCGTACGTCGAAATGCCAATCTTTTCCTTGTTGTCGTCCAGGGCGTTGAAGAGGGCTGGGAAGGAGGTTGCGGACTCGCGCGGCAGGATGAAGCTGAGCTCGGTACCAACATCATTTTCGACACGGGCGTGCGGAATGTACGACTGCACAAGCTTGGTCACAGCAGCAGAGTCGCAGTGGGGCTCCTTGGCGGCAATCATGTGGTAGCCAACACCGTAGCGAGCCTTCAGGAAGAGCGACGAGCCAACGCACTGAACACGGCCATGCGCCATGATCGCAACGCGATCACCAAGCAGATCGGCCTCGTCCATAAAGTGAGTCGTGAGAATGATCGTGCGGCCCTTCTTGTGCTTGAGAATGAGCTCCCAGGTCGCGCGGCGGGCATGAGGGTCCATGCCGGCAGTCGGCTCGTCGAGCATGACAATCTTGGATCCACCCACAAACGCGATGGCGACGGACAGACGACGCTTCATGCCGCCAGAGAGCGTGCGCGCAGGCTCGTTGCGCTTGTCGGTCAGGTTGAGGTCGGTAATCATCGAGTCCACTTCGGCCTCAACGGCACTCTCGTCCAAGCCTTTGACGCGGCAGAAGAAGCGCAAGTGCTCGGCCACAGTCAGGTTATCAAACAAGACGTCAAACTGAGGGCACAGGCCAAGCGAACGGCGAACGCCCTCAATGTCCGTAACAACAGAGCAGCCGCCGACAAAGGCATCGCCAGAGGACGGCGCGTACAAGCCGGTGAGAATCGACATGAGCGTGGTCTTGCCAGCGCCATTGTGGCCGAGCAGGGAGGTGACCTGGTTCTCGTACATGGTGACGGAGAGACCATCGATGGCCAGCTTTTTGCCTTCATCAAAGACCTTGACAAGATTGCGGGCGTCAATGCCGGGAACGAGGCCTTCCGGGGCAGGCTCAATGGCATCGATCGAGCCATCATCGGTGCGTTTGGTAGCCGAGGCGTGTACAACAGTCTGGCGTCCAGTCCAGTAGGAGGCGTGAAGGAAAAAGTGCCAGGGCTTGGGCACACCGTAGCGGCCAGGGCGCACGTTGTCGAGGTACCAAGTGAGCACGAGGTAGAGCAGCGTGTCAATCGCAAACATGCCAAACACATCCGCCATGCAGAAAGAGTCGGTCGTTGAGGCAGACTCGTTCACGTTGCTCCAGGTCGCGCCAATGCCACGCTCTTCCCATTGCGAAATGGTCTTGCCGCCAATGCCGATCGCAGAAGGCACGAGAAGCGAAATGCCCATCTTGGCAGTGCGCGTGAGATCATCGTAGCGCTCGGGATCAGCGACGAACATGTACGGAACGTAGAGAATAAAGTACAGAACGCCAGAAGCGGCCGAAGCGACGTTGGCACGCGAGAAGAAGGTGGACACCAAAAAGCAGTAGGCCAGCGTGGACGTGCCGGCCATCAGGAAGAAGATGAACATGAGGCCGCCGTCAGAGTTTTCGGTAATGTTCGCGCCCTTGCAAATGATGGTCATGAAAATGACCGAGATGAACATGAAGCCAAAGGACGTGATTGCCCAGGCAGCCCAGCCGGTGCGGAGAGAGATGCCCATCATGCGCAAAGCCTCGCGAAGGCGGCGCTCCTTTTCGGTGACAATGTCCTTGACGACCATCGAGGCCGTGTAAATCCAAGACAAGACCATGAACAGGGAAAGGAAGAAGCCGATGGAGCGACCAAACCGGTTGTCCTCGTACTGCGGGTACGGGTATTGCTGAATGTTCAGAGGCATGTTGGTGCCCGCGCCAAGCGACAGGAACTGAATGATGGCATTGTCCAGCGAAGCTTGGACAGTCAAAAAGCCGCTCCTGTAGTAAACGACCTCTTCCCAAGGGCCGTTCGCGCCGCCGACGGGTCCCGGAAGCGTGCGATCAGTGTCAGGGGTGCATTCAGAGCACATGGAGATTGAGTATGAGATGCCAGCCTTGAAGGAGCCGTCGGGATTCAGGTCGTCAAAGGTGATGGAGGCGCCGATTTTGGAACCTAGTACGTCTCGGGCGACATCGACCATCGCCGCATAATTTGGGAACGGTAGGAAGATGTTGTAGTTTTGCAAACTTGGCGGCAACGTCGGTGTCAAGCTGGCATTCCAAGAAGCCATGAGAGCGTCGGCTGTGTTGGTTCAAAGCAGGAGTTGAAAAGGGGGTGGGGCGAGAGAGAAACAAACGAAAAAAAAAATGCAAGAGTCAGTACGTGATTAGCAAGCAGAAAGTCGACAAAAAATAATCAAAACGGCCTTACTATAAGTGTTGGAAGGGGCATAGGCAATTCGGATTTGTTGGCCACCAGCACCAAGGAAGGTCAAGAGCGCAGGGAGGCCAATGGTGTTGACGGGGAAGTGCTCTGCACGAAACGAAACCATCGGGAAAGTGAGCCTTTTTGCGAATGGTGTTGGTAAAACCCCACAGCACTCAGACATTGAACAAATGCAACAAACCTTCGGGAATGACCTCATTGGTCAAGGCTTGACGAACACCGGCAGCGATGGCAAAGAAGACGATCGGGACGAGGATTTCAAAGATGCAGCCGCATCGTCGGTACTTGAGCGTGAGATTCTTGCGAATCAGCAATTCAAGATGCGACTTGACCATGGTTTTGAGTGGAGGGTTGGAGGGTTGGGGATTCCAGCTAGCTCCAGACGATTGCAGCGAGTGACGGACGATCGAAACAGGGAATTGGTTGTTTTTGGGTGTTTTTGAAGTTGATCTGCCAATCCGTGATACGACAAACAAGCGATGAAACAATGATTCTTGGTTAGCGAAAAAGGTGTTTTTCCAACTGCTCAGATCGAGTGATAGTAGGATGGGGGGGGGTTGGAATGTGCGCGCGCTCTTTGTGTTGTGATGGAATGGGAAACAAACAGCCAGACAGACAGACAGACAGACAGACGGGATATGGATTTTGCTTGTTGTCTGGCAATGGTCATGATAGAGCGATCAGCAGTAGATAGAAAGAAAGAGAGAGAATGAGAGATGTGTGGGGTTGGGGTGCCATTGCGTGGGAGTGAGGAAGCCAAGGCGGGAGAAGCGTGATTGGTTGCAGCTGTCGTCCTCACTCGTCCTCCTCGCGTCAGAGTGCAAGCCAAGCCCGGTGTGCCTTGTTGGCCTCTGCTTTTCTCTCTCTCTCTCTCTCTCTCTCTCTCTCTCTCTTCCTCCTTTCTTGCCCCGGTCGGCCTCCTTCGTTTGCGTAACGTGCTTCGACGGAACTGACGCCTCAGTGCTCTGAACTCGTTCACTGGACCGCCTTCGCTTCTTCCATCATGCGGCACTCGGCGACTGGCCGTTGGAACAGCTTTTGCTCATCCTGCCCCCTTTTGCACTGCTGCTCTGCTCTGACTCTGGTGGTGGTGGTGGTGGTGGTGGTGGGGCGTGATGCGTTTCGATGGAGGTCGACTTGGCGAATCCAATGCAGTTGGCGCGCGTTGTTGCTTCCTTCCACACCCCTTTGCAGACAAGCACCGCGAGTGTCTCTCTTCGCTTGTCTCACTCTGCTGCATGGGTTGGACGACTGCAGCGCGTTCTCTTTTGCAGCGTGGTTGCCAGCAGCGCGGGGACTCGAGGCGCCGAAATTAAAAAAATCCAAAAAATAAAAATAAAAAATAAAAATAAAATAAAATAAAAATAAAATAAAAACGTTGCGGTTTCGGCTCTTAAAGTCGCTCGCTCGCTCACACTCTCGTGCTCGCCACAGCCAGACTGCCGCGCTGCCTCCCATTTCGACGGGCGCGTGCTTAGAAGGAGAGGGAAGACCTGCATCAAACGCGAGGACGCCACCCGAGTCCCCGTCGTTGCGCAGTTGCAGAACGAGCGAGAGTGACACACAAGAAACGAGCTCTCAAACCGCCCAAAAAAAAAAATCAATTCGGCTTTTGGCGTTTGGCTTGGGGAAATCCCCCAAAAGCAAAAATCAAGCAAAAGGAAGGAAGAAAATCGTTCCACAGTTTGGTTGGTTGTTGGCCTCAACCTTCGCTCAGGACAGCGGTGGGGTGAGGTTGTGCAATAACGAGACAGAGGGATGAAGATCAGATAAAGATGATGATGAAGGTGATGAAAGTGAAATCGAGTGATGGTCGCTTACAGATTGAAGAAAAGAAAAAGAAAAAGAAAGAAAGAAACGAAAGAAACGAAAAGAACAAAGAGTGAGGTGGGCGAAAACGGGCGTTCAGCCGACTTGTTTAAAAACCATCCGAAAAATAACCATAACAATTGGGTGAAAAAATAAAATAAAAAGACAAGAAAACCACAACAAATGCCCAAATGGAGGAAGCGAAACAAGAAAAAAGCAGGGTGGTGAGAAGCAACGGGGGAACAAGTGGGCTTTGATGACGAAAGGCTCGATCAACCAACCCACACACCACACCGCTAGTCGAGCATTCCATCTCACTGCTCGCTTCACACCTCATCGCACCACAGACTCGAGATCACACAATCGTACTGTACAGTATGGAGATGACGCCTGTGGAAAAGCCATTTGCCAAACGGATGCAGAGAGGGGAAACAAGACACATGTTTACTGATTGTAAATGTAAATCTCGAATGGACAACTACAAAAAAAAAATCACGGAGAACACATGCAGGTAGGGAGGAAGAAACTCCCTAACGTGTGACAAGAACACTTAAAAAAAAAATCAAACCGCAAAATACAAGAAGAAGAAGAAGAAAATTTGACTCGAGTCTGGAGGACGGGAGAAAATTGAAAATCAAAGTGATGGATTGCATCTTTTCGACCAGGAAAGATCTCGTGACACTCTTTCTCCAAGCTTGGAGACATACGAGTGGTCGCTGAAGACCCGTAACGAAGATCGTAAGTCGAACGACGGCAGGAATAGGGTTCTAACGAAAGGAAGGGAAAGGGAAGGAAGAATGGAAGCAAAAATCTCAATGGCCAATCATGCGTTCGTGCTGCGCAAGCATGCCATCGAGCAAGCTCTCCTGTCAACCCAAGGTCCACACACACATCCACACAAAGGAAGAGCAGCGTGCACATCAGTGAGTTATCCAAACCAGTGAAACGCCAACCATCACGGTATTCAACAGAAACAAGAAGCAAAACGCGCCGAGAAAAAGCAAAGGCACTAAACGACCAACGCCCAACTCACCTCCTCAAACACAAACAGGCTGGACTCGTTCAAAGCCTTGTGCTTGACAAGACCGCCAATCAGAGACAGCGCGGTTCGGTGCTTCTCTTCGCCGGGGAGCACGAGCGCACGAAGGTACGCCGGGCCAAGAAGGCTCTTCTCGACAAACTTGCGTGCGTCCTTGCGCGTTTCAAGACGCACATTCGCCATGAGCCAGTTGACAAGCTCGTCACCTGCAAGCACACACAAAGAGGAGGCATGAGGAATGTATGACAAGCGGATTTTAAACGTTCAATAAAAGCAACAAGCGAACGAGCAAAAGACCGAAACGCTCCTTTACCTCGAAGAGAAGGAGGCAGATCTGCCGACAACCAGGGCCGCTCCTTGATTTCAACGCCAGTGTCGGGATCGAGCAGCGCACGGACAATCGCAGGAACGTTGCGAGGATCGAGGGGGGTTCGGCGGAAAGGGTAGACGATGGCCGCTTCGTTGGCGAGATCCAAGTTGAAGCCGGGCGTCGGAGATGGAGCGCGAGACGATGCCGCGGACGTGGCAGTCGAGTTGCCCAGCGAGAATGGGACGTCGTACTGGCGTGGCGACAGCGGTGGCGATAGTGCGGGCAGCATGGAGGGAGAGGCCATGGGAGACAGGACTGGCGATGTGAAGGGCGAGGCTCCCAACGGCGTCATGGCAGGCGTCATGCCGGGCGATCGGGGAGGAAGTGGCGGGGCTTTGCATGCAGCCACAGTAAGCGTTGCCTCGCTCTGCTGCTGATGATGATGATGATGTTGGTGATGATGATGATGATGATGATGATGCTGCTCCTGGTGATGGCCTGGAACAGAGCTGGACGGGCGAGAGGACAGTATGCCGCGCACTGTGCTCAGCTTGTTCGAGATGCCGTGTGTGAACGAAGCAAAACGGTTGGCAGGAGGAGGTGACAAGGATCGCGTGGAAAATGCAGGCGGCGCTGTCTCGTCGGGCGATGCCCAGGTGGCAGTGTAAGGTGGCGGTGGTGCAGGCAGTGCTGCGCGAGCTTGCGGACTGACGATGAGCGGCATGATGGGATTGGGGTTTGGCGCAACAACAAGGCTGTCGTCGTCAGCAGCTGCGAGTGGTACGATGGGATTGGGGTTTGGTGCCACCAGGTCGTCATCGTCACCGTGGCGGTCATTCAAGTACTGATTGAGAAGGGAAGTCACTTCGTGGTACTCACTGGATTGGCGGTCGGAAGGGGCCATGTTCTTCTTGTCGCTGGGCGTGGATTCGTTCGAAGGGGGTGATGCGCACTGACGATCATGCTGCTGCGGAATGGCGTCGCACACGGTGGCGTAGAGGTTGGCCTCATCTTCAACATCATTGTTGCGGCTGGCGACGACTTGCGAGGGCCGCATCACAGTTGAGCCTGGTGTCTCGCGATCGGATCTTGAAGTTGGGGACGAGGAGGCATTATCGCGCACTGCTTGAACGAATGCCGGTGCGTGATGGTTTTTGCTTGAACTTGGAACGATGGGTGCCGATCGGAGCGGAAGCGGTGGAGGACGCTGTGCGTCGTGACTAGCTCCGCCGCTGAGTCCCGTCGGATGCGCGGACTGCATACCTGAGCCCGTGGCTGCTGCAGACGTCATCAGTCTGGCCTGAGCCTCGAATGTAAGAGCCGCGACGGGGCTGCCAGAATTGTGCGCGCGTTCGCTCAGATCGTGCGTCTCCTGCTGCTGCCGCTGCTGCTGTTGCCCGCCAGCATGCTGCAGCATTGAGGTTGATGCTTGGGGCGCCGGTTTGTTGCCAGGACGCGGCGGCAGTGCGCATTGCGGGGCTGCTGGCGGGCACGTGCCGGCAGGGTCGTCCAATGAGGCGGGCGTCTTGCGCATCGTGTGGGCCGGTTTCGGCGGTCGTGGCGGGGCTTCCTGCCGTTGATGCAGCGATGGCTGGGTGCTCCCAGGGGTGCTTGCGTTGGCCTCGTCTGAGCGACTTGGAGCATTAGCGGCGCTGGCCGCGTGGGCTGCAGCATACGCCGCATAAGCAGCGGCGGGTGTAGTGAGGCCGTGTGCGGCGTGTGGTTTGCTCACGAGGAGGGCGGCAGCCTCGTCCCTGCTTGTCACTGTATTCATGCCGCTGCCCATGCTTCGAGAGCCGCTGATCGTGTAAGGTGTGCTGTTATTGTTGTTGTTGTTGTTGCTGTTGTAGTCGAGCATTGTGAGGGTCGTCATGCTCGAGTTGAGCGATCGGCTTGTGCGGGGCGGTGCGAGCGGTGGGCAGTCATCACCCAGCGAGCTAACACTGCTCCTGCTGCTGCTGTTGCTGCTATTGCTGCTGCTATAGTTGCTGCTGCAGTTGCTGTTGCTGCTGCTACTATTGCTGTTGATGGCATTGAGCGACCGCTGCAGCTCGTGCGACGTGCGGCGGCCCAGCGTTGCTCGTGATGGCACAGGGGGCGGAATGCGGTGTGACATTTGAACTCGTGTCTCCCCTTCCTCGTCGTCCTTGCGCATCTGCCGTCCTCTCTCTCTCTCTCTCTCTCTCTCTCTCTCTCTCTCTCTCTCTCTCTCTCTCTCTCTCTCTCTCTCTCTCTCGCTCACTCCGCCTTCGATGTCGAGACTGTGCGTGTGTGTGTTGCTGCTGTTTGCCTTTGATGATGGTGTGAAAATCCAGGGCTGAATTCAAGCGAGTGCTCCGAACGAGGGTCAACAAGATCAAGAATAAAAAGAGTGAATGATAAGCACAAAGTAAAATGTGTGAAAATGTGTGCGCTTCCTGAAAATCAAACCCCACCGCCTATCACCCCAGCAATTGTGCATGCGTTGTGGCAGCAGAGACACAGGTTTATTCTACCCACGGCAACGTGTATCGTTGCAGAACTGCCGGGCGCAACAATGCGCAACGCAATGACGAAAAACAGGGTTGAATGAAATGGGGATGTGTGATGACATGGCCAACCAACGAAATGTCTTGGTTGTCACGACCACCGTTCGTGACCATTCAACAATCGCTGTCAAAATGCGCACTGTGGCCCAGAGTGCAAGCTACAGGAAGGGTCGTGACATCATTGTTGCATCAAAATCAACCAAACGCCCTCGCTCGGGGGATCAGCATGATGGACTGTATGCTCAATGGGATCAGAGAGCTCCTTCCAATGCGAATGTCTCTACTCCTCAATACACTGTTGGACTGATTGAACTGGCACAAAGCCCCTGCAGGGTTCTGTGATGGCGAAATTGACAAATCCCAAACAGCTTTTCACCGATTTCTCACTGATACTCATTCATACTCGCTCCAAAAAGACCCCAATCCAAAAAGCGAGTTAAATTTGCTTGTTTGATCATTCAAAAAACAGTGTGTGAGTGTGTGAGTGTAGGGGCAGAGTTGTGTGGAGCTTGTTGTCTCAGTCAAACAGCGCGCAAACACGACGATTCAAAGCAGCAGTCGTTTTGTGCATTGTTTGCGTTCATATTAGGTTGTCTTTGCGATCGCGCGTCTATTTGAACATGACCACCCTGTCAAGCACGCTCCCAAGCTGCTGCCGGCAATCAACATCTGCACTTGCAGCAGGGGTAGTGAACGCGCTGACGAGGCAACTGTTGGCGCGTTTGCGTGAATTGCAGTTTTTAGTTTGTGATTGGACTTGTCCAGGACAATGCCTGCAAGATGCTTTCGTGCTACGCGAGTCGCCGACTCTCCACCAAATTCACATTAAAGTTCACATTAAAGTTGTTTCTTCCAAATCGGATTGAGTTCGAAACGTCAGTCTCTTTTTTTTTATTTTTGTAAGCTGTCTGGTTTTTTTTTTTTTTGTTTTTTTTTTCTTTCTTTCTTTCTTTCTTTTGCAAAATGTGTGGAACTGATGGAAAAACATTGATCCGTGTTTCTGAACGGAGGCAAGTGCCCCGCGATGATCATTATCAAAGAAGTGAACAATCTCTGATCCCACACAACAATCCTCATCTCTCTCTCTCTCTCTCTCTCTTGATCTGTCTCTCTTTCATCCTTTTGTACGAGCCGAGCACATGGCGAAACCGCGTGGCTTTTGAAATTTGGCGATCTTTCTCTTTTTCTTTCTCTCTCTCTTCTTTCATCCATGCATCTCGCTTTCTGCTTGATTCTGTTTCAACTCACTTTCTCATCTGCATTTCTCTGTGATTAGGGATTTTCTGGCTGCGGCTTCGGCTTCGTTCGCCAGCTCTGATTGAAAACGCTGGGCAACCACGCGGTCGCTCTGCCGTCTTTCCCCTCTCCCCTTCCAACGCTCAGCTGAGCCTGGCCGTTGCTGCATGCTCTTCTCTTCTCTTCTCCCCCTCAGCGGAGAGTTCAAAGGTACGTTTTTCATGTCTGTTTGCGTTCCGTGTGGATCAACGTGCAACTTGCAGTCAAAACAATACAAAATCTTCAACCAAACTGAATCCAAATTCAATCCATCCATCGCACTGTTTATTATCACATTGTCCCAGTACAAAAAAAAAATAATAATAACAACCACTCATACTTGTCGGTGTTGTTATTACTTGAGAAGCCGCATCTCGAGCAGCTCAAAGGCCATCCGACGGCGGAAGGATTGCATGTCTGACTGCGAAAAGTCCAGCGCAGCACTTCGCGTGACGCGCTCGGCGAATTGGCACATAAAGACGCCACAGTCATATCCATTGCGCTGCTCGGGAATATTCTGTAGTCGCATTCAACACATGGTTGTGGGGGGGGGGGAACCAGCGGTGAGACCTTCACTTCTTTCACCAACGTCAACCCCACTTGAACTCCCATCGTCGTTACCTCCTGGTGAGTAGAAACCCAAACATCGGCAGGAAGCGCCTGCTGACGCTTGTCAAGCGACTCTTGATGCAAATAAGCAACCAACGCGGCGGTGCCCGACGAATTGATGCCGCCCATCGAGTCGTAGTAATCAAGAACCTGGCGCTTCATGTCGAACACGGCCAAACACCAGTGCACATCTAGATGCACTGGTACCACAATAAAGTCCTTGCTGAACAAGTCGACATTGCGCGTCCATCGACGGACGCCAGGGTAGCCCTTGGCCAGCAACTGGGGATAAAAGAACGAGCTGAAGGCGTGCACCTTTGGCACGCGAGATGTGCTGTCTTGTGCCGCATTGGTACTTCGCTTGTTCATCAAATCCATGTACGCATTCACAATCTGCAGAATTGGGGTTTTGGTGTGGGTGTGAGTGAGAACCAAAAAAAAAAACAAAAAGGCGCAAATCGCCGCCCCGCACAACAAGATTTTGTTTCAAACAACGCTCCAACAAACTCACTTCATCGTTGAGCCAGGCTTGGTCCGTCAATGTGGAAAAGTCTTTTCGTGTTAGTTGAATGGCGCCGGCAGATACTAGCACTTCAGTGGGATGGCCAGGGCCGAAAGCAGCTCGCACCTGAAGAGTCATGAAATGAAAAAATAAAAATAAAAAATAAAAACGATCAAGCGCGTTGAGAGCCGAGTATGCCATATCAATAAGCGCAGCAGGTTGAATGCCTGTACCTTTTGGAGTGCATCTCCTGAAATATCCTCAACCACCTCAACTGCAGGTCCGTACATCTTGGCGTGAAGCTGACAGGGGCACACGCAAATCATGTACCAAAGCAACACGGGGAGCAAAGTCAGCAAATGGTGAAATGCAGAAACGCGCACGTTGCACTGCAAAATAGCACGCTCTCACCTGAGCCTCGAGTGCTTGATCCCTTTGCACCAGCTTGCGGGTTTGCACGAACGAGTCGACCGGCAGCTCCACATTCCGTGATATGGCGCTATGTTGGCGTTTCGCCTTTTCGACGAGCAAGTGAGCAGCAGCTAGCAGTTGCTCCGCTTTCAAGGACGTCGCCATGCTGCTGAGAATACTAGATAGGGTCCGCTTTGTCGTGGAGCTTGCTTGCAATTGAACTCCGTTGGTGGCACGACTCAAGCACTCCTTCGCCTGTTCCAGGATGCTGGAAGCCGGTACGTTTTGAGCCGTTGGTAATGTTTGCGAGACAATCTGGATTTCGTCACGGTTGCTTGCGGGACTGGCCATAGAGCGGGCATACGGTGTTACTCCCTCGCGACTGACTCGGACTTCTGTTCGACGTGGATGCAAGCGTGAAGACGAGGACAAACGCGCTGGATTTCGGGGAGACAATGGCTGGGCATTCCATTGCGCAGTCGAAACAGCGGCGCCATACTCTTGATCTGTTGCTATTGCGGTACGTGCACCCCCAGTGGCAGGAGCAGGAGCAGCAGCAGCAGGCGTGAAGGCAAGCGGTTGTGAAACAAGAGCGCTCTGAGCACGATTGCCCTGCGTCCATGGGAAATTGTGTGTCGCGTAGTCGTATGCCGATCGACTTGAAGAGAGTCCCGAGGAAAAGGCCTTGGACGAGGACAGCGGCGGTCGCATGGCACTGCCCATCAGCCGCGCTGGCGATGCATTGAGCGGCTTGCTTGAGCTCGAGTAGTACTGCGGCGTGCTCCCAGCGCCAGCAGCAGTGGTCGTCTTGTTACGGCCAGCTCCATCATGATCATCATCGTCGTCCTCCTCGTCGTCGTCCTCGTCAGTCTCGTCGATGGCCATGACAGATCCGTCGAGCCGCCACTGCTGTTGGGCGCTGGTGCTGCTTGAGAGGCGAGCAATGCTGCTCCACTGCATTGCGTCGCCAGCAGCAGAGGCAACGCTCATTGGACTGGCATCAAGCAGCCACGAATTGGGCGATGCATTGGCAAGGTACTGGTGCGCCGGGTGAGCGCGGGTTGCCTCCAGCACATCGAGGAGGGACACGTTGTGCTGCATCTCGGCCGAGCGCCTTTTGTTGTCTGAGCGCCTTTGTTGCGGAAACAGACTGATCAGAGATTTTTCAAAGAAAATACGAGTATTGGGTTGATGATGAGAGTAATGATAGGATAGATTGGACCCCTTGTAGTTCAATGCCCTTTCGATCCTCAAAAAGCAGTTGGGTCAAATTCGTTGCCAAACTGGTCTGTTTGAGCTCGAATTCAACATCATTCGAGACCAAAGAGCCACCCGACTCTGTTCGGTTATTGTGGCAAATATAATATACTACAAAATACTTACTCTTTGGTAGGTTGTAGACATGCTTCTAGGCGCGTAAAGCGTGCTTGTTGGTTGCTTGGAGCGCAGAGTACACGTATGGCTTCGTGTGAAACAACCGCCCACATGAGGTGCAGGTCCGTATCAAGTCCGGGAGATCTGGAGTCTCATATTCTGCTCTACAATGAAACAAATCACCGACCCGACTTCGTCAAGATCGTTGGACGCGCTTCAAACAAAGGGTTTCAGTGTTGTGCGTAGTGACAACCAAACGCGCAAGTTCGCGCCAAAGCCTCGCCAGGAATTCCCGTCTTTACCAAAAATTATCGCAAATCCAGACCATGTCATGCATGTGTCATCCATCCCGCGACGAGCGGGCGGCAATACTCATCCGTCAGGGCTTGATTGGCAAATGGAGCGGCAGTCTTTTTTTTTTTTTTTTTTCTGTCAACTATGGCTGGTAAACTTGCGTGCTTCGTTTTCCCCCTCTCCATCAACTTCACCCTCACCACATAACCACATGCACGCTTATTCCCACCCGTGCTATCTTTGCTGCTCTGCGCCAGCGAGTCGTCCGAAAGAGCAAAGTGAAAGTGTGAAACCGATTTTTTGATTTTTTTTTTCGGTCTTTTTTTTTTTTTCTTTTTTTTTTTCCGATTTGCACTTTTTGTGTGAGAACGTTGTCTCTGCCCGCAGCCCCGCCGTCCTGCGCTCCTACCGCACGACTTCCAGACACATGGACGCACTTGCTTCATCCATGTCCGCACTGGTGATGGGGTTTTCTCCATTTGCCACCGCTGTTGGTGGTTGCCTTCGGAATGCATCCCACCAAACTTGAGACCGCCGCCCCTTTCTCTTTCGTTGTCTTGCTCTTCTTCTTCTTTGCGAGTGGTGCGCTGTCTATTGCTGGAAACAGAGCACGTCTGTTCACGTCTCTCCTGCGACCCTTCCCCTCTCTCCCTCTGATAATGGCTGCTCCTCGCTCAAAAGCCACAAATTTTATTATTAGTATTATTCACATTATTTTTTTATTATTTCTTGTATTTGTATTTTTTTTTTCCATTGATTTTTCCATTGATTTTTCCATTGTGTGTTGTGGCAGCTTTTTTTTTTTTTTTTTTTTTTTGATTTTATTATTTTATTATTTTTTTTCATTTTTCAAACCTTCTCGTTTTGCCACCGATCTCTTCTGCCCAACTTGCACTCGTCCTCTCTCCCGCCTTCGCCTTCACGCGCGGTGCGTCCTTTTTGTTTCCCACTCGTTGCTGTCCTTCTTCCGCGTCTTTCGCTCGGGTGACCGAACTGTTTCTACAAATGCAACACAATCATCAAACAACGGCCTTTTTTTTTTTTTTTTTTTTTTTTCCCCTCTCTTGTCCACGTCCACTTCCACCTCACCCCCCCGCCCTGCCGCGCCAAGACTCACCCCCTCTCCATCGTCACCTTCCTCCCGCTTGGACAGACGAGGAGCCCAAGCCGCTTGGTCATTCGCAGCTGCCAAAATCGCTCGGCAAGAGCTCGGAAATGCTTGCTCATTCCACGGTATGTGTGCTTTGCTGTTACTCTCACCCTGACACTGGGGTCAGACCGAGGTTTTTGACTTGCATCTTGCACCGACACACACACGCACGCTCACGTCTCAATTGATTCTGGACGACGGCGACAGCATCACGCGCGGAACGGCTCTGACGCAACCGAGATTCTCGCTGGACTTCCCGTTGCTCGCGTACGGCTCCCCCCACTCGCTCTGTGCGCTATTGGATTGGATTGTCTTGCCAGCTCACACTCTGCGATTTGTTCTTTGGTTGTGTGTTGTGTGTGCAGACGGGCGTGCTGCACAAGAAGAACGATGTCGCTGCCGGCAAAAAGGCTGCCAAGCGTGATTGGAAGCAGCACTTTGTTGTATTGCAAGGCCACTTGCTGCTATGCTACAAGGATGAGGCAGAAAGCAAATTGGTAGGGGTGGCTTCCAACGACAGCGCGTACTTGTTGTCTGTTTGTATTTGGAGCACTTTTTTTTTTTTTTTTTTTGCACTTTTCTTTCTTCCTTTTGTGCCGTTGCTGACACTTTGTGGTCCCGCCTCTCCCCATCAATCTCTACCAACCCCCCTTCTTCCCCCTCTCCCCCGTTTTTCACAAAACAGGGGAAAATGCCAGACGCCGAGGACTTGATTTCCATCAAATCGTGTATTTGCGACATTGCATACGACTACACCAAACGAAAGAACGTGTTCAGGTTGCGCGCCTTCAACGGAGCGGAATACCTGCTCGAGGCACAAGACAACGACGACATGCTTGATTGGATCAAGAAGATTCACGTAAGGATTGGATTGTTTCGAGTCGTTCGTGTTTGCCCAACTCCCGACTTACACACTTTGACTCGCTATCGCATCTCTATCTCTCTCTCTCTCGCAGGACAACAATAATCCCGACGCCGATTCCGAGTCCGAGCACGACCTTATTCGACGAAAGGCGGCGGAGCAAGGGCTGCAATCTCGAAAACCTCACGAACCGACAACTGGTTCCAACTTGGCAGCGTCAGCCGCGCTGTCCGCCTCAAACGCCTCGCTCTCAGGAGCTGGTGCAACTGGTGCCAAGAAAACGGACGGCAAGGGCACTTTGGACAAGAAGCACGAGAAGGAGGAGAAGCGGTTCCAAGAAAAGGAGGAGAAACGACTAGACAAGGAGCACAAGGAGCAGGCGAAAGAGCGCGAGCGTGTTGAAAAGGAAGAAAAGCGCCTCGAGAAGGAGCGCGAAAAGCTTGCCGAGAAGGAGCGCAAAAAGACAGAGAAGGAAAAGTTTGCTACTCTGAAAAAGGCAGGCACGTCAAACGCTGCCTCCGCTGCAGGGTCGCCCCACTCACCTGGTGGCGGCTCCCTCTCGGCCGCTACTGGGCTGGGCACGCAATCCAAAAAGACCAGCGGGCTACGGAAAAAGGTCGGCGCACTCTTCAACAAGAAGGAAGACACTGGCAGCGCCAGTCCTGCCCCTTCGTGCGAGTTTGCCACGTTCGGCGTCGCGCTCGACGAGCATCTCGAGTTCCAAGATCGTCTAATTCCCCTCATTGTGGAGCGCTGCATTCAGGCCGTCGAGAAGCGCGGCATGGATGCCGTTGGTATTTACCGGTAAGGCAGTGTTCTTGGTGCAGTTTGGTTTTTTCGGAAGCCCTCTGCGCAAACGAACGATTTCTGATCTCCTATTTGTCAACCTTGATTGCTTGCTTGCAGCCTCTCTGCCAATGCATCCATGGTGCAAGCTTTGAAAGAGGCGTTCGAACGAGATCCCTTCTCGGTCAATCTGGACGAAGAGCGCTGGGACGACATCCACGGCGTCACTGGAGTTTTGAAGCTGTACTTGCGCGAGCTGCCAGAGGCGCTTGTCACGCATGCTCTTTACGACAAGTTTATTGATGCCGCGCGCATTTCACAGTACAACGACCGGTTGTATGCGATCAAGGTGAGCACCATTTTCTTGTTGAAACATCCTGTTCCCCTTTTGAGTTTTTCTTTGATAGCACGCCATCCTGACTCGTCGTTTTTCTTTTCTTTGCTGTTTCTCTTGACTCTGTTTTTCGTCCCCTGCAGGACTTGGTGAACGAGCTACCAGCAGCTCACTTTGCGACGCTCCAGTTCATCGCTGCTCACCTCCATCGTGTCGCGGAGCGGAGCGAGCAAAACCTGATGGCCGTCAACAACCTTGCCATCGTTTTTGGCCCCACAATTGTCCGGCCAGCCGAGGAAAATGCCATGTCCATGTTGAACGACATGAGCTTCCAGTGCTCGCTTGTCGAAACAATGATTTCCCAATGTGACTGGGTGTTTGAGAAGCTCAGCGACGACGTTACTGCAGGCGGTGAAGGCGACGCTGACAAGAGCGCCGCGGACGAGCAGACGGAAACATCGGAGGGCGCCACGGAGGCGAGCGACGACGCCGTCTACGAGGACATTCCCGACCTTCCGGCTTCTGGCGATCAAGCTGAAGAGCAGAGTGCCGAGCAATCAGAGCCACAGGGCGAAGAAGACGTTGGCGAGTCTGCCGATGGCTTGGCTGAAGCCGCTGAGGTTTCCGAACAAGAACAACAACCCGAGGAAGCAGAAAATGCCGACGCCGCCGTTGAATCGACCCAAGACGCTGTCGAGTCCACCGACGACGCTGTTGAGTCTACCGAAGACGCGCTACCAAGCGAGGAACAGGCTGCCAGCGACGAAGTTCTTGAGGGATGATGATGTCTTGGATGGATTATCTACCATGTGCCATTCTCATGGTGGCGCTTGATGGATTTCCACCTCCTATTTGTTGTGTTGTTGTGCGGATCGATGTGGATGTGGATGTGTGGTTTTGTGCAACCAAAGAATACAGAGTTGCAACAAGAGCGCAATGCCCCGCTGTTCGTTCAACAGCGCCCGATTAGCTCAGTCGGTAGAGCGTGAGACTCTTAATCTCAGTGTCACGGGTTCGAGCCCCGTATCGGGCTGTTCTTTTTTTTGTCTTTGACGTTTTTTTGCTTCTGGCGCTTCTGCATTTTTTCTTTTGGCAAAGGACTCCACGTGGAGCTCGTCTTTGTCCTTTTCGTTCGTTTGATTTTTTTGTGAACTCGACTCCACTTTTGCCCCACAGTTCATCAACAGCGCCCGATTAGCTCAGTCGGTAGAGCGTGAGACTCTTAATCTCAGTGTCACGGGTTCGAGCCCCGTATCGGGCTGTTTTTTTTTTGTTCTTTTTCGTTTTTTTTTTGTTCTTTTTTGTCCTTTCGGTTTTTTTTTTTAAAACCTTGTTATTTTGCGGCGGGCGACCAAGTGGACGCTGTCGAGCCGTCCCAAATGGACATTGTACTCGAGCAGCGAAGTGGGTGGTTCCAGACGAGAGAGCATTGGTGGAAGAAGCTCGGAAACAAACTCACTTTTCTCAATAAACTTACCATCATCGTCGCATCGAGCCCTAGACGTTTCAGTGCAGTGCCATACAGGTCCTACACAGCACCGATGACCAGTTTTGTTGCCATGCAGTTTCAGTACCTTCACAACGGAGCAAGTTCCCGCGAGAACGGACAACGACCGATTTGCGCGTGTTGTTCGAGTGTACAGCGGCAGTCCTTGAGGCCTATGTGGCCACGCGAGTACGAACAGCTCGGGAAAGCGAGCCGGTAGGTTGACTTTATCAGCGGAGACGGAGGGGGTGCGAACGAGATACAAACGAATAACATGGAAACGTTTCGATGAATCGTCTGTTTTCGTTTGTGTTTGTTTTGATGAAGTACGCAAAAAAAAAAAATGGCCGCTATAAAAGCGCACCGCGAGCAACGTGTGCTCAAATCAGTCCTTTCTTCCTCATTCAGCCATGATGTGGGACAAAGGAGTTGTGCGCTTACTTCGAATCAGTCATAAACGCGACAAACTACCCTTGGTGAAATAGCTTTCTTCGGCCTGGCACTTTAAAACCACCCTGCCACTCTAGCACCCTCGCCATCAATCCATTCAGGATTGCTTTGAGGGCGGCAGGGCCGGTTGCCGGGCTCCCCCCAATTTCGAAAGAATTTTTTCTCTCTCTCTTTTTTGCTTCTCGACCCCTTGCAGCCGTCAAAGGCGCTTGAATAAACAGACAGATGTGTTGCATGTTGCGTGCTGGTTGTGTGCTGAATGTGACTTTGGGTTGGCCATTTCAACGTTTGCCGAGCCAAGCAACACTGATCACTTTCAATCGCCGTCGATTTTTCGGGACTTGAAGTGTTCCAAACCCATACCAAAGCGTACTCTCCATTGTCCATCACCGCTTTTCATACAGTGTGACGTTCATCCTTCCGTCGCAGCATGGTGCAGCACTATCTGCTGTTGCGAGATGCGTTGACGTTTCATCGAAGGATCGAAACCCCTCTTGCACCGCAGCCCTCTCGTCCCGCATGACTCGAATCGCAGTGTTGTTGAATGCAACAACAACTGCTGCAGCCAGCTTGGTTGATGAGGCCTGGCGATCTGCAGCAATGCCAATCGCTTGCTGCGATCAATCTGCCAACGTCTTGCATCTCGTCGTCCTGTCCTTCGCCTCACTCGCCAATCCAGCATCGCAGCATCGCAGCATCGCAGCTACACACACACACACGCACACACGCTCAAACAATCGCAAAAACAACAACGAATGCAAACAAGCTGAAAATGGCAAGAATGAACCAAAAAAAAAAAAAAAAAAAAAAAACAAAGCAAAAAAACAATGAAAAAGCATTTCTTTCGCAATGGGGGGGAAGGGAGCCCGGCGACTGGCCTGCCGCCCTCATAGCTATCCTGAATGGATAGATGGCGAGGGTGATTGGGTGCGAGTCTCCAGTGTAGCAGAGCGAGCAGCGTCAAAGCCCTTGTTTTGTTTTTCTTGCCTTTGAAATGAAGAAATAACAAAAGGGCAACGACGCTGCACTCAACTGGAAAAATCCCGCGGTGGCAGGTCAGCCTTGTAGTGCTGGGCCGAAGTAATCAGTAGAGTTGCAGTTGGGGTTCTATGAACCGTTCGTCCTCGCCATCAGATTGCAATCGAAGTAAGCGGCGGAGGACGCTCCAGTGCCGCATGGCTGTGCAGCAGTAGGAGAGTGAGCTCGTTCCAAATCCAGCAGCGGTTGGCTTAAATGGCTGAATTTTTTGGTTTTGTGTTTTTTGGGTTTTTTGATGATTCTACACATTCTGGTTTTGTTTTTTAGGTGACGCAGCAAATTTGACTGTCAATGACGTCCTCAGACAGCTAAAAACAGCATCAAGGAATGAACAACAAAAGATCGTAGTTTGAAGGAAGAGGGCAAGACGAGAGTGCAAGAACGTGAAAAAAAAAAAAAAGAGTCAGAACGAAACAGATCGTTCCACCCAGACCCAATCGCGTGTGACAGCTCTTTGCATCGAAATATACTGTATGCGGCTTGCAGATGTACAACCACCATTGCCTCAAAAAGAGAAACAAACCAACAGACAAAAAAAAAAAAAAAAAAAAAAAGAATGAAAGCGAAAACAAAAAGGCCAGCCCGATACGGGGCTCGAACCCGTGACACTGAGATTAAGAGTCTCACGCTCTACCGACTGAGCTAATCGGGCCTACATGCTGTCGGTTGGGCAAAAGCGTTGACCAAACGCAGAATGGAATTGCCGCTTTTTGTTTTTTTCGCCCTCAGCGAACGCAGCAGAGCGAGCAACAAGCTCTCGATTGGCGACTTGCTCGGTAAAAACAGGCTGCAATAACATAAAAACAAATCAAGCAAAAAGCACAAATTTGAATCCATTTCCAAAATTGTACCGTGATTCGGAGTCAGTCCTGCTAATTTGGATGCGTTCGACGCGCGGACTGGCGCAGGGCCAGCAAGCTCAAGCTCAAGCTCAAGGGCAGCAGCAACCTCAAGCACAAGGGCAGCAGCAGGCGCAGACGGCGGGCCGACCGCTGCCATCAACCCAGCCAACGGTGGACCTCGCCGCCCTCGCAGCCGCTCTGCCGCAGATTGGACAGCTGTGGCAGAACAACCTGACTGACGCGGGCGATGTGCATGGCGACGCCCAAGCGCGAGGCCAACGCGCCTATGCAAACCAGCAGGCAGCGCTGCGGCTCCAGGCGTCTTTGCAACAGCGAGCTCAATCTCAATCTCAATCTCAATCTCAATCTCAATCTCAATCTCAATCTCAATCTCAATCTCAATCTCAAGCTCAAGCTCAAGCTCATGGAAATGCTCAGCTCGGACTGCCGAACGACCTCGGCGGATTTGTCAGCTTGTTGACCGAAGCCGCGCTGTTGCCGAAAGCGGAGTTGATGAATGTTGCGCGTGCCAACAATGCGAATGCAGCGAGAGCATCGTCATCACCCCAGTTTGGTCAATCGGCTGCTCCACCTGCTGCCACGGCCAGAACAAGTGCTGCTTCAGGAAACACAGGTGCTGCTGGAGGATGTGCCTCGGGCGTTTGTCCCGCTCCAACGCAGCCTGGCGCAGGCCTTGCAGCGCTGCTCGCCAACCCGGCAGTGGCGCAGTTTGCCAACGATCTCGTTGTGCGCAAGCTGCACGAGAGGGCGGCGGCTGCCACGAGTGCCGGTGCTGGTGCCGGTGGCGGCCAGACCGGAGATCTGCCTCCGTTGGACACGTTCCTCCAGCTGCTTGCGACAGAGCCCCAGCGCCTGTGGGAGCGCATCCAGTGGCGGGCTTCCGTGGAAGAAGCCGCACGCGAGAGTCGAGCCACCGGGCGACCCATTTTCATCGAGCTCATCGTTGGACGCTACGGCCAGCAGCAGTCAACCGTGTGCTGACTGGGTGGCCGCCTACTGAGAGTAGGCCCGTTGAGCTGCGAGCGCGTGAGCGACGCCATCAACGAATTCTGCATTCCCGTGGCCATCAATGTGACGCGCGAAGGCTTCCCGGTCAACCACATCCCAGCGCTTCGCTTTGCCGAGTCCATCTACCAGACCAACTGGCGATTTGAGTTTGGCTTTGCGTCCTGCTTCATTGTGGACGACACTGGTGCCATTCCGCTGGGTGTTGCCAGCAACAGCCAGGTGACCAAGACTCCGCGGGCAGTGTACGAGCGCGAGTACCTTTTGTTCATTGTGGAGGCGCTGGAGCGATTCAAGTCGCTCCAGGCCATTCGTCGTGGCAATCTGGGTGAGCTCCGCACGTTTGCCGCCAGCCTGATGCAAGAGTTTTCTCGTCGTGCCAGCCAGATGGCCCAGCAGCGTCAGCAATTTGAAGGGTTTGCGCAGCGTCATCCTCAGCTGCGACAACTGTAGATGGCTTTTTTTTGTTGTTGTTGTTGTTGTTGTTGTCTTCCCTTCCTTCTTGACTAGTGTGGATTTGGCTCTGGGTGTAACGCCTCGGGGTGATTTCTAATTGTTTGTTGAGCAGGTACACACGCCACAATGATGAAGGCCGAGCGCTAAAGTCAACAGTGCCCTTAGTTTGCAACAGTGCAAAACAACCAAGGAGCGAAGAAGGAACAAGCATGTTTGCTTGTTTCCCCCCCTCCACGTTTTGTTTGCTTGCTTTTGGGTCGACGGCGCTCGAGCTGGATGAGCGGGTGATGATATCACCACTGCTGGGTGCGTGCTTCCTGTTTTCTTCCGACGCGATTCTTTCACGACGAGGCAATTTCAATGTGTACATACAGTAGATTTTTGTTCCCTCCCCCGCTCTCTCTGCTGCTGATTCTGAATTCTACCACCATACTGTGCAATCATCCCCCATTTCCTTATCTGCTCACTCCTCTTCCCCCGCCAATTGTCACTCCATTTTTGGTCATTTCTTAGCGGCACATTACAGTTTCGCTGCACTCCTCTTTTTGATCTCTTTCTTGATCTCCCTTTCGATCCAATCGAGGCCACGCACATTCGCTTGTCACACTGTTGCACACACACGCGCGCGCAGGGGTTGGCAAAGAATGAAGCTGACGCTGTGGCAGATTCTCGTGACGTGCTTCTACACGGGGTGCTATCTGGGCGTGGGCTTGGTGATTGGCAGCCTCGGACCGACCATCCCGACGATTGCGACTGCGCTCAACACGACCGAGGCCGACCTGTCTGCCGTGTTCTTTGCGCGCGGTGGCGGGTGGCTGACTGGCTCGTTTGCGTCCGGCTTCCTGTACGACCGCGTGCCGGGCCACTATGTGCTCTCCGTGGCCATGTTCTTCATGGGGCTCGGGCCGTTCCTCATCCCCTTTGCCATCGAGCACGGCAAGGTCCCGCTGCTCTCCTGCTTTACGCTGCTCGGTCTCGGCGGCGGCTTTGTCGGTAAGCCCACACACACACCATCAGACGCTCTCTCTCTCTCTCTCTCTCTCTCTCTCTCTCTCTTGGCGTTTTGCTTTGAAATGTCTGCGCAAATCCCCGTCGTTTGCGGTTTTGCAAAAGTGAGTGATTGCGAGTGAGAGTGGCGGTCATCGAGTTTTTCTTGCGTTTGAGGTTTTATCCTCTCTCTCTGTCTCTCGCTGTCTCTCGCTGTCTCTCCCTCCTTCTCTCTCTCTTGTTAACCCTTTGATGTCGAGCCATCCAACCCTAACCCTAACACCCCAACCCAACCTCCCAATCCATGTATGCCACCTCATCCATGCATCTTCCCGCCCTATCGCTATCGAGCCTTGTTATCTTTTGTGTATGGCGTCACTTTTTTTGTTTCCCCCCTTTCGAATACTCCGCAGAACACCACTCAATCACGAATCGCGTTTTGACTGTGCATATGAAAACAAACGAGGCATGCAATTCCACTTGCAGCGAAAAGGGGAAGCGGGGCGGGGTTAGGTGTGCGGTTTAGCGGGAAAAGGGGTTACGGTGAGGAGGGTTCCATGTGTCAACCAGCGCTTTGCTCACACGACCAACATCAACAGTAACATTGCGCAGAGTGCGGCAAATATAGAGAGTCACTGTGCGCTCTGCATGGTGGTCGCATTTCACTGCGTTGATTGAATTGCGAGGGAAGCCGGGAACCTGAAAAAAACGAAATAAGCGGGGTGGACGCGCGTGTCGACCACACGCACGCCTCAACCAACATCGCGCAATCGCTGCCGACCTCACCACTGACACACCCACTGTGAGTGTGAGCAGCATGGCTTGGAAAACGCTCAACGAGATGCAACCATTGCTGAACACACCTCCCTTGTTGTAACCTTTTCCCCACTTCTAAGAGCTCAACCCTTACCATGTCTTATTGTCCACAGACGTCGGCGCGAATACGCTCATCGGATGGCAGCATGGAGACGCAGTAGGACCGCACATCCAATTCCTACATTTCGGATTTGCGCTGGGCGGCGTGGTTGCCCCCGTCATCACGGCACAGGTACTGACGTCGAGCGACCATGGCGGGGATGAGGCGCTCAATGTCGAAAACTCCCTGTTTGCCGTCAAGTGGACCTACTGGGCACTCGCCATCTTGTGCATACCATTTGTCCTGATTGGCATCAAGTTCAAGAGCCCCGTGCGTCGCGTCGCCGAGGTCGGCAACGGCGAAAAGGTCCCGAAATCGGTCGTCGTGCTCATCACGCTCCTCTTGTTGTTCTACGTCTCGCTCGAGATTGGATTTGGCGGCTGGGTGTCCAGCTATGCGCTCAACCTCGAGCTGGAGGACGAAATCGTCGCGCCGTACTTGAACTCGGCCTTCTGGGCGGCCATCATGGTTGGACGGTTGGCGGGCGTTCCCCTATCATCACGCATGTCGGCAAAGACCATGCTCCTCGTCAACATGGTTGGGTCGTTGGCGGCTTCCATCCTGCTCGCCATCACGCAGCCCAGCTCCATTGCCCTGTGGGTGCTCTCGACCTTCCTCGGCCTCAGCCTCTCCTCCGTGTATGCCACAGCCGTCTCATACCCCACCACGCTGGGTATGGTCGTCGCAGGTTTCGACACAATGTGGTTTGTGATTGGGTCGTCCGTGGGCGAGATGGTCTTGCCCGCGCTGTTTGGGCCCATCTTTGATGCTCTGGGATACGAAGCCTTGCCATACGCTCTCATCATCCTTGCAGTGCTGCAGTTTGTCTGCCTGCTGGTCATGTTCCGCGTGCTCGGCTCTCGGCGGGTGGTGCGTCGCCTCGATGGCGATGGCGTCCCGCTCGGCGAAGTTTCCGTGCAAGAGTCCTCGTTCCAGCTCAAGGTCCCATTAGAGACGTACGAGCTGCAGCACAGCGTGTCTTCGGATGGCACAAGCATTGGCGCCATCAATGGGCAGCGTCTGCTTGATCGTCGCGGATCCACGAGCTCCACAGAGAGCTTTGAGGACGACGAGCCCGCTCGAGGTCTCGCCACAGTAGGAGCGGATGTCAAGGATACTGGGAAGTACAGTCTACTACATTAGTGCCCGTATTCTCCCCTCCCCCCAAGAAGATTTTTGCAGACCCGCCGTACCAGTACGAGCGAGGCATCTGCGATTTCAACATTACGTTATTTTGTTACTCTGTACTTGTAATAGGTTTTGCTGTCTGTCGACGTGCCAAATAAAACCCACACGCAACTCAAAACAAGCTGTTCGACAACCGGTTTGTTTTTATTAACTGTAACTCTATTGTACACACTGCATGGCATTAGAACAAACACAGAACAAAGAAAAGGATAACACGCACGCACCTCTCCCTCCTTTTTGCGTTTGTTACTTGGTTTTGAGTCGTGCCTCCTCGGCATTGAGCCGACGGTAACGCTCCTTGACAAACACGAGCGGAAGCAAGCAGGCGACAAATCCGCATGTTGCAAACGTGTTGATATCATCCGCATCGACATAGGCCGTGACGAGCAGCATGAGAATGCACCCCAAGTTGTTGAACAGGGTCAGAATGCCGGCCGTCAAGTCCTCGGAAAGCGGGTAGGTGATTTCCGCTGCGAGCTCGTAGAAGAGCGGGTTGCAGCCACCAAAGAAGAAGCCGGCCAGCGAAATGGAAAACCCGTTGGCCAGATAGGAGGAATTGATGACGGCAGACGTGTCGCCAACGGGAAAGCTCAGCGTAAACCACACCAGGCAGCCGATGCCGAGACAGAACAAGACCACAATCACAATCTTGAATCGCCGCTTGAGCAGAGTGTCACACAGCTTGCCTGCAATCAACGCTGCTACAATGCCGGCCAGTTGGCTGTAAAAGCTCAGCTCGTTGGCCCCGCTCTTGATGATGGTGGGCAAAATGTTCGTCCAGCCGTTGAAAATGCCCGCTTGGACGCCGCCACAGATGGCAAGCAGCATGAAACTGGACGACTTGACGCTCATGGCCACGGTTTGGCCGAAGGTGAGCCGATGAGCCCACTCGGGGGTCAGCGCCTCCAGACTCATGGGCAGCTTGTGCACCGGACCTTTCATGGACACGGCGGAGAATGACGCCACGCTGGGAGAATCTGGCTGCACTCCTCGACTGAAAAGCAATTCGTCCTGGTCGGAAGGGTCATCCACATGAGGGATGGACGCTGCCACCGACGCAAGCGACGGCGAGGGCGAGCGGGAGCGCGAGGACTCGGAGGTCGAGCTGGACAAGGCTGGCCAGTGCGACAAACTTTGCTGCTGGCCATGGCCGAGGTTGTTGGATGGATGATTGCTGTGTTGCGAGTGGCTGGGGAGTCGTGTTGTGCTATAGGACGGAGAGGCCGAGGTCAGCGAGCTTTCCAAGTACGCCGCGTCATACTCTGTCGGGTGTTGCTGCAGATGCAGCACGCCGTGCGTTGAAATGTGTGGTCCCATTGCAACAATGGCCGCCTCGGTCGCCTCGACGGGGTGAGCCAGCAGCAACGGAGTGGGCGGGAGCGGCGGAGCAGCCGGAAAGTAGGCGAGAATGACCACAAACGTGAGCACACTCAACCCCGCGTTAATGTACAAGAGCAGCGGCACGTCGGAGGCGGTCGGGGCAATGTAGGGTCCGACGAGCATGCCCACGGCGGTACCGAGATTGTTGCACACAATGAAGAGGGCGGTCGCAAAGGTGCGCTCATTGGGAGCAAACCAAGTCACCGATAGCTTGGAAGGCGATGCCATGACAAACGGGCCCGAGCATGCGTTGAGAATCTGACCGATCGTGACGAAAAAAATATAGCGCCAGTACTCTTCGCGCAACACGGAAAACCAGCACGGAATGAGACGAATCACAGATCCAGCAGCCGTCAAGCCTGCAGCTGCCAATACAATAACACGGCACGAGCGTTTGGGACCGAGTCGCTTCTCCAGATACGGCACGACCATGACGACGGGAATGTAAAACACTGGGCCCCACGTCAAAAACAGCACGACCTGCGAGTCGTCAATGGTGTTGTTGTAGTACTCTTTGGTCTGGTCGTTGACCGAGTTGTATGTCAGCCACACCATGCTTTGCATGAACGAGGCCACCGAGAAGATGAACAAGATGTACCAGCGACGCTTGTAGACATGGCACTGAGGTGGTGCTTGCGATTTGCTCGTATCTGGCGGCGCCGCAAAGCTTCCTCCGTGTATGGATGGTGGTCCGACGAGTGGTGGTTTTGCAAATGATCCATTGCTCGGCTGCGATGCCAAACTTGACGCGCGACTGCTCCTGTCAAGGCACAACACAACAGCAAAGAACGGCAGCAAAAGCAAATCATTTTGTCAGAACAATCTTCCACATACAGCTGAGCAGCAATACAAACACAATCCAACATAAAACCCCCCGGCGAATGCTTGTGAGAAGCAAGACGACAAGGCCTTTTTGGATGTTTGACTGAGTTTGCATTGTGAGTTGGGGTCGAACACGAGCGCCCGTTCTCGCAGGTCGCTCTGAGAGCGCGATGAGAGAGCGAAGAGGATGAACGATTTGGCCACCTTATGAAGTGGGGGACGCGCCCGTGCTGCTGGGCCGTGGAGGGAAAGCAGAGCAAGTAGGGAGAATGGCGGGAAGAATGGCGCGGGTAGAGCAGCAGAGCGAGAGAGAGAGCGACTCAAAGAGTGTGTCATTGACAAGGCTATAGAGCAGGAAAGTCGGTTGTGCATGGGGTAGGGAAGGCAAAGGAGAGCGAGAGGGAGAGCGAGAGGGAGAGGGAGAGCGAGCGAGCGAGAGGGGACGAAGGCAATGGAGGAACAGAGCCAACAACTTACTTGTCAAGCAGTGGTCGCGTTTCACTCATCAAACACAGGAAGACAAAACAGAACAAAATAGAACAATGACTGGGATTGAGAATACAAAAACAATTGCATGGGCAGTCCAGTTCCCATTTTGGTAAACAGCGTCGTGAGGCGAGAGAGGGAGAGAGAGAGAGAGAGAGAGGGAGGGGGGAAAGGGTCGGTCAACTGCTTCGTACAACGCTCGGCAAGATGGCAGGTGAAACACTCGACATGCACGATAGAAGCGTGGAGCAGCAGCATTATTGAGCACAAAAAAAAGCCACTCGTTGACAAAGATCAACAAGCAACAGCGGAAATGGAAATACAGCTGCGGTGCAACTAGTTCGAGCTGCGTTATGCTGGTTGACTTGCAGACGCTGCATTGCCAACGCAATGCCCCATAACCACAATCTCAGCAATTCTACCATCCCGCCTTATGCGCGCTGATATGATGAAGCACAGAGTGTGATCGCCTCGTGCAGTACCTTGGGCTTTTGCTGTCACTTTTGAATAGCTTTTCAGAAACAAATCCTTCATTTCGTTCCTTCAACAACCGTGCCGCCTTCACCTGCTGCCGTCGTCTCAACTTCTTGCAGCTGTTGCATCCATCATCGATCTCTGCGCCGTCAATTCCCCTGCCACCTCTAAGCGCGCCGCCTCTCTCTCACTCACCTAGTCATGTATGCACGTGAAGACAGCCGATTTTGTGCCAAACGCCCCAGCCTATTTATAAAACCGAATTTTTGCTTGATTGGAAAACAAAACCCGCCTCAATCCTGACATTGCTATTTGCATGACGAGCTGAGCAATGCACTGTTGCAGTGTGATCATGCTGACCAGTGCGGACCAGGCTGCAGGGCTCGAACAAGCACTGGCTGAAAGCGAGAGAGAGAGAGAGAGAGAGCGCGAGAGTCACCTTTTGCGACTGTTTTCCTTTTTGGCACCGCACTCGCCGCATCTCCCCCACCCCCTTTTGAGTGTCCTTGAATAGCATTCAAAAACACTCACAAACCGCTTGTCTGTCTGTCTGTCGCTCATGTCACTTCTCAGGTATGACGCTGACAGCACCGCTTGCCGTCCTCGCCGTGCTCGCGGGGCTGCACTTTGCAACAACGCTGGCCCAATCACCGTCCGCATCCTGTTCGGGCTCGCAGCCATTGGTCGGCGCTTCCAATACGCCACGTAGTTACGACGGATCCGTTGGTGTCTACAATGCTCCATGGATGAGTCCTCCGCCTGCATCCTACAATTCGGGGGCTGGCAAATGCATCACCTGGCAGTACACGCCAGCCACTGCTGGAAACATTTACTTTAGCACCTGCGGACTCACCTCGGATGATACCGTGCTGGTCGCTTCGACGGGTGCTTGCACAAATGACTTTGGCGAGACAATGATTCTGATGCTTGATGACACGAGTGGCTGCCAATTTCGAACAATCTTGAGTTTTGAAGCAACGGCAGGAACCCGCTACTTTCTCCATATGTGTACCTATGCCTCGTACTATTTGGATCCCAGTACAGCAGTCAAGCTCACGTCCGGGCAATTCATATTTGACTTTCAGTGCCCCGCTGGCATGACGGATCACGATTCGTTGGTCGAGACAGCATGCATTAGCTGCACAGGCGTGCAGGGCATCTACGCCCCGGTCGATTCGCGTGGGGCATGCTCCACTTTGCTCTGCCCGGCCGGCACCTCGGATGACGACAGCTCTTCGCTTACTCCTTGTGTTGCATGCGGTCCCGGCACCGATACGTCGTCACCTGGCAAATATGGTTTGTGCACCAACTTTAATGTGCCTGCAGGCAAGTACGATCATGACTCCAACTCTGCCACCGCGGCGCTGACGTGCCCTGCTGGAAATTATGCGCCCGCAGCCGGCGTTTTGTGCACACCGTGTGCAGCTGGGTCATGGGACCATGATGGGTCGTCCGCAACCGCATGCGTTTCGTGCGCGTCCGAGTGCGTGGCTGGGTATTACGAATCACCGGGATGCACTCCCACGACCAACCGCGCTTGCGCCACCTGCACTCCCGTTACCTCCTGCGCCGCGTCGAGCACGACGTGCACGTCACCCACAACCTCGCGCTGCTCGACTTGCCTTGCAAACTTTTACAAAGTGGCGGGTCCCTCGAGCGACACGTGTGAGGCCTGCGCTGCAGCCTGCACCACGGGAACGTTCGAGACTGCTGATTGCACGGCGACAAGCAATCGCGTGTGCACCGCATGCACTGCCATTTCCGATTGTGATGCGACAGTTTCCTGCACTTCGACAAGCAACGGCCGCTGCTCTGCCTGCGCTTCGGGGCATTACCTCGTGCCCGGCTCTACCTCGGCTCAAGACGCGTGTGCCGTGTGCGAGACCTGCGGGGTTGGCACGTTTGAGTCGCAGGCGTGCACGCATGCCACCAACCGAAACTGCACGCAGTGCACGCCGCTTGAAAACTGCGCTCAAGTATCGTGCACCGACACCACTGACTCTGTGTGCGTGCAGTGCCATGCGGGCTCATTCTACAATACGACCAGCCAGGCGTGCCACGCGTGCGTCGAGTGCGCTTCGAACGAGTTTGAAGCCATCGCTTGCACCTTCCTCACCGACCGCTCATGCAGTGCTTGCGCCAACGTGACAAACTGCGCGTCTGTGACTTGCACATCTTTGGACGACTCGGTTTGCGAATCCTGCACGTCCACCACGTACATGTCACCCAACGCCACCGCGGGCGACGACGAGCAATGCTTGCCCTGTGCGCCTGTCGCCGGTTGTGCGCACGCGAACGTGGTGTGCACGACTGCCACCGACTCTCGTTGCAACGTTGCGGCCAGCTCGGCGGATCCGACTGTCATTATTGTTGTTGTCGTTCTAGCTGCATTGTTGTTGATTGTTGTACTGGCTGTGCTGCTTGTCAAGCGACGACAACGTCGCAACGCCCGCAAATCTCCTGACGCCACTCGTCGTTCTGGGCAAACCAACCATCCCGCGACCACGATGGAAATGCTGGCCAATCCCCTTTCTGATCATGGTGTCCAGAGCGACAATGAGGCGTACTCGCAGGTGAAGTACTCGACCGCAGCAGGCGACAGCAGCAACCTGTACGACACCCTTGCTCTTGGCGGTCGGCCGTCTGGCTCTTCACCACGAGCAACGCAGGAGGCGCTCTATGACAACATTCGTCCAGCTCCACCAGCAGAGCCAGTCTACAGCAATACAACTCAAACCACGCAGGCTCACACGCTTGAATACGAGGCACCGAAATTCGACTCTCGTGTTGTTGACTCGACTGCCGCCACCTCGCCGACTTATGAGATGGCAACCTTCGGGGAGCCTCAGTATGAAGCACCGGTCTCCGCCGTCGAGGCGTACGCCACTGGCTCTGCACCCTACGACACTCTTCACCGCAGATCTGCAGTCGAGTCTCCCGCCTCCGATGGGGTTGTTTACACTCGCGTTTACGCTGCTTCCGGAAGCAACTCCTAGCGAATGTCCCGATGTTTTTGTTTTTGTTTTCCCCTCCCCCCTTTGTGCTGTATAGTCGTTGTGTGTGTGCTTTTGTGATTCAATAGCAACGTTCTCCTCGCTCCGACTGACTTTGACAGAGTCTCGCTGATCTCCAACTTGGAATAACTGGGGGATTTTCGTTGCAATTTCCTCCCTCGCTTTTTCTCAGACAATGTTCACTTTTGGGGGGCCTGTTTCCACTCTTCTTAATACTATCCACACCCATACCTTTTTTTTTTTTTTTTTTTTTTTCCATGTTCTGCATTCAGTTGCTGCTGCCCGTCGTCTTCCTGAGCCACATTGACAGCCTGACGCCGACGCGCGTGCTGCTCGCTGGCTGCGTCCTGCTCGAGCTGCTGCTGTCCTACCGCCCGTGCATCATGTGCACCCTCTGCTTCCTCATCGCAATGGCCATGGCCATCACCGTCGGATTCAGCTCGTACTCGTCCGCCGTGCTGCCCGAAGCCGAGCCCTCGCTTTGCTTCCGCACTCACCACTGAGAGCCACGTATCGTTGCTTCAAGACGTTTAGATCATGACGCGTTTTCGTGGAACTCGGGACGTTGGACGGAGCGTTCGACCGTTCTGCACTCAGCCATCCGACAAGATGGTCGTGCATCTGGGCTGGCGTGGTCAACTCGATGCGATGAAAGGGCACTTGAACGTGTCATTGCAAGCCAAGTAGTTGCTGTTTCGTTGCGTCGAGAGTGCAGTGAATGGACGACAATCGAATACAAAGCAATTTTCGTTGGCGTTTGGTAAGCTTGGAAACAAATCAGGTCAATGCACAGTTGCATCCAAGAAGAGATACAAAGAGTAACAACGTTTAAAAACAACTTGAGCGAACAAACAACCTTGACACGGCGATCTCAGCAGCAGCAGCAACAACAGCAATAGCAACATCTTTTTTTTTTTTTTTTACACGGCGAAGTCAACCACAACAGGCCAGTGGTCACTCACGCACTGGCAGCATGCCACAAACTCGTGATCGAACAGCACATTCTGGATACCCGCAGCGAGGCCAGCGCTCACAAGCATGTGGTCGATCGACGTGTGTTCATCGCCACCTTCGTCAACGCAGCTGTTGTCCTTGTCCCACCAGGAAGTGTATCGGTTTTCCAGTGGAACATGCGACGCCACGTTCGAGAGAGCGAGGTGGGCAGTGCTAGGGTTGATTGGCGTCTTGAGGTACTCGAGCGTGCGCGAAGTGGGAACTGAGCCAGCAATGTCCAAAACGGTGCCGTCGTAATCGTTGAAATCGCCGAGGAAGATGAGCTGTAAAGGGGGGGGGTGTGTGAATCGCAAGTGTAGGGTAGCAGGCATTCTTTGGTCAATCCTCCCAATCATCATCATCAAACCTCCAAGCAACAAGAGAATCAATTCAATACCTCGTCGACGCCCGCAAGAATCGTGTCGGCAGCATTGCGTGCAACCAAGGCTTGGGCCTCGCGCTTGCGGCAGTTCTCTGCTTGCCAAGGCTGCGACAAGAGATGCAGACCCATCATGCCAACCTTCTTGTTGTTGATTTGGAAGGCAGTGAGGTAGTGCTTGGAGACACCAGTGGTGCCAGAAGCGGTCGCGGCAGCACACTGGGTGCCAGGGACGGGATAGTTTTGACGCGACTCGTCACGCGTCATGGCCATGTAAGGGTCTGCGCAAAGCGAGGGCGATGAGAACAAAGAAGCAACAGCAGCAACAAAGCCAAAAAAAAAAAAACCATTAAAAAAAAAACAAAAACATGGCAACACCTATTTGCCGCTTACCAACGCGAGTGAGAATGCCGACATTCTGGCCAGTGGCAGTATCAGTGCCAGTAATCAGGTAGGGCTTGTAACCAAAGCCGGGCAGAGCATTGACCAGGTAGTAGAGAATGGTGCAGTTTTCTATTTCAACGAGGTTGATAATGTCGGCGTTGACGTCCTTGAGAACCTTGACGACGCGGTCAAAGTGCTGCACGGCCTCTTGCGGGGTAGTCCAAGTGCAGTCTCCGGGGCAAGAGATGGCGCCGCGGCGGTGCACGTCCGAATCTGCCCAATCCCAAATTGGCCACAAAATTGAAAGCGCCAATTGAGTGTTCGAAGCCAAGCACGACCCTCCTGCCCCTCCGCTCTGTGATGCGACTTTTTTTGGTTTGTTTTTGATATTTTGTCCGACGAATAGCATCCTTCATTGTACGCAGCAACTTCCTAATGGGGCGATTTTCCCATCCATCCATCCTATGCCACACAAAGCTCCAACTCGTTTCTGATCTCTCCCGTTCGTTCGCGAATCCAGAACACCCAAGCATTTTTAGTCTGCGCAGATGGGCAACCGGGTCCGCATCGCGACATGGAGGGTGAGGCGCTGAATGCGGTTGGTTTGGTCCCGATCAGCAAGGGCGCGTGTCACCTCGCGTTTCGTTTGGATGATCACATTCGACTCTTTGCTACGACTACTCCAACCCACTCTCCGCGTTCCAAATGCGCCTACATCTTGTCACTGATAACTATACATGAGCGGTTGCATGTCCATTTCCCCGAATCGCTGCAAACAGAGGGGGGAAAGTGGAGAAGTGGGGGAAAACAACGCTGTTACCACTTGATTGACTGCTGCGCTTGTCGTCGGTGCCACTCTCGCGAGCGCCCGTCGGGGCGAGCTGGCCGAGGAAGAGCCACTCGGCATTGAAGCTGGCCACACGCAGACGCGACTTGTCCGTGCGGCGGTCTTCCGGGTTGGCCGGGGCGGCGGGGCAGGCGACGGGGTAGGTGGCGCCAGTCCGACGACCCTGCGCTTCGGACGAGGACGAGGCCGAGGACGAGGACATGGACACGGCGAGTGCAACAGCACCGCAGACGAGGCCGATGGCGAGAATGGCGCCAAGCACCACGCGCGTGCGGCGGCTCATCATCGCTCGGGCCGTCTGGGGAGATTGCTGCTGCTGCTGGACGATCAGCGCCGTGGCCTCGCTCTGATTCATGATTGGAACGGGAGCAGCAACAACCAGCAGGACTGAGCCAAAGCTAGCTCACAATTTAAATTGTCAAAATGTGGTCTCATCATCCACGCTGCACACTTTTCCAGCACGACTTGTGTGTAGGGATGAGCCATGGATTCATTTGTCGACAGTCCATTGATTTCAACATTGATTCATTCATTCAGTCTTTTTTTCCCTTTCATTTTCGCGCCTCCGACTGAGAAAATGTCTGCCGTTGAACGACTCGGTAATCCACACACATACATTACACACATTGACCATTGCATTGCATTGCATTGCATTGCATTGCATTGCAGTCAAGTGTGGGGAATGGCTTGTTGTTCGTCGTTTCATTGTTGTGTTGTTATTTTGAAAATGTTTGACGCTAATGCTGCTTTCTTGCTGTTTTCTTTGTTTTGTTTCTATTTGGCAGCCAACTCGCAGGCCAACATTGATCGCATCCAGGCAGTCGAGGCCTGCTTTGGCAGCAGCGGCAAGGTACCACAATTCCCACCCCCCTCCAACAATCGCATTCACCAGGACCAAGGACAGGGTCTTTTTTTTTTTTTTTTTTTTTAAATTCTCTCATAGCCGCATCATCACAGAGTTGTCTTGCCGAGTCGCGTCGTCGCGTTGAGCAAACAAAGCACACGACAAAGAATGAGAGAGAGTCACTTGCAGAGTCGCACAGTCGACGAGCAGCGAAGCGTGGCGGCGACGGCAGCAGTGAGGAATTGGCTTGGGAATGGCTTTGTCGCGCGACCTCTTGCTTTGGAGCACCCCGTCGCATGCAGCACTCCACCCCTCAAGAGTCGGTGTTTGCCCTGTGTGTGCTTGACGAGGCGGGTGGCGTGATGGAGGGAGGCGGGGGGGGGGGAGATGGAAGCGCCGTTCCACTCTCCAGCCTCCCAACCTCATTGCTCCACACAAAAGCGGCGACCTCGATGGCCATCAGTGCTTGCTGAGTGCTTGTGTCAATGTCGGGGACAACGTTGCCTTTTGCCTTTTGGATTTCAGACGAGTTTGGCTGGCGGAACAGGGAACACTACCAAATCGCTCTTCTCTGCCACTCACCCTCGACCTCCTTCTCGCACAGATGCTGCAAAAGGCTGGCCGAGTGCTTATTGGCGAAGGCATCCTGACAAAGATGTGCCGCAAAAAGCTCAAGCCTCGGCAGTTCTATCTCTTCAACGACTGCATCGTGTACGGCTCAATCATCATTCCGCGCAAAAAGCTCACGCGACAACGCCTCATCCCCCTGGCGCACATGTTTCTGCGGCCTATTGCCGACACCGAATCAGCAGGTAGGTCGTGCTTTTCAAACCCCTCGAGTTGTGTTTTGGCTCTTGAAGCTGATTTTTTTGACCGCTTTTTGTCGTTCCTGGTTTTTTTTTTTTTTGTTTGTTTGTTTGTTTGTTTGTTTTTTTTGCACGGCGGCAGCGATGAAGCATGGCTGGTACATTCTTAGCAAAGGCAAATCATTCCAAGTCTTCACTGCAACCGAGCAAGAGAAGCGCGAGTGGATGGCACACATTTGCAAATGCGTATCGGATCAAACGGGGCGAGGTAGGTTGTTTGGTTGCGTTATTCTTGGTCCTTTTGCGAGTACCGTTGGTCTCAATTTTAAGCTCTGTCTCACGACATCCTTCTTCCTTGCGCCCGGCACAGAACAAGTAATGGTGACTGAAGACCCGAAGGACACGGCGGCCGTCTGGATCCCCGACGACAAGGCCACAACCTGCATGTGCTGTCGCAAAGTCAAATTCAATCCTGTTATTCGAAAGGTACAGGGGCGAGAGCATTTTTTGCTTGCCGAAGAGTTTGCACGATTAGTTCTTACTTGTTCAAAATCCCCCCCCCTTCTTCCCAACCCCCCTCCTTTTCGGTTACGTGCCAACACTCACCAAAATTTAGCATCACTGCCGTCGGTGTGGAATGGTTGTCTGTTCCGGATGTTCGCGAAACCGAGCGTTGCTCGCCGATATTGATGAAAAGCCAGTGCGCATTTGCGATTTGTGCCATCGCGTAACATCTGCCGCTGCTTCGCAAGAGGGCGCGGCTACCAACGCTTCCTCTACAGGGGCAACGCCAGCAGCAGCAGTAGCAGCAGCAGTAGATGCATCAGAAGACAAGTCAACAGAAGTAGCCCAAGAACTTGCGGCGCAAACCCTCGAGTCCCCGCCGTCGCCTGTCTCTCGGTCACCAGCGGAGCCCGTGACTCCGGATGAGCCGATGACTCCAGATGCATTGTCATCGTCGGACGAGGATGAGGACGAGGACGACATTCTCGGCGATCTCAGCAAGGTCAGCCGCGAGATGATGATTCCTGGCAATCGCACCTCCGTCTTTTTCTTTGCAGACAACAAGCGTGAATCCGCATGATGTCGCTGTTTGATACAGGGCGTTGGTTGCGTGTGTGTATGTGTTTTTTCATTCGGTTTTTTGGTTTTTTTTTTGTTTGTTTGTAAACCAAGTCATTTGGTTTTTCGCTTCCATCGTCTTGCAATTCTGTGCAGTTCATGCTGTTGCATGCAGGTGGAAGGCTCTGAGTGCCGATTTCCGCCAGATTTCAGATGTGATGTTGCGCCAGCCACTTGCTCTTCCTAAGTCGTTTTGCCCAGCATTTCTTGCAAGCTGCCTTAGCTCAGTCGGTAGAGTAGAGGACTTTTAATCCTCGGGTCGGGGGTTCGAGCCCCCCAGGCAGCGGTCCTTTTTTTTCCGAGTTTTAGTTTTTTTTTTCTCCCTTCCTTGTTCCTACACCCTTCCTTTTCGTATCTTTCCATCGGCATACCTAGCTACTATGTTCGATTCGTGCCACACACACATCACGCCAACTCGATGGAAAAGAACGGCAATTGTTGTTTTTTGTTGTTACTGTATTTTTGTTAATTTTTTTTTTTCGAATTTCAGCAAAACTCAATCACTCGTCCTTGGACTGGATCATGCGCTTTTGCCGGTCATACACGTATCGCTTAAAGGATAAGACAATCTCAATGGCTTCGGCCTCGGGGGCAGGTGCCTTGCCTTTGCCTTTGGGTTTGTCGGATGCTGCCAACGTTGCCTTGGTTGCGTCACTGACAGCTTGCCGCATTCGCACACGGAACTTGCCGCTTTGCCCAAAGGCGCCTTCAATTTCGCCTACTTCACCTGCAGGTGATGCCTTTGAGTCAGATCTGCAGGCAACACTTGTTTCGAGCTCAACTTGCTTACCACTTGACAAGCCAACTTGCAGGCCCAGGAACGGTTCTAGCGTCGTTTCTTTCTTGAACAGCCCTTTGCCAATCAGTGTGTAGTCATCCAGGATCTGTGTTTGTGTGGTGGCACAGAAAAGTACGGGCATCAACACAGCAAACTGAGAATGCGGGAAAACGCCCATCGGCAAAACAAGAACCCTTGGGGCACGCACCCGCTCGACAGTGCCAGTGCGCGATTTTCGCTTAAACACTTTCAGCTTTGGGAGAAACGTTTCGCGGTAGCTCTTGTCAGTCAACGCTTCGTGCACGCGTCCCGAAAACGCCAAGCGACATGCTTTTGTGTGCACGTCAGGGTCGAGATCGAGGCGTGAACCGATGAGGAGCGCATTGGACAAGCAGGCAACAGGGTGATCTAGCTCGATCAGAGCAAATGTCGCAAGTGGGGCGGGTGGTTGGCCGCTATTGCTTGCGTTTTCTTGTGGCGGGCGACCAAGCTCTTCCGCAAACGCATACTCCTTATCCACCTCAAATCGCGCATTCCCTTCACCATCTAAAGACGCACGCACGACGCATGAGTAAAATGGTCAAAATGGCCACGCCGCTTCACCAGACACTGATTTCTGTTTGCTCACCGCGTGTAAAGAATGAGGCCGTTCCCATCACAGTTTCGTGACCCATGGACACTGTGCCGGCGCACCAGACGATCAAATAAGGCCACAGACCCCACCAGTCAACTTTAAAGAGGCTCGCCTACCATGAAACCGACTCTTGCTGAGGACTGGCAGCTTGAAAAATCGAACCTTGTCGACTCGGGCGATCAATGCATGTGCAAAAATGACTGCTCCAGCCGCACAGGCGTAGCCACGCTCCAACGTACTAGCGTCAAACTGAGTGACGCAAATTCCGGCTCGGTCACCCTGAGTTTTCGCCAACAGGTCAGCCTTTTGGTTGCAAGAAACAAAAACAAAAAAACAAAAAAAAAAAAACAGACCAAACGTTCACGAACGCCCCTTCGAGTCGCTGGCTTCCTTTACCGCTGTAATCTGCTGCACGGGTCGGTGGAACATCTGAATGGACTTGATTTTTCGGCTTAATTTTGCAGTCGGAATCTCAATGTTCTGAAAGCCAAACAAAACAACCCAAACAACAATTTCATTTTTCGTGCTTGTTAAATACTTGAATACGAGAACTGTTCCTTTTTACCTCATTCACTTGGATCTGGCCGGAAAGAGCAGTGCCAGTCAAGACGGTGCCTTGGCCCTTGATAGCAAAGCAGTGGTCGACAGCAAAGACGAACGGTGCCGCGGAATCGTGACGTTGCCGAGGCACTGACTTGGCCAACACCTGCCAGTCGACGAAGCACAGCTTTTGAGTTTCAATCTAGAGGCAACGGCGACGGCTTCTACTTGTACTACCTGAATGAGATTCTCAACACCAATGGCTGGACCGGTTGCCGGACGCGCTGCAACTGGAATCACCGCCACTTGACCAAACTTGGTGGTGGCGAACGTCTTGGCAAGACCTCGCGTCACCTGCATCCAAACGGTTGTTGGTACAGCACGAAATCCCCCCCCCCAAGTTAATAACGAGCACAAAAAGGACGAGCGCTCGTTTCATGCCAACCGTGCCTTTTCGATTGTCTGGGCTCGCTGGTCTTCCGGAATTTGGTCAATCTTATTCAGAGCCACGACTAGGATATCACACATGATTTCGCCAATGACAAGACACTGAGCAAGTCGGGAGGAGGGGGGGGGGTTTCGAGCCAAAGTGAGCAACATACGGGCAAACCCTGACAAGGACAGATTGTGAGTTCTGACCTCAGCCGTCTGAGTCTGGATGCCTTTGTTGACGTCGACGACCAGCATCATCATGTCGATGATTTGAGCGCCGCCAATGATGGTCCGAATCAGATCTGCGTGACCTGGGCAGTCGACCAACGTGAACTGGAGTCGATCGTATGCCAAATCTGTGACAGACAAGACAGAATCAAAAAACAAGAACAAAAAACGGCCTCAAAACCGCTGATGGCTGAAACATCCATCACAAAAGGACACAATGTACAAGTGCTGATGTTGTGGCGGCATTACCAGCGAGGTGCTCTGGCATTGGGGTGACGGACAGCGACGAGAAGCCGAGGTCGAGCGTGATGCCGCGTGCCTGCGACTGCGGGTTTTTGTCGAACGCGGCTGTGGATGCGACAGTGCTCAGTGCCTTGGCTGGTGCGCATGTCAAAATGGCATGTAGGGTGAGAAAGTGGGTTGAGGTGAGTGAGGGTGAGCTGCTGATGACTGAGCAGCAGGGGTCGCGTACCAAGTGCTGTCTTGCCGCTGTCAATGTGGCCCAGGACTCCCAAGTTGACATTGAGCACGCGATCTAATTTCACAAGCCAAAAACAAAGGCATATGATTTGCAGTCAGCATGGTCTTGGTCTGCATCGACATGAGCTCGTTTCAACCGACCTTGTCCTCCAGCACTCATTTTTCAACGAACGAGGACTGTTTGTTCGGATTCCAATTCAGTTCTCTTTTCTATCGTTTTATTTCTTTTATTTCTTTTTTTTCGTCCTTTGTTTCTTTGTCACTTCTGTCCATGAGCGCGAAAGGTAACCGAGTTGAGTTTGAGTTTGAGTGAGAGTGAGATTGGCGAACAACTTGCGGCACGAGTCATCGCTCGCTCTCGTGCCTGCCTCGCTGCGTGCCGTGTGTCTGGGCCTCCCCGCTGTACCAGCATCAGGACAGAACGGGGGTGGGGGGCAAGTTCGCAGCCGACGAAGCGAGGCAGGATGCAACGAGCCGACTGGCGCAAACAATGAGCGAGCAGAAGAGAAGAAGAGCATGGAATAAAACAAAGCAAACCCCCGCTCTCTTGCTCTCTCTTGCTCGTTCTCCCTCCTCGCTCGCCTTGCCGACAAGGGAGACACGATGAGCGAGCAAGCAGCGCACAGTAGCACACCCGTCGCCCTCTTCTCTCCCCCCCCCTGGCACACGCTGCCGAGCACAAACACAAACACACTTATCGTTGATTTTTTTTATTTTTTTTTATTTTTTTATTATTTTATTTTTTTTATTTTTTTCCCCGCCTTCTTCTTTTCGATTGGCTGAAGCGACCTTTTTTTTTTCTTTTTTTTTTTTGTTGTTGAAAGATCCGCGTCTCGTCATTCGCAGACACTCACACACTCATTCACTCACTCGTACGCACGCAATCTCCCTTCCATCGCGATGCACTCCTCAACGCAACTCCCGTCCGCTGTTCCCGCCTTTTTTTCGTTTTTTAAACAAAAACCTCGAGAATTTTTTTCATTTTATTCTTGTTATGATTTTTTTTATTTTTTATTATTTTTTATGATTTATTTTTTTTTATTGATGTGACGCATCTTTTCGGCGAAAGCAGTTACGCGCAGGAACAAAGGCGGGCAAAGGTCTGTGACGCAGGAGAGAGTTGGGAACTGTGAGACGCAAGGGGGGTTGAGTCTGTGCCCCGTGCGCAGTCGAGCGAGGCGAAAGAGCGAGAGTGGTGGGAAGAAAGGGGGTGGGGAAGCACGAGCGAAAAAAAAAATAATAAAAAATAAATAAAAAATAAAAAATCATAACAGTACATCAGTTCCGAGCGAGCACGATGAAGGGGGGAGGGAAGGGGAGAGGGGGTGTGTGTCGCAGGGAGAGGGGTGCGAGAGTGTGCGTTGAGCACCGACAACAAACCAAAAAAAAAGTGAGCGGTTGATGGTGAGTGGGGCAGAGCCGATAAAACACCTCTGGCACGGCACGCGAGCCGTGTTTGCAACAGTCGCCCACGCTGTCGTGCGCACTGCACATCATCATCATCGTCGTCGTCATTGTCATTGTCATTGTCATCATCAATGCACGGGCTAACGCAACGGGGAGCGCGGACAAATCATGAAACCCAAAATAACATTTTAAAAGAGAAAAAGAAAATAAATAAAAAGGCGCGCCTTCACTTTGTGAGCAACAACAACAACTCACAAGTCGCGGCAGGCGGGGGACAAGTGAAGAAACAAGGAGGAGGGTGTGTGTATGACTGTGTGGACATGAAAATCCCAAAAAAAAAACTCACTGCTTTTTTTTTGTCTCTTCACCCCCTACCGATTCTCATTCTCATCAGTCTGCACAAAGTGCAACAAGGCCATCGACGGCGATGCGCTCGACTTTCAGGGCAAACTCTACCACCCAACGTGCCTCGTGTGCGCCGTCTGCAACACGAGACTCGCTGGAACCATCTACGCAAAGGATGACAAGCTCTTCTGCCAGTCAGACTACTTCAAGACGTACTGCAAGACGTGCGCCAAGTGCCACCAGTACATCACCTCGGGCGGCATGCTCGAGGCCGCAGGCGAGCACTACCACTCGCCCTGCTTTTCGTGCGAAAAGTGCGGCGTCACCTTCAAGGATGGCGACCCGTTCGTCGTCGAGAACGGCCGCCCCGTCTGCCAGGCGTGCGGCGGCCTCTTTTGCGCCATCTGCAACGGCTTGATCACCTCGGGCACGTACAATGTCTTTTTCGAGCACAAGTTCCACACATACTGCCACAAGTGCAACGTGTGCGGTACCGACTTTAACGACTCGCCCGTCATCTTCCACGACAACCTCCTCTGGTGCCGAGCGGACTTTCAGCGCGCCTTCCCGGACATTAACATTCAAGAGGTCCAGCAGGCTCCTTCGTCTGGCACGCAGACCATTGAAAACCCTCCCAACTCGTCCTCCGACGGTGCTGGCACCTCGTTCGACGACTTTCTCTCCTGGGACAATCGCGAGGACGAGCGCGAAAAGCATCTCAACTGGATGCTCAAAGAGGTCGAGTTGCGTCCCATCGAAGCCGAGATTCTCCTCAAGGTCCACTCCCAGCCCGGCGGTTGGTTTGTCTACCGAGCCAACATGGATCGCTCTCGAGACTTTGCTCTTCCAGTCCTGTATGTTTGGGAGTGTTGTCCTTGTTGGTTTCTCTTTGTTCCTTTTTTTTTTTGTTTTTTTTTTGTTTTTTTCTTGTTTCTGTTGGCTCGGCGTTGCAGCGCACAGACTAACATCCTCGCTGGTTGACTTTTTTATTCGTCGGATGAACAGGATCAATAAGGACCTGGTCAAACACTTCAAAATCTTGTTCGTCGAAGGCCAGTACTGCTTGAACGTGATGGAGCGCCGCTTCAACTCGATCGAGGAGCTGATCAACTACTATCGCACGCATGTCATCCACGAGAAGCTCATGCTTGGTGTCCCGCTCGAGTTCCCCACGTTGAAGGCGGACGTCAAGAGCTTCCCCGCCGACCTCCCCGTTCAGCATCACGAAGAGTACGCAAGCACATTCCAGGCGGCCGGCGCGCAAGAGTTGATTATCGGGGCCTGCAACGCCTTGGAAACCTTGTATTCCGTCGATCCCCACAAGGCAGAGGATTTGTCCATGGTTCGACGCGTCCTGGCCAGCGCGCAAGCGACGTTGCGAATGCTGAAGGCTGTTTTGGCAGATCATCGTAAGACACTCACCCCGCCCTCCGCTCTTGTTTTTCAAACCTCTGTTGCTTTTCTGGGCAGGTCTCCATTCACGCTACTCGTTGTTGCAATTGTGCTTCATCTCATTCACCTTCCTTTTTTTTTTTTTTTTCGTTTTTTTTTTTTTCGCCCCGGTTGTCGTCATGACCTAGAACGCCTTGGAAAGACCAAGTTCGAAAACGAAGACTTCTACAACGAGGCCATTAAGGCCCTTGAGGCCCAGACGACGCTGCTGGCAGCGCAAGTGGCCGCTCAAGATGCCGGAATGGAGGAGATTGTTCCCATCTCGGACGCCGAACTGGACAACGTTTCGCTGGCTCCACTCGAGCCGACCGACCCTACCGGCGCCACGATTACGCTCGGCGGATCGAACGCCACGTCGCACATTTCCTTCTATCTTGTCAACACGACCGTGTTGCAGTGGCTGCGCGAGTTCTGGTTTGCGTCGCAGTTGACGGACAGCGACGGCAAGATGACGGTCGACAACTTTGTCAAAGTGACCGAAATGACCCTGCCCATGCGTCGCCCAGAGGTGATTTACAGCACCTTCCGCGAGAACAAGGACTTGCGCCGTCGCGCCAAGAAGGACGGCGGCCTGTACTTTGACTCGTACCTGCGCTTCATCCACATCCTGTTTGACTTTCCGCACATTTCGGCGCTCTTCCGCCGCTACGCCAAGACGTCGGACGAGTACATGACCATTCTCGAATTCAAGTCGTTCCTCACTCAGCAGCAAAAGCTGCGCAACACGGAGCGTGTTTTGCGCCACTACTATCGCCTCTCGTCGCAGCAGAGCATCTCGGCCAAGGACATCAAGGCTTCCACGGATGTCTTTGGCGCCTCGATCGGTGTCACCAAGGAGGGCTCGCTCACGCTGTTTGGCTTTGCCAACTTTTTGATTTCAGAGGAAAACGCGCCCTTCAACCCCTTGCACGGTGTTGTCTACCAGGACATGAACCAACCTCTGCAGTCGTACTACATCAACTCGTCGCATAACACCTATCTCGAAGGCGATCAGCTCAAGAGTGCGTCGTCGACCGAGCCCTACCGCAAGGCGTTGCAGTCGGGCTGCCGCTGCGTCGAGCTCGATCTCTGGGACGGCCCGAAAGGCGACCCCGTCATTTACCACGGCTACACGCTCACGTCCAAGGTCCGCGCCCGCGACGTGCTCGAGACCATTGCCAAGCACGCCTTTGAAAAGTCTCCCTTCCCGCTCATTCTGTCGCTCGAAAACCATCTTTCCCTTCCCCAGCAGAAGGTGTTTGCACAGTACTGCCTCGAAATCTTCTCTGACAAGATCATTCCCACTGCCACCGAGGGCTTCTGGGAATCCAACCCGGCGACCCTGCCCTCGCCTTTCGCGCTTCGCAACAAGATTTTGATCAAGAACAAGGCCATCGCGTCTCGCGGCGAGGCCGACAGCAAGAAGATTGCCAAGGAGCTCAGTGATTTGGTCGTGTACACCAAGGCCGTGACGTTCGAGTCACTCAAGCAGGCGCACAAGGATACTCGCTGCTACGAAATGTCCTCGGTCCCGGAAAAGAAGGCCTTCAAGCTGGCTCGCTCCAACGGCAAAGAGTACTCGGAGCTCGTCCAGGCTCGCTTGAACCGCACCTACCCCGACGGCATGCGCTTTGATTCGAGCAACTACGACCCGCAAACGTTCTGGAACATTGGCTGCCACATGGTTGCGCTCAACTTCCAGACGCCCGACCGCGCCATGCAGCTCAACGAAGGCAAGTTTATGCAGAACGGCACCTGCGGCTACGTGCTCAAGCCCGCGTTGCTGCGCTCCGCGACGCCACCCACGACCGAAGAGGTGCCCTGCTTGACGCTTACGATTTCGCTCCTCGCCGGTATTCAACTTGCGCACCCACGCGGCAAGCGTCGCGCCCTTGATCCGTACGTCGAGATGGAAGTCATTGGTCTGAACAACCAGGTTGCGCAGTCGTCCATCCAGCACAAGGTCATCGACGGTTGCACCGTAAGGCTCCTTTCCTTTTTTTTTTTTTCTAAATTGTGTATTGGCTGGTGTTTGTGCAATGGTCTCATTCACTTTTGGTGCTTGCATGGCGTGCACAGTGGGACGAGACTTTCCAGTTTGCCGTCTTTATGCCTGACGGTGCACTGCTGCGGTTTGTTGTCTTTGACGAGAAGCTTGGCCCGAAGGATCCTCTCGGTTTCTTTGTTGTTCCGATCGAAAGTCTTCAGCAAGGTACAGCGCGATGCTTGCTGGAGACATTGTTGATTTGTATTACGGTAATTTGGTTGTTGTTGTTGTTGCTCAATCTCTGCTGTTGCCAACCACTTTAGGCTATCGTCACATTCCGATCAAACGTGTTCACGCGTTCATGCATGCCGAAACGTTGGACCACTGCTCCTTGTTTGTGAACATTGCCATGTCGCCGGGCAAGGTAGGGAAGATTTTGCTCATTGTTGACTTGGTTGACTTCGGTTTCTGCATTGTGGCAACGCCCGACTCATCTCCCTTCTCCCCGTCCCTTTGGTTTTTTTTGTGTGTGTGTGTGTGGGTTGCTTGTCATTTTCCAACTCTGCCTCCACAGCCTCAAAAGCGTGAAAACATTTCGGGAAGTGTCGAGAACATTGCCAAGCTTGGTTCGACACAGTCAATTCCTTCTGGATCGAACTCACAGTCTGGCAGCGAGACAAACCTGCCTTCCGTGTCCCCTAGCGGCACGCTGACTGCAAAGGACTTTGCCATCGCCAACGGAGGTGGATCTCGTCGCTCCAGCGTCGCCCCAGTCCCCAGTCTCACGTCCGAGGCGTTGCGTCGTGGAAGCATCGCACCCGCACCAGCTGAAATGCGCCGTGCCACCGCCATGCCTGAAGATACTCGCATCAAGCTGCCCGAGGATCTTACACGCAATCAAAGCATTCGGCTCCACATCGAAGCACCGGCTCCCTCTGAGGAGACGCCCGCCGACTCGCCAGCAGACACGCCCGCAGACACGCCCGCCGCTGTCGAAGAGCCCGTTGAGGAGGCAGCGTCAGTCGAAGAGGCAGCGCCTGTACCCCAGTCCTCCAGCCCTGCGCCACCTGTGGCGGAGCCGGTCGTTGCTCCTGCAGTCTCTGAGCCTGATGTGACTCGCGCCTCAATGTCCTCTGCCAGTCCGTCTACTCCCTCGACCCCAACAGCTGCAACAGCCGCTGCGCCCGTTCTGGACAAGAAGCAGTTGAAAGAGCAGGAGAAGCAAAACAAGATTCGCGAGAAAGAAGAAAAAGAGGCTGCCAAGAAGAAGGAGAAGGACGACAAGATAGCCGCCAAGCAGAAGGAAAAGGACGACAAGGAAGCCGCCAAGAAGAAGGAGAAGGACGACAAGGAGGCTGCCAAGCAGAAGGCCAAAGACGACAAGGAGGCTGCGAAGCAGAAGGAAAAGGACGACAAGGAAGCCGCCAAGCAGAAGGAAAAGGACGAAAAAGAGCAGAAGGAAGTCGCCAGAAAAGAGGAGCGTGAGCGCCGCAAGTCCATCAAGAAGGAGAAGGGCAAAGCGCCTGCCGCTGCCGCCGAGCCTTCCGAGGACGCACCACCCAGTTAAATTCCGCATTTCTTTTTTTTTTTTTTCTTTTTTGTTTTTTTCTGTCTTCTTCCCCCTCACTATCCTCTTTTGCATTCCCAGTCGTTCGCACGATGGAGGATTCTACTGGTCGTTTCACTCCTTCCATTGTCGTGTCAATTTCGATGTGATTTGTTGATTTAATTTGTTTTTGCGCCGATTTGTTAAAATCCACTGCGATTGCATTCAACGAAGAAGCATGTTTAGATTTGCAAAACATAACATGAGAAGGGTTTGTATTGTCTGAGCTGCTCATATCTGATGGCAGGTTGATTTCACCACCTGGACCATCAACTCTTTGTCGGCAACGTGTCTGACGAACGGATCCATCTTTCAGGAAAGCGATTTGTTGGAGGGATACAAGAACACTTGAGCGAGAATGGCGAGATCGACGAGCACCTGAACAATACCGCAGCAAATAAATTGCAAGGGGGAATGTCGTGTCACAAAATAGATGGTCTTGAAAACGTCACCAGCCAGCCAGCCCAACACCATGGCGTTACTAAGAGACGAAAAAACAAGCCAAAACAAAACCAAGTGAGAAAGCACAAATCAACAAGTGAGGAGACAAAGGCCCCCTCGTCAATCTGAACGACACCAGACCGCATCCATTTTCGCTACCTCATTCCTGCAGTTGACTTGGTGCGCCAGTTTTTCAAAAACTGCGGGATGGCCAGCGATGCTTCCAACGCAACCGACGCGACACCAAGCAGCTCAACAAACCAATTCTGTTGAATCAGCATGACCGACACGACGCCCAGTGCTGCCGTGAACACGACGAGAAACATTGTATAGTCTTGGAAGTTGCTCCATTGCCAGAACGTTGCCGGGTCGAACAAGTGCGCGATTGCTGTCCGCACCACACAAAGTCGAGGACGAGTCGAATGTGAGTGTCGAATTGGCTCAGAGAGCGAGTCCCAATCTGAGTGAGAACCCAAACCCTAACCCTAACCCTAACCCGCTCCCCTCCCCCGCGCCTCGCCATCGTTTCGCATCCCTTTACCGAATGGGCTTTTGTTGGCGTTCGATCGACGTGCGCTGGATAGAGCAGAGGACGAGAGACTGGCGCCGAGTGCAGCGACGCCACTGCCGTTGGAGCCCGTTGCGAGGTCATCGAACGCTAACGACGACGACGACGACGAGCGCATCGAGACGCAGAGCTCGAGCATCATGAGCTGGGCGACGAGCATGACGACCGACTGGTACACGAGCGCCATCTCGAATCGCTTGCCCAGCCTGCGAAGGTAGAGTAAGAAGAAGTCATGGTAAGTAAATGGGTGAACGACGTCTACGCTATGCTGTGCTGTGCTGTGCTGCGCTGTGCTGTTCTGCAGATACGCAGCGTTCTCTCACCAAAAGTACAACCGGACAATGTTGGCGAGGATGAGAATCAGGCTGACAAAGGTTGAAAAGCCGCTTGCATTGCGCGTCTGCTTGATGGCGAGGTACTGCGGGACATACGGCAGCACACCGCCAAAGATCATGAACGCGGCCGCAATGAAGCCGACAAAGTCGCCCAGATCAACCATCGTGAAGATCAACGGGGTGGTGCTCTCAGCGTGCGTGGTGTTCAAGGGTTGAATTTTTGTCAAAAAAGAAAAAAGAACAAAACAAAAGATTCTGAGAATTTGGACAATTCAAAGGCTGGAGAAGACTGAGCATAGCAGTCGGTCGCCGAATCATCGTCAGCAAGTAGGAACTGCCATTGACTCCTGTAGTGAATGAATAGCGCATCACGAATCCATCCATCCATCCATCCATCCATCCTGCGAGCGATCGCATTTCGAAGAGCAATGCGTAAACGCGTCAAAGTTGCTGCTTGCTGTTCTCTCGTTTTCGGCCTGCACTGCATGGTCGCCGTACAGTCATGATTCACCACACAATTATTACGCACTCGACGACATAGACACGCGTTACGAACTCACTCCTTGTTTCCCCTTCCCTTCTCCTCGATTGAACATGGTCGCTGCTGTTTCGCTGGCTGACATTGCGTCGCGCGTGGTCCGCCCCGGCCAGCGCGTGCTGCTCCTCGCCAACCCGGCCATCGCGTCGGCTGCCATTGTCGATGCACTGCAGCTCCTCAACGGCGTCGTCGGCACGGACTCGTCGGCGCCCGTCGCGCTCGAGCAGGCCGACCGCCTTCTCCAAGGTGAGTGAGGGGTTCCGCGAACTTGCCGCTGCTTTCCCCTCCCTCCACTGCCGCCTTCCTCCACTGCCGCCCCGTCATCACACGAAGATGCGCTTCAAAAGTGTCGAAACACGTTGAAATCGAACCACGTTGAAAACGAACCACGTTGAAAAAACGTCGAATGCGAAACGAGTTTAGGTTGGGAAAAAAAAAAAAAAAAAAAAACACGGAAAAAAAAAAAGACGACACGAGGAAGAAAAAAAAAACGGAGGTTTTGTTGTTTTGCTTCTGAGTTTCCGAGTTTCCGAGTTTCCGAGTTTCCGAGTTTCCGAGTTTCCGAGTTTCCGAGTTTCCGAGTTTCCGAGTCTCCGAGTCTTGTCGTGTTGCAACACTCACTTTGATTTGATTTGATTTGATATTGTGTGCTTGCTTCTGTCTTGTCTCAAAAACCCATGTCAACATCCATCACGCCCCGGTTCGACGGATGGATTGGAAAAATCTCAATGCGTTTGGTCAACAAACTCCCCGATTCATCGTCAACATTGCCAGTGAGCTTGGCTGCATCGTCGTTTGATGTCGTGCTCGCGGGAGTACTCGCCCCGCACGTCGAGTGGCACGACAGCGATCTGCTTGCAGAGCTCGCGCGCATTCTCAAGCCATCGGGATGCCTTGTTCTCGTCGAGCCCGTCCTCGAGACTCAGACACGCTTCCAACACCGCACAACGGACGCTCTGCCGGGCGCATTGCGCCTCGCTGGCCTGGTGGAGGTTGCCGAGTTTGCCCCCACTGTGCCTGCTTCTCAGGAGGAGGTTGCGCAGTTTGCCAACTACTGGGCGCGCGGTGATGCGGAAGCGCTGACCACCCTGCAGACGTCGCTTCGCATCACTGCCGTTGTCGCAAAGAAGCCTGCCTACGAGGTCGGCCACTCTGCCCAACTCCCGCTGTCATTCAAGAAGAAGCAACCTGTTGCTGCTGCTGCTGCTGCAACTACTACGACGACAACCGCGCCCGCTCCGACCAAGAGCGCCGCTGCCGTCTGGAAGCTCGATTCGGACGACGTCTTTGGCGACGATCTTCTCGACGACGAGAAGGATTTGCTCACTGCGGCCGATTTCGCCCGACCAGCGCGCGCTCCCGCTCCACGAGATTGTGGCACAGACAACACTGGCAAGGCCAAGGCCTGCAAGAATTGCTCGTGCGGTCTTGCCGAGGAATTGGCCGCAGAAGCCGCTGCTGGCGGCCCCAAGCCCGGTGCAGCCTCCACCTTCAAATCTTCCTGCGGCAACTGCTCGCTTGGCGACGCGTTCCGCTGCTCTAGCTGCCCATACCTCGGCATGCCGGCATTCAAGCCCGGCGAACAGGTCAAGTTGAACGATCGTCAACTTCGCGCCGACGCTTAGAACTCTTTGTTATGACTTGCTGGATATGATGGGTGGTTTTGTTGTGTTGTTTTGATGATTACTGAATTGACATTTTATTTGCGTTTTACTGCTTCAAGGACCCCCTGCTTGGTGTCATTGGATGCGTAGCAAACACCAAAACGCGTTGTTGCCACTTTGGCCCTCTCGCACCCGCAATTATCGCCATTATTGGGGACCACTGACTCGTGCAGAGACGTGTCACTTGGAGGCCAAAATGAAGGGATGCGACAATGCAGCGGATGGAGAGATGCGGCGAGCGGGATCCCAAGCGAGGCACTGGTCGATTAGATCTGCAAGCTGCGTGACTCGACGCAGTTCCGCCTCATTCAAGCGAGCCGACCCGATCATGGATGCCAGCAAGTCACGCGTTGGCTGGGCATTGTTCGTTGGGCGGATGATTTGCTGCAGAGAATGGGGAGAATCAGAAACAACAACAACAACAATAACAACAACAAGGTGAGAGCGACGACACAACTTTCCAACACACCAACAAAATCCCCCCCCCTCACACCTACCTTTTGCGTAATCTTGTCAGTATCAACAAACAGCAAATTGAAATCTGCATCAAAATGCTTGTCCTTGAAAGCGCCTTTGCGAAGGTACTTGTTGGATGGCTTGCCTTTGAAATCCATGAAAAGTTTGAGCATGTTGTTGTTTGTGTGACCCGGGAACAACACCTTGCCCGTGTACAGCTCATACAGCGTGCAGCCGATCGACCACATGTCAATACCGTAGTCGTACTGTTGACCTAGGACTGTACACGAGAGTATGAACGAACAGACAGAACAAAAAAAAAGAAAAAAAGAAAAAAAAAACAACAAACCAAAAACCCAGACAAATAAACGGTGAGACTCGATGCATCATCCTCCACCTCAAATCGTGACCTTTATCCGCCATCCGCTCGAGACGGCCATAAAAATCATCCAACACGCCGCAAAAAACGTACTAATTTCCGGGGCTCGATAGTATCGGCTCACCAAGTAAGGGGTAATGTCGTTCTCGGAAACGTCGGACGCCGAACCAAAATCACACAGTTTGAGCATGGTCTTGGCCTCGTTGACGAGAATGTTATCTGGTTTGATATCTGCGTGGATGATGCTGCACTTTTGCATCAACCGCAGAGCTAGGAAAAGTTGCATACCATAGGAACGAACAGCACTGACGTGAATGCCGACGCCTTTGCCATACTTTTTCAACAGCTCGCGCAAGTTCATGGCCAACGGCTCAAATACCAAGCACAGGTGCTGCTTGAACTCGAAGCTCCCAAACAGTCGGATGAGGTGGTACTTGTCGTTCGGGTCGGCCGTGTTTAACTTTTTCAAAATCTCCACCTCCTTCAATCCGGCCTTGCTCATCAAGTCGTTCGCACGCAAAATCTTGATGGCAACCTCGCGAACGCCTGTCGTGCCGTCCGGCAGCTGAATCACACCGCCAGGACTCAGGTCCTTGGCTCGGATGACGTTCGAAAACACGCCCTTGTTGCTGTAGTTGACGACCTGGTAGCATCCTCCCACAATCTCTCCGATGGTGGCCTTGTAGTATCCCTCGCCGTCGTCCCAATTCTCGTGCAGGGCAGCCTGAGAATCATCGGCACCCAGTCCGCCAAACGCAGCTGGAATCATGCGTGCTGGCAAATGTTGCACAGCCACCAACGCTGTCTCATCATCTTCCGCAAACATGTCACCAACAACACCACTCACATTGGTGGTGGGCCGCACCACCGGCTTGGAAACTGCCGTTGCAGCAGCAGCATCCGAGTTGTTGTTGTTGTTGATGGCCTTGGCTGCTTTGCGATCGTCCTCGTGGTCTTCAACTCCGTGGGCGCCGTGCCGCGCATCCAGTTCGTCTTCTTGATCTGCGTAAACAATGGCCGCACCGCCTGCGATGGAGCCAGAAGTGTCCATCGGCTGCGAGGTATCGACCCCTTCGTCCGTTTTGGCCAGAACAATGTCCTGCGCCTCCATGGTCTCGCGAAGCGCAGCGTCTTCCGACCCGTCGTCCGCTCCTGGAAGTGGAGACTGCGACACGGAGCCTCGTGAGGACACCGAGTTTCGGCCCGTGGAGAAGCCAGAGCCTTCAACCTCTGACTCGGAATCGCTGTCTCCAGCAACGGACTTGCCACCATAGAGTTTCGATGTGTGTTGTTGTTGCTGCTGCTGCTGCTGCTCAAAGATTTGCTGCTGTGTCGATGGTAGCAATTTGAGCGGTTGCGACGAAGCGGTTGAAGCGACATCCATGGGTTGTGGCTGGGTTGCTGCAGGGGTTGGCTGCGACGCAAGGCGCTTTAAGAGTTCTTGACGGCGCTGCCGTTGACGCTCAATCACGACGTCTTCGTCCTCTTCCTCTTCAAGATGCTCGAGCGAATCTGCTGCTGGTGCCGGTGCTTCAGTTCGGGTGGTGCGGCTGGACGAGGACGAGGACGACGACGAGCTGCTCGAGTGCGAAGAGCCGTGTCCTCTGCTGCTGCTCGAGCTAGAGCTGCCACTTGATCGTGAGTGGGACGAATGCGACGCGCTGCCATGCGACGATGACGGAGGCAGTGACGTCGACGATCCGGACGTTCTCGACGAAGAGGGTTTTGCGCCTGACGATGAGGACGAGGACGAGGACGACGATGCAGCAGTGGAAGGGCCAGCGCTCGAGCTTGACGGACGGCTTGTCGTCGCAGAAGTGTTATGAGTCGTTTGAGTAGTAGTCTGAGCAGCACTTGTCGCATTCGACGGTCGAGTGGTCGTCGACATTGAAGCACCATCAGTAGAAGCAGCAGCAGCAGGATGACCCGCGCCCTCGCTGGGTGCCACCTGCGTCGCCGCAGCCGCCGCTGACAGTGGCGCCACTTGAGCTTGAGCGTGTCCTTGCGCAGGCTGCTGCGACTGCGACTGCGACTGCGACTGTGTGTCGGACGACGCGCGCTTGGCTGCGTCTCGGTAGAAGTCGGCTCGTCTCGCTCGTTCTCGCTCTCGTTCTCGTTCTCGTTCTCGTTCTCGTTCTCGTTCGCGCTCGCGGTCGCGGCTGCGTCTCGAGGACGACGACGACGAGCTGCTGTAATCGCGGCGGTCGTCGCGGTGCGAATGGCGATCGCTGGACGAGCGTCGACGCGATGACGACGAGCTGCTTCGTCTGGGCGACCGCGACCGGGACCGAGACCGGGATCTGGATGGAGAGCGAGACCGAGACCGAGACCGAGACCGAGACCGGGATCTGGAGGGCGATCGTGATCTGGATCGTGATCTGGAGTTGGATCTGGAGCGCGAGACAGATCGCGGCATTGTTGTCTTTGAAAAGTAAGTGGATTGGACTGAGCTGCTCAGACAATTCATACTGTACTGTACAATCACACAAATAATAGTAATGGCAGTGTGGTGGCAAAACACTTCACGCTCGTCTTGTTCAATCGACTCGGTTCAGTGCTCAAATTTGTGAAACCTGAAACTCTGAAAATCTGAGACCACGAAAAAGCTCGTTTCAATCTGATCCATGTCGCTGACGTCGAAGCAATCCACATCCACGCAATCGACGATGAAGACGAGAACGACGACGACGACCAGGACGGCGACAGGACTTGTGGAGCTGCTCGATGCAATGGACGCAGTGGCCGACACTGTGCGAAGACAAGGACAAGGACAAGGACAAGGACAAGGACAAGGACAAGGACAAGGACAGGAACAAGGACAGACCTCAAGCACTCAACTGGATCACACTGTGACGGATCGTGATGGCCATGATCATCGTGGTGGAAGTGCAATGGACGAGCAACACGGACGAGCGCGAGCGGTGACTGAGCCATCGTCGGAGCTGTCACCCGAAGCCCGCCTCATGGCACTGCGCGAGGCACTCTGTCGTATGGCTGGACAGCCGGGTGGCTTCCAGACGAACGCACTGCGACGGCGCGCCTGGCCGCACTTGGTCGACAACACGGCAACATTCATCCGCCACTTTGACGGCGACTTTGAAGGTTTGGGCGCGGATTTCTGAGATGCTCAGACGTTGAGAAGGCGAATTGTCGAGCGTCTCACTCATTGATGAACATTGATCTTTGGAAAAAAAAAACACCACACTCACACACACACACACAAAAAGCTCGGGTGATTGAGCATCCTGAAACGCTCCAAGTCAAGCTCGATGTCGACCGATCGCTCATCCACTATCCACCAAGTAGGTTGGATTTTTGTATCAGATCAATGGGACTGGCATGAGCCGCAAAACTCATCTCGCCTGGTTTGCGCACAGATCTGTCTCCAGTGAAGCTGGCAAAGCTGCGCCAGCATCTTGAAACTGTCATTAACGCCGTGTTGAGCATTCATCCAGAGTTGCATTATTTCCAGGTGCCGAAACCATGGTTGTACCTCGTTTGCTGCTGCACATGCTCCAAAAAGTCTAACCGCTCTTCTTGCTGGACATTGTCAGGGATATCACGATATTGCAACATTGTTTCTACTGGTCATGAATAAGCGCCAGGGGTTTGTGCTGTTGGAGCATCTGAGCTTGACAAAGTTTCGAGGTCAGATTTTCGTCGCTCGCATTGTGGTATGGCGGTCTTTGGCTCATGGTTGGACTTGCGCCGCGCTACAGATTTTATGGGGCCATCTTTGGAAGGCGCCACTACCATGCTTCGGCTAATATTCCCTCTGATAAAGCAAGTGGATCTCGAGTTGTATGCGTTTCTAATTCGGTACGAGTGTAGCCAAGCCTAGAGTGGTGGATTTTCAGTGTTTTACCAGTGTTCAAACTCTGACCACTTTCAATAGCTCTGAAGTGGAGCCAGTGTTCTCCCTATCCTGTGTCCTCACGTGGTTTTCTCACGTTGTGGATGAGCAAGCGGTTATCGAGCGGCTGTTTGACCTGTTCCTGGCTTCGCACGCACTGATGCCCGTCTATCTTGTCACAGCCGTACGTCGGGTGACTGTGGCGTGCACTGAGCGAGCGCGAGCGTTGCCTTGACAAGCTGCATGATGACTTTTTTGCTTTGTTTTGCTGCAGATTATTCTCTTTCGTCGAGATGAAGTGCTGAGCGGGGATTGCGAGTTTTCGGCTGTTTATGGGCTGTTGAGCAAAGTGCCGCCATCTCTACCCTACGACCTCGTGTTGATACCTCACGCCTTGGAGCTATCGGCGCGAGTCCAACCCAACGAGTTGATTGAACTTGCTGGTCAAGCCATGTTTGCTCAGCGGTATGAAATGAATTTGCAAAGGTCGCTGGCTTGCTTGGCGTCACCCATCTCACTTTCGCATTTTGGTCGTTGGGTTGTCGTTGGGTTGCAGAGCGCCCACCACTGCTGCGCTCATCGCCGCTCAGTTTCCACACAAGCCCTCCCGCTCGACCACGCAACCATGGCGAGTAGGATTGTATGCAGTTTCGTTGTCGGTTCTTGCAGCAGCCATGCTGGCGGCCAACTCGTGGATTCGACAACAGCTGTAGGATGGTCCCAAATACCTCTGAATGTGGTGCGCTAGCTTGTATGCTTGTGCCGGTTTTTTTTTCCGCAACGGGTTTCATTATTCACAACCAAAGAAAAAAATCGAGTTGGGATCAAGCGAGGCAAACTCTTTTGTTTGATTTTTAATGTTCATGGGCGTGACCATGACCGTGGCCGTGACCATGTTGCTCTGACTTGACGAAACGAAGACCGCAATAGCCGCAGGGTTGGGGGCCTGGGGGATCCTGTGGAACATGAACAGTAGCAGCCACCAAAAAAAAAAAAAAAATGAGTGACTGGAGGTGCGACCAGAAACGCCACAACGATTGAGCAATACTGACAAGGTTGATGTAAACTTTGGGGTGACCAAGCGCACCGCCGCCTGAGCGCACCAAACAAGCAGAAGAGAGTGAGATTACATTCGCAGCATAATAGCTAGGACAGCGGAGATTGAACGACAGTTCTGAGGGGTCGCTTTGTCTTCCTGTTTCTTCTTCTTGTTTCTTCTTCTTGTTTCTAGTTCTACTTACCGCCGTCGCACCAGACCGAGCGTGAAGGGATTTCAATGATCTTTGCCTGGGCAATGAGGTCGTTGGCAATCTGCTTGTTGGTCTGTCACAATGCATTTCAACCAAAAAACGCAAAGAGTTATCGTCAGTCAAAAGCCACACGCGTTGCTGGTTTGCTTGTCATGCTGAGATGAAGAACTCGTCAGTGATGATGGTTGATGGTTGATGGTTGATGAGTGAGTGGCTTTGCATTGAACGAAGTGCAGCGATCTCTGTTTTCTTTTGCTTCGTCCCTCTCTCTCTCCTCTCTCTCCAACCTCCGCCTCTGCCACGCCACTTGTTTGATGTGTTCTCAATGATATGCACAAAGAAAGGGGGGACGAACGGACCTGCTGCTCGCGGTTGATGAAGCGGGCGTCGCGCATGTCCTTGCCAGGCTTGCCCGACGGCACCGACGCGGCCGACGAGTGCACAGCGCCAGCACCGAGACCAAGGCCAGCGGTGGATGCAGACGACGAGAGTGTCCGTGCAGCCAGAGCAGCAGCAGCAGCAGCAGCAGCAGCAGAAGAGCGAGTGGCAGCCACAGACGACCGCAGAGCAATGGACGAAGCAGCAAGCCGAAGCATAGTGGAAATAGAGAAAGAGATAGAAAGAGAGATAGAGAGATAGAGAGATAGAGATAGAGAGATAGAGAGATAGAAAGAGAGCGATAGAGAGATAGAGAGATAGAGAGATAGAGATGGACTGGTCCGCACACATTGATATTGAATAGGAGCAAGCTTCAAGCACATCAGCATCCAAATGAGACATCAGCAATCATTGAGTATGGATTGCAGTTTGTATGAGAGTTTGCATTATGGAATCCAAGTCAAGTTATCAGTGTTCAATACGAGTTTTCACTTCTCAATTCTCAGCCCATACAATTGCACACTACTCTGGTCAACAATGTCGTCCTCATCCCCACCACCACCACCACCACCACTCTCCTCACTACCATCATCATCGTCCGATCCAGTGGCTGTGTGCGCGTCCATCGTGACGAGCGCGTCAGTGCAGCTCAGCGACTTTCTGCAGCGGCTCAACCAGCTCGAGTCGCTGCTGCTCCACGCCAAGGCTGCCGAAGCCACCGCCAGAGCTCATTCTACTACGACCACTACCACCACCACCACTACTCATTCTACTCCTAGTAGTAGTAGTAGTCCTGCAGCGCGCGGGAAGCAGAGCGCAGACGCGGCCGTCCAGACGGCGTCCCAAGCTGAGGCTCATCGCTCTGCCCACAATGAACCAGCGCCAGTGCCAGCGAAGACTGCAAGCACAGTAATGGTTGCGCCGTCGTCCATTCAAACGACCACGGCGGCTGGTGCTGCTACTGCTGCTGGTGCTGCAAAGCCTGCTACGGTAAAGTGCAAATTCGCATAGACCTCCCTACACCCCTCCCCCTACTCACTGTGTTGAAGCCGTGGATTCGGTCAAAATCTCAAGTGGGAGGGTTCTTGCCATTGTCTCTGATTTCCGCATTGGGTGACTTTAGGACATGCCGGCGCTTGTGCTTGGGACGGCGAGTGGAGGACCGCGATTGCCTACAACTGGTCGACTCGCTGCAAAGCCCCAATCGGCCTCGTTGCCCGCGGGATTGAGCTCAACATCCATGCCATCCTCACTGGAACTGTCCTCGTCGTCGACTACGGCAAGCTCAAGTGCGACGATTGTTGCTACCACCGCCGCCGGCAAACTGGCTGCCTCTGGCGTTGTATCATCACTCTCTCCGCCATCCGCTCTGCAGCATGTTGTTGGCTCGTCGGCCAAGCAACGGCGTTTGAAGTCAGCAAGTGCCATCAAGGTAATGTTGTGACGACGCCCTTTCAAAGCGGTTTGCAGGTTGCTGCTTCTTTGGCCCAGCTCGTCTCCATTTCTCACCGCTTCGTTGTAACACACACACACACACACACACACTCACCGTTTTGCTCAGCGATCGCCCATTTCCTTCCTCGACGCAGTCGGGCGAAAGCGACTTGAGCATCGTTCCACTACGACAGTATCGTCACGTCAAATTTCTGCTCTGCAACGTCAGGGTCGATCGCCTTCCCAGCCCGCCCTCATCAAAAACCTCAACCAGCACGCCATTCCCAAAGGCCCTGTTGGTAAGGCTCTGAGCGCCTCGTGACTGCGTGATATACGGTGCAATCAGACCCTGGTTGTTCGTGCTGGACTTGTTCTGACTACAAACCGCACCCTATCTTCTTTAGGGAGCCATGGCATGCGTTTTGACACTGAAACGACCTCGTGGGTTGGTAATGAAGAGGACCTCGCGGGATTTGACGACTCGGATGAAGAGGATTCGGCAACGCACACCCCGAGCCTGAACAAGACAAGTCTCGACAGAAGGTCTCTGAATCCTCAGGCGGCGCTGGCAGCCACAATTGGCGGCTCAGCGCTGAATCTTGCATTAGACACTGAAGCTCGACGCGAAAGCATATCTGGGTCGGATGTGAGCGACGCCGCCCCAGACCAAGATGTAGACTGGGAGCTCAAAACGCCCAACATTGACGCACTCCGCCGCTCCGAGTCCAACAACCACGAGAAAGCTATGGCATCCTGGTGGAGTAGTCAATCCTGCACATTTTCACCCGATTTGATGTCTGCGAAGCAGGTTGGTGATGGTTTTTTTTTTGGGGGGGGGTGCTTTGTTTTTGTTTTTTGTTTGATTTTTGCTACGGTCATGATGATCTTTTGCGAATCCTTGTTCTCACCTTTGCCCTCCCCTCCACTCCCGGCGCTTGCCAACTTCTAGATTGCCTGGCCATATTTGACACACCAAGCAAGTCTCGTTTCCCAACTGTTCGATCGAGTTCGACAGTTGACCGCAGAAAGGATTGCGGCAGAATCCCGAGCCGCGACGGCCGAAGCCGCTCTGCTTGCTCTCAAACTACAACAACAACAACAACAACAACAGCCAAAATCAACATCGTCCACTCCGCAATTGACACGGGCCAGATCTTTTGCTGGAGCCAGTGGCGAGCTGGCGCGGAATGGAGCCCTGGCTCACCAATCGCCCCCGCCGCATATTGAAGAGCCCGCTGGCACCGATACGGATGACAGCCTGCTTCGGTCGCGGTCACCGGCGTTGTCAACTGATTCGTCATTGTCCTACTCGATCGAGGACGACGGCCTGTCTGGCAGCAGTGCTGGGAACGACCTCGGACCTTCCCTCGAGTATCATCGCCGTGATCTGACAAAGTGGGTTGATCGCGATGACGATGAAGAAGACATTGGTTTCGCGGATCAACTTTTCGCCACCTTGTCCAGGAAGCAGCTCAAGTCTGGCGGCGATGGCCACGTTGATGTCAATGGCCATCAACGAGCTCCTCCAAAAGATGCAGACGACAGCGCTGTCGACATTGATTTCGACTTTGATGGCCACTCTTCAAACGAGTCCGTCTCGGTGGCCATTCCGTCCAAGACCTCCTCTATTCGATTGATCGCACTGAAGGATCTTGCCAATTTTGCAGGCGGAGCACCTGCAGGCTCCGACAGCGACCAACCACACGTTTTGCGCACGAGTTCGTCGTCGAAACTCAAAGAGGTCTCTGCGCAATGGGGCCGCAACTTTACCATCAACGATGGCGACGACTTTGGTCACGATGCTGATGATGAAGTCAGCCTGGCCGGATCGTCGAGTGCCGGAAGCCTGTCAAGCGCCAGCTCACGCAATGTCAGCTCCTCGTTCGATCCGAAGATTGCGGTGGCTACAGTTGCCGCAGCAGCACTACCTTCTTCTTCCTCAACCCTCGAGGCTGAAGCTAGCATCTCAGCCTCCGCATTCGCTGCCTCACCAGCCCCAATCGCAGCTGGGGTTGGCAGCGCCGTCACGCCAGAGAGCAGCACCCAATCATCCAAACCCGCCGTGTCTGTTGCAGCTCCTGCAAGTTTGCCCCAGACAGCTGCGCCACAACTGTCAACAAGAACGGTGGTTTCTCTCGCGAGCATTGGGGCCAAAATGCCGTCCGTCTTGGTGCGATCCACTCCCGCGGTAGCTGTGCGCTCGGTTGTCACGTCTAGCCTTGCCCAGACTGTCCAAGTCACAGGCTCTACTGCAGCCGTCGCACCTGCTGCAGTTACTTCGGTTCTTCCTGGCATGACAACTTTCACCTCATCACAGATGCCTGCAGTCCGGCAACAAGCCAGCGTGCTCGCCAACCCCCATGCCGTCAACGTTGAGCTTGATTTGGATGAATTGGACGACGAGGGCGACGACACTACAGCTGCTTTGGCTGTCAAAACCAAACCAAAGCCCACCTCCTTGACAGCCACATCAACTGTTGTCCAATCCAAACGCCCAACCACCGTGAAAGCAATCACTTCGCTACCAACTCCAGCGCCGGTGCTTCAGCAAGGGACGGTGCCGTTCAATGCCGACGATCTTGCAGCCTTTGACGACGATAACGAGCTTCCAGCCAAAGCAGCATCAACCCGTGTCAGTCTCGCTTCATCTGCATCCGTTCCATCAAAGCGTCCTATGAGTATGCAGACAATCACCTCTTTGCCCGTTTCAATGAGCGTTCAGCCGACGTCTCTCAATTCGGAAGCTTTGGCCGAGTTGGATGAATTAGACGAGTTGGGGGATTTGTGAGCTTTCTTGGACATGTTACTTTTGATTTTTTGTTGTTGTTGTTGTTGTTGTTGTTGTTGTTGTTGTTGTTGTTGTTGTTGTTGTTGTTGTTGTTGTTGTTGTGCGTTGTTGTTCAGAAATTCGACAACCATTTTGATGCTTGATTGAGACTTGCGTTGGTCCACAGTATGTGGCTCTTCAGCGAGAAAAGCGCGACCTTCGATCAGCTGTTCGCGAATTCTCAGGAGCTCGGTGTGTATTGCGCGGCACGGCTGTTGAAAGTTGGATCTCGTTGTAAACGCTGCTATTCAGCACAAAGTTGTATTCGTCAAAAGAAGTGCCGCATGGTTTTACTCAAAGCACAGACAATCCAAACAAGCAGAAGCAGAGGCAAAGACAAACAAACAAACATACAAACAAACAACCGTCACATCAGATCTTATCATGATACGCGGGAACACGCTGCAAATGACGAGCAAGAGGCATGTCCAACACAAACTGCGCGACATCTTCAGGTACGCGCAGATCGGGCTGCGGGACGGGTGGGACGAGTCCAAGAAGCGCATCAATGTTGCTGACACCGAGCGCTTTGGCAACTGCTGCCTCGCTCCCTTCGTGTCGCCACAGCTTGAGTCGGCACAGCGAGGAAAGTCTCAAAGGCTGCGCTTGCTCGGCCATTTGCAGAATCTGCTTGAGAGTTTTCTGGTTGGTTGCGTCCACTCGGTCAGACAAGCGAGCCCACTCCTTTTCAAGTGCTCGGTCATAGGGATGCTTGACAGTAGGCCAGAAAAGATGTGATGATGCTGATGACACGAAATCGAGGCATTTCGAAGGAGAGTGTCCCCACGCGAGCAGGCATCCCACAACCAAGCGTCGACTCGCCGCCAAGGCAAATGGATGAGCATCGCCGGACCAACTAGAACCGAAAGCAGGCAAAGTACGAAAGCCTGCAAGCTCAAACTGGTAGAGCCAATTCGAAAAGTACAGTGTCGGTCTGTCAATGAAGTTCTGCTGGCCAAGTTCAGGTAGCCACTCGAGCACAGGTGCCATATCCCACCCCGCCGCCTCCTTGAACCAATCGGCATAGTACCCAAAAGGAACACCGCAAACGACTTCTTCAGCCTCCTCGGTCACGCCAAACTTGTCGTAAACCGTCGGACCCGCGGGCCGTGGCGGATGCACGCAGTCGTAGGACACAGGCTTGCGCTCGGGATACAGCCACTCCAAGACGAGCGTGACACAGTTCCAAGCATTCGGTTTGCGGCGATTGACGTGGTAGATCAGCCAGTAAGCCAGCAGACCCTCGCGATCACCATGCATGTCCTCGTAGTGATTCCTCAAACAGTATCGAAGCATGTCAATGTTGGTCTTAGCACTGTGCTCAACAACCCATGCCAGTGGTTGTACGCGCTCGACGAAAATCCAATATCGAAACATCATAATCCACACAGCGGAGGGGTTCCAAAAATTCTCCCAGTCCACAGCACGACTCTCCAAGGCCTTTTCCAGTTTGTCATAGTCTCCGTGGCTGTACCGACCAACCCGAATAGCCTCGAGTGCGTCAAACAGCTCTACAATGGAGCCAGTCGCAAGCGGGCTCTCAATGTCATTCAAGAACCGAGTGTAGCGGCGCGAGTGCATCACCCAGCCAGTCTGAGCATTGCCAGTGCCGCTGGCGAATGACGCGAAATACTTTCGCGAGTCCCAGCGGAGTTTCGCTTTCAGAGGCACACCAGTCGCAACCAAGTCCATCTGCAGTGTCGGGTCGCGCAGCAGGTCTCCATGAAACGTGAGACGGTCGATGTTGGACTGGTTGATTGAGCACGAGGTTGCTGTGGCTTCATCGACCATGAAAATGCTAGAAGCATTGCGCTCGGCACGCCGCAGGCAGCGTCGCACAAAGCGGGACTTGGTGGCGATGGCGACTCCTCGATGCGAGAAGCGCACACGCTCGGCCGATTTGGGTGCCACGAACGAAGGAAGCAGACGACGCCCAACTGCCCAGTTAAACTCGGGGCTCGCGTCCAGTGGATTAAAGTCGGGCTCGCGGTTCACAGGGTGGTTTTGGATAAAGTCATCCAGGGGAAAGTCTGGGATGGATTGTCAAGCAGAGTGATGCGCAAAGCGAAGGTGAGTCGTTCGCTTTTGTTTTTGTTTGCGCATTGCGTTGCAGCGTTCAGTCGGTTACCTTCAGATCCATCAAAAATGTCCCACCAAAAAGACAGAGGGGCTCGATTGGAATCGGCCGTCTCGACGCCGGTGCTGGAGCCCGAGCTGGACGATGCACGCGCGGTCGTCGCTTCTGAGATGGAGCACGATGCGCCAGGCAGCACGCCTGCTTTGGCGGCTTCTGCGACTGCGAGCGCCCATGGCGTGGGAGCCTTCTCTGACTGTGATGAGGCAGCCTCGGGTGCAGCAGCAGCAGCAGCAGGGCCCTGCTTCAGCTGGGTCGGGACCGGTCGCTGGCACTTTAGCATGGAAATCACCCACTCCTCCGGGTCGAAGCCAGCCTCGCGGATGCTGTTCCACAACGGGTCTGTCGCGGGATTGCGCTTGTGCAGAATGCCGACGTAGCCGAATGGCCGATACGCATTGAGGACTGGCGCGTACTCGCGGTACATTGGGTGGCGGCGGTAGTTGAGCTCGTCCAGCGTGTCGTCGTCGCTCTCCCGATCGTCAAAGTGCACAGCTGTGCCGTAATCCCTGCCGTCATCGGTAATAACGACGTTCCCAACACTGCTGTCCGAATCGTAGCCATCAGAGTCGTCGGAACTGTCAGAATCATCGTGACTGTCAGAGTCTTCGTGACCGTCAGAATCGTCGTCGGACATTGGAAGCGGAACAAAAACAAACGAAAACAAACAAACAAAAAACTGAGATTCGAACAAGGACTGCAATTTTCCCTTGTGTGCTCGTATCAAAAGGACTCCGTTTTGTTTGAGCATTATTCTTACTCTTTCTTTTTTCCTCGACATGAGACTGTACTGCACGTTGTTGCTGTTGCTGGTGTTGAGCGCATCGCTTGCATTGGCGCAGTGGTGCCACGGCTCCCGCACACCCGTGTCCTGGTACCTGATCTTCCAGCCGTCGCCTGAGGCTGACTTTAAGTATCAACATAATCACTCTCTTCGCTCAGTCGTTGTTTTTGTTTGATCCCAAAAACTGAGCACTCTCGTTTTTCCAAGCAACATCAAGGCTGAATTGCATTACGACCAAAAACAATTCGCCATGCAAATCTCAGACTCTGAGCATCCAACCACGAGCGCTGTTCTCAGCAGCTCAGCGCCATCGTCCTCATCGTCCTTGCCCCCGATGGAGGTGACTGCGGTGATTGAAGGCGAGTCTGGCAACGGCTTGCTGCTCCAGGTGACTGCCCTGTGGAACGGCGTCCAGTACCGCGGCGTGCTCCTCAACACGGCCAAGGCGACCTGGACCAAAGCGCGGACCTTCCTCGAGCGACCCGCCGTGGCCGAGTTCCGTGCTGCTGCTGCGTCGGCCACGTCAACGCCATTCTACACTGGTGCTGGTGCTGGTGCTGGTGCTGGTGCTGGAGCGACTGGCGCGGCGGCGCACTCGGGGCCGGGATTGCCTGTCGACCAGCTCTTCGTCAAGCCAAGCGCACAGCCCGCGTCGCGCAAGCCGCGCAAGCCGAGTCTCGCTCCAGAAGCGCCTCAGGACGATGCTGCAGTGCCAGTGCCAGTGCCAGTGCCAGGTGCTGCTGCTGCTGCTGCTGCTGCGGGAGACCCGGCGACCAAGATCATCACTCAACCGATTACTGCAACCGGTGGTCATTCTGGATCGGGAACGAACGTCGCACCAGCCGCAGCCAATGCGCGAGCACACGGCAGTGATGAGCTCGCTGATCTGCTGCAGGATGCTGGCGACGAGCTGGCAACCCCGCTGCCATCCAGGCGCGAACGCCGTGCTGCAGCTTCCGCTCCGTCCTCTTCTTCTGCTTCAAGCACCAGCACCATGAGCAGCAGTGGCAATGGCAATTCGACCGGTACAACCTCTGGTGACTTTTCTGTGGGCTCGGCAGTTGTGCGGACTGTTGCAGCGGCAACCGCAGCCGCAGCTGGCGCAGCAGTTCCAGCCTCAATACATAACGGGCCGGCTGAAGCATCCGAGCTGGCCGACTTGCTCCGCGACGCGGATGAGCACGGTGGTATTGCGGACGATGGTCCAAGGCGGCGACGCAGGGCCGTGGCTTCGGCCACTGCAGAGCCTGCCCAAGCACCGGAAGCGCCCGTCGAGGAGGCGCAACACTCCCGCTCTGGTCGACGGATAATCAAGCCTCCTGTCGCGGCTGCCAAAGAGGCAACAACAGCAACAGCCACTGAAGACGATGCCTTGAGCGAGGTTGCCAGCACGCCGGCCTCTGCTGCATCGCGACAGCCAGCAGCCCAACCAACCAATGCGCTCGCCCAACTAATGTTTGCCGACGATGACGATGACGATGAAGACGACGATGACTCATTCAATGGAGATGACGATGACGGCGACGATGATGACGACGACGACGACGACGACGATTCAGAGGACGACAATGACGACTCCCGCCGTTTCAAGCGTAGTCGCGACAATGATGACGATGACGATGACGATGATGACGGCGCGGCATTCTCCAGTGGCCATCGTGGCCAGTTGGAGACCGGTGGGTCGTCCAAGAGAATCAGGCACGATAACGAGGATGACGACGATGATTGACGAGCCAATTTCGTTATGATGGTGAAATTTTCTCCGGTTGTAGGGTATTTGTTGACAAGTAGTGGGGAGGGAGGTATGTTGAGACTATTAAAGCAAATGGAAACCATCACCTGTGTCAGACCAATGATTCTGGCACTCCACCGCACAATCGCTCAACATTCGTTTCCTACACCCTACAGTTGCAAAACCAACAAATTAGTACTAGATATATTGGAGCTGTGGAATAGAATCAGGAAAATTCAAGCATTCAAGAACCGACAGCAGGACGGAAAAGAAGCTGAAAACGTTGACTTCAAGCCTCCTTAAATAGACATCGACCAATGTGACCGGCAAACTTTTTGCAGCCGGGATCTCGCGGGCAAGCGTTACCCGAGGTAAGCGTTTCGGGACGCAATTTCTTTCTGGGAGGAGTGCCCGCGGCTATTTGGGTTGCAAACCACGGAACAGCAGCGGCAGAGTCTGTCGCAGAGCTAACGCTGTTGTTGGACTGGCGCAATGTGCGCTTCCTCGGAGTTTCACTCTCAACTGGCTGCACAGAAGTGGGCGACGATGACGCTTGTGGAGGTGCAACCGGTTTGATTGGGCGCAACACACTCGCTGACGATGACTGGCTCGCTGTTGCCGAATCATAAACTGGCGGCGAATTTTTGGGCGTTGGGAGGTCGACTTGCATCTTTTTGGCAACCTCGAAAGCCTCCTTGATGGATGAGCGCATCGAGCTCTTGTGACAGGAAGCAAGCTTGATTTTGTCCACTTGAGAGTCCACCCCGAGACAAGCGATTTGGTCGGGGGCAATCCACAACCTGCGCCAGCCATTCATTCATTCAAGAGATCATCACCAACCACCACCGCCAATGAGCAAATCTCTTTGTTCTTGCCGTTCAACCAGCGCCTCCAAAAGTGGGTGTCGCTTACCAGGATCGTTTCTTGTCAAAGAAGCAGACAAGGATGGACGACTCATTCTCGTGATGCAGATCGACCACTGACTGGGGAATGACGCGCGCCGCTTCACTCACGCTACTGAATGGGTCGTTTCGATCGACAATCTGCACCAGACGAACTCAGAATTAAGTGTCATGGCCGACCCACACACCCCCCCCCATCCCAAAGGGAGCAAAGTGAAATGTGAGCAATGTGAGCAATGTGAGCCACGTACCTCGCCAGGATACCAAGGAAATCCTTTCGCCTTGGCCCAAACGACGCGATAGAGCAAATCTTCAGGCACAGGCGGGCTGGCGGGCGAAAACGGTGGCGGAACACTTGTGAGTGACAGTCGACGCTTTCGAGATTCGTGAGAGGGATTGTTTTGCTGCTCGGCTTGGAGACGGCGACGCTCGAGCTCTTGCTGCAAGGCATAAAGCGGGTCGGACAGAAGACTCAGATCACTCGGCAACGCTTGCAAGTCCTTGACACACTCGCGAGCTTCCTGCAGCACGGCAGCGCATCGGTACCACAGGGCAACTGCTTCGGAGTGATAGGCAGAATCTGGAGTGTTGTAAGTCCGTGCGTTGGAAATCAACAGCTGCACGTCCTTTTCAAACTCGTCCACGGTAAAGTAGCCAAAATTCTCGACCTTGCGCTGGATGGTTCCAAGATCGATGGGCTGCTTGATGACCCGCAGGTAGTCCCACACCACTTTCGTGTTGACAGGCGTAGAGTACCAGCCGTTTGTGTCTGCTTCAAGCATGAGTTTGATGGCTTGGCGCAAAGCGATCTGCACAGGAAAGTGCTTGTACTCCCAAATACGCGCCTCGAGCAAGAGCTTTTCCTTGTGGAACTTTTCTCGCTTGCGAACAAGCTCGATGAGCAAGCGCACACGCTCGAGATCATGTCGCAGCCGCTGGAAATCCAACAACTCTAGCGTCAGAGCATCCGACTCTTGCGAGTCCTGCCCCTGCTCGTCCTCTGCATCGCTAGCTACGGCTGACGCGCGTTGGGACGAAGAGTGTCGCGTGCTCACAGTGCTCACGCTGTCGGCATCGTCGTCGCTTTCGGTGGCCATGCTGTGGTTTTGAAGGGCAGAGAGCTTGTCGTTTGCGATGCGCGCCCGTTCTGCCGCTGCGAGGCGAACTTGCTCGTACATGCGTGCCTGCCGCACTGGGGTGCGTGGAAGAAAATGCACCCCTTTCGGTGGTCGACCACGCCGAGGCAGCGTGTAGCGAATTTCGTCATCCTCGTCAATGTTGTAATTGCTCGCAGCCTCCGCTTCAGCCAACTCGGCAGCGGCGGTGGCCACGGCTCGTTTGGCGTCGTTCATTGCCTTGTTCCACTGAGCAGGGTTCTTTGCTTTAGACGCGGTCGGTTGCGGGGCAGACTTCGATGCTGCCACGGAACTGTTGGCGACGTCGGTACTCTTCTCGTGCACTGGTCGGTACACTTGCAGCCGTCGCAGCAGTGGCATGCCGTTTCGCGAGTCGCGCTTGAGTCGCCAGTACCGGACGAGACATGCAAGCAGGGCAGCCTTGTCCGTGATGGTCGCGGGAACGTAATCGCGAACAATGTGACTGACAGCTTGCGGCGAAATGGTTGCATGCGAGGTCGATGAGACCTCCTGGGAAGCATTGAGCAGCCTGCGTGTCCTTCGAAGCATCGCCCGCCGTTTGAAATCGTCTGCAGGTGCTGGTTTGCGAGCTCCTTGCGAGCGCGAGACTGCGCTTGACGCGTTCTGCTTTTTCTGCGCTTGCTGTTTCCTTGCGCGCTGCTGCGCTTTCTGGGAGAAGACGTCTTGCTCGTCGTCGGCGTCGTCGATATCGTTCTCGGTTTCGTTAGCAGAATCCTCCGACTCGTCGTCGCTGTGTTCGTCCTCGTCTTCATCTTCCAGGTCCTCGTCGTCCTCGTCCTCATCATCATCGTCCTCATCATCATCATCGTCTCCGGACAAACTCTCATCGTCATCGTCGGACTCGTTGTCCGTATCTTCAATGTCAATGTCATCGCCTTGGTTTTCGTTGTCGTCGTCGTCGTTTTCCTCGTCGTCTTGGTCTGAATCGGGCTGGACGGACTCGCTGTCGCTGTCGCTGCTGGCTTCCTCTTTGGAAGAGGAGGAGCCAGGCTTTGAAGTGTGAAGATCACAGAAGGCAAAGTTGTCTTGCTCGGCCAGGAACGAGTTGCGGCGTTTACGCGCAGAAGAGGACACGTGCTGGCTGCGCCGACGGTCGGAAGGTGTTTCTTCCTCTTCGTCCTCCTCGTCGGAATGCAGATGGGCGAAATGCAAATGCAGACCGGCACGCTGGGCACAGGTTGCGTGAAATGAGGTGTAGCAATTGGGCTTGTGACATTGGATGCAAGCACCCGTTCGTTTGCCACACAGGTAGCACTTCAAAGTCCACCGAGCCTTGGGAATATGCTGCACGCCATCGATCGGTTCGAGGTACACGGTGTTGCCCAGGACAGTCTCAGGAACCAGCATGGCACAAACAATGTGAGCCCACCGACCATCGACTGTTTGCTTGAAAGCGCCGCCCTTGTTGGGGCACAAGACACAGTCGACCGGCTTGGATGGGGAGACAATGCACCGACGGCATACCCACTGGCCCTCGGGAATGTATGGTACGCCATAGCAGTTCTGGTGCACGGCCATGTTGCACGAATCGCAAAAAATAATTTCGTTTCCAGGAGCCGGTGACGGGCCCAGGCACACGCAGCAAACAGCGTCGTCGTCGTTCTCATCGAGGGGCTCGCCGTCAGAGTCTTGGGACTCGGAAGGGCCAGAGCGGGTCCGCTGTTGCATCAAACGCGCATTGCGTTGAACAATCTCCGACAAGTCGTCTTCACTGCGCTCATCCTCATCATCAGACGTGACGGCTCGCTTGGCGCGACTCGAGGAAGTCGCTGCCGGCTTGGCAAAGGACGCCGCGCCAGGCGTTGTCAAGAAATGCGACTCCTTCTCGAGGCGATCCATCAGCACCTCGAATAATGACGGGTCGAGCGTGACGAGCCCATACTGGCGCCGATACGCATTCAACTGCGTCAGCCACTGCTCGTCCTCGTCATCCATGTCATACTCGATACTGCACGAGCAATCTTGGTCTTGGTCGGGAGTCGCCACCGGTGCCTTAAACCAGCCAACCTCGCGGGAAACTTGGACGCGGCGAGACGGCGTTGGGTGTTGTCGCAAGGCCTCTGCAGCCACCTCTGCCGCCGAGTGTGCGAGCTCCTTGACCTTGGCAGTCAGCAATCGGGCTTGTGGATCGAGATTCAGCGTGCCAGTGCCTGCTGGTTGGCGCCATTGCTCGCCAAACAAGGTGTCAGCCTCGACATCGGTGATCAGTGCCAACGGAACGGCTGTATCTGTCTGCGTAGCGACGCCGTCTATTGTTACGTCCATCGCCATCGGCACGACCGGCACGGGCGCGGACGATGAAGATGCAGTCGATGGCAATCGGCTGAGCGAAGGTGTTTGAATTGGCGCCAAAATCTTGCTGGTGGCCGCGGGTGTCAGCGTCTTGCTCTGCATCCCCGCAGCTGCGGACACAGCCTTGGGTGTGGCGGGAGCTGGAATTGGTGCAATGTAGTGAGGGGGGTTTGTGGCAGCGACAATCCAAGCGGCAGATGCAAGTCAGTTCCAACCAAAAATCACGATGGAAAATTTTGAAGTTTTCCCGCCAAAACAGACAACAGCAAAAAAAAAAAAAAAAAAAAAAAAAAAAAAAAAAAAAGGAAAGGGAAACAAAAAAAATGGCCACATTTCGCCTTTCGCTGGCGACGTGCGCTTTGGCTGCCATCGCCCCCTTTCAGTACAAACAGACTCGGTGGCATCGATAGTAGCAGATTTGGGTGGGAAAAGCGCGCAATGGAGAGAAGCGACCCTGCAGTAAATGCCGAGATCTCGCCGCTTTCCTTTCGACGCCCGCAGCCACGACATGACCCCACTTTGAAGAGCATCTGAGCTCGCTGGAGAAGCCTGTGGGGCATCTGCATCCACTTTCTGCAAAGAACGGCGGGGAGGGGGCGGGTGGGGACGGTGCAGGCGATGGTACACTCACCCTTCATTGTCGCTGACAAAACGAACAAAACCAACCCAACAAAATGCTGGGCCAGAAGTACGCAATAGAGTGAAGGGATGCTAGCGTGAAACAAAATACAGGACACAAAACAAACACAAAACAAAGAAAGGTGGGGTTTGGGTTGATGTTGTGAGCATTGTCCAAACATACGCCCATGCTCAGCACTCCAGCAAGGCTCGTGGCGGTTGGAACGAAGAACGACAAAGGTTGAAGGTGGAAGGTTTGACAGAACTCTGCTGTCGCACCGCCGCACCGCCGCTCATGCTCCAAATCGAGCCTGTTGGACAACTGCAGCGATATCATCAAGAGCAAGCGAAATAACTCCCTCCAGGTCTTCGAGAGCTCGGTTGTAGCGACCGACTGGGTCAGATGGCGCGAGATTGTGCGTCAAAGTGAGGGTGGAGCGACTTTGGGGTTCGGCCGCTTTGAAAATCATCACATCGTGTGCAGCCTGCTCGCCCTGATGCGCCCGCAGCTGTGCTGTCCAGCCGCCGGCGTCGGGTGCTTGACCAAGCCACTCATTGTTCAGTGCTTGTGTCACGCCTTTGGATTCCTCGACCACGCCACGCAGCTGATGGAGCAACTCAACTGCAGCGTGACAAAGTGAGGGGAATGCCTGTACCAGCCGAGAGAGGCACGGGACGGTCGCCAGGAAGAACTTGCGCGCAGACGTTGCCGGGTGCGGCTGTTGGAGGTACTTGTCAGCAATAGATCGTGCAGTGAGGGTGAGTCTTGTGGTGGGAGCAACGCTGATACTGCCGCTGGCCGTATTGCCTGTCTGCCCAAGAGTTGGCAAGGGCACGCTCAACAATTGTTCAACGGCTTGCGTAGCAGAGAGTCGAGGCTGGCCAGGCACAAAGTCGTTCACCATTTCGCGTGACAATGAATTGGGGCCCAGAATCAGCCGCCGAGAGGCAGAGGCAGCAGGTGGCGCGTGCGCGGAAATGCCGCCAATCGCGAGACCTGAGCGAGTTGACGGAAGATGTGGGTCCTCGGTGTCGTCCACAAATGCAGCCAGTGCGTCGTGCACCGAGCTACTGGGCACGCCAACAAAGGGAATTGAAAACAAGGGCGTCACTTTGAGACGAGAAATGCAGTCTTCCGCCGCTGCCAGGGCTTTGGGGAGCGGATACTTGTGCACGAGATACGACACGAGCTGCACTGCAAAGGCCTGGTGGTGTAGTGACGGCTGTGCGGACAGCTCGGCCACATAGTCGAGCAGAACATGCATGGAAGGCACTCCGCTCACCATCATGGGCAGCAACGCGCTCGGGTATGTTTGAAAGTGCACCACGCGCAACAGCTCGGGCGCCGCAATGAACGCCTGGTGGATGAATTGGCAAACAAGAGCACGGGATTCTTGCTGTCGAGCCAATGTCCCGAGAGATTTCGGCTGGGTTTCAAGCAGAGCAAGACTGGGAGCCGCAGACAAGGCGCCCAGCGTTGCGTCTTTATCCTCGGTGCCGGTCGTTTCATTCACCAGATGCCAGCATACGTGCAGTAGCGCTTGAACAATGTACGATTCTTGAGCATGCACCATGCTCCAGCACAGGTCGTCTACTTGCTGCGGAGTGGATGGCACGATGGAGTCGCCAGGACCCGGCACCTTATCAGCCCCACCACTTGCCAATCCTCCCAGGCCACCAGCGGCTGTCATGACGCTTTGGTGAAGTTTCACTAACGGGGACATGCCCAGGCCCGACGAGGTTGAGCCAGAAGAAACAAGCTGGGCGCCGGTCAGCAGCGCGCGTGCGATGGCTTGCTGTTGCGCAATCTCCGCGCGAGATGCCACCATGTAGGCGTTCAAGACGTAGAGAACTAGCTTGGTCAGTTGTGGGACAGCAAAGACTCGAACGTCCACTTCCAACGCGCGAGCTGGGTTTTCAATCAAAAGGGCTTGGCTGAATCGAGCCGACCCCGCATTCTGCAACGGCATCCTCAACGACTGGATTGTCTCCAGCCACAACCGGCGGCCTTCAATGGCGTTCAAACGTTGCCATATCAATACAAAAGCGTCGAGAATTCGCGGGGTGTGCAGCAGCTCTTCTCGCTTCAGCAGGTGGGGCAAGACCTCCAACGTCAGAGTCGAGCGGTGTTCGGCGAGTACCGACACTGGCAATCGATCCAGCGCTGTCAGGAGCGCCAACACTGGCAAATGACTGGCCCCGACTAGAGGTTCGGCACGCAGCTTGGCAATGAGAGAATCGGTGACGGGTTGTTGTGGTGGTTGTTGTTGCTGGTGCTGTTGTTGTTGCTGTTGTTGTTGCTGTTGTTGTTGCTGCTGCTGTTGCTGCTGCTGCTGCTGCTGCTGTTGCTGCTGCGGTTGTGAAAGGCGAGGTTGGAATGCCTTGGAATAGCCTAGAACGCTCACGGCTGCCGGAAGCAATACGTCCATGGCGTCTGTGTCGGGGTGAATGTCGGAGGTGGAAGGTTGCGGGAATAACGCATTGCCCGGCCCAGCAAGGATGGCTTGACCAGTCATGTAGCGAGCAATGTGCTGCTGGGCCGAACGACGCTCTTCCTCGACGACCTCGTGAGTATCGAAGACTTGTAGGAACTGGCCGGTAACAAGAGCAAGGAGACGTGGGTACAGCGAAGCACAGTCGGCGGCGTGCAACCTTGCATAGGCGAGCAGCTGCTTCACAGGCAAACTGTCTTGCAAGTCGGCCGATACAAACGTTCGAGCATGGAATAAAGCATTGTGGATACTGCGGCCTGCCTCACCGGATGACCCCGGGTTGCTGAGCAGAACAGGCGCCGTTCCGGATGACAGCAGTTGGATGCGGGATCGGTGCCATTCACGATTGCAGTTGAGAATGAAATACAGCAGTAGCACTCGAGTGATTGGCTGAGAAGACGAGCTGCTGGTTACCACGTGCAACAGTGGTGCCTCCTCAATTCCACAGCCGACACTGAGGACAGAAAAGTTTGAAGCAAACGGATTGCTGCTGCCGTCCTTCGTGGCCCTCAAATCGACTGAGGGCGCTCCGGCGCCGGCCGGGGTCAAGGAAGCCGCAATTTCGCCACTAACACGCCGGACCAGAGCAGCCGCAAAGCTCTCGATGAGCTGGCAAAGCCCAGGGTGCACCGGAACGCTGGCAGCGGACATTTGCGCGACGAGCCAGCTCATGGTGAGGCGTGCAGTAGCGAGGCTGGTGGTGCACAAGTCGCGAGTGACAAATGCTTGCACGCAGTGAATGGGGAGAAACCCGGAATGCGTGGTGGACAAGTTGGGCGTCACAGGAATGTTCAGCGCTTGCGGTGTCATGTCTACATCTGCAAGCGTGCCACGCCTACCGATGAAGAGCTCGGCGAGCTTCGTTACACTGTCGCGATGCAGCGACACATTGATGCCGAGAGTGGAGCGGACCAGGTCGGCAACAGCAGCAAGTTGCCGCGACTTAAAGTTGGTGATGACGAGCATGGCCATCTCACGATTGGACGAAGCAGGTACCTCACCAGGAGCTGGCACGTGCTCACCGAGGACACGCAGCCACTTCACCACACGTCCAGTGTCAATGACAGCATCCGGCAGGAAACGACAAGTCAGCAAATAGCTGATGGTCACGCTCAGCAGCCGGTCGCAAAGTGGAATGGAACGCGCCACCGCGGAAAAGAGCAACTGGATGGTAGCCTCAAACTCTGCCGGGGCAAGGGTGAGTCCGAGTAGTCCATTCAAGCCGGCGTATACTTTCATGGCCTCGATGCGCGCGAGTGCAAACTGGTGCGTATTAAACGGTGGAGGCAACGCTTTCTGGTCGTCCCACTCGGCAATCAGCTTTGAAGCCGTTAACTGTCGCAAATGGTCGAGTAACATGAGGCGTAGTCTCGTAACAGCGGGAGCATTGCTTGGGAGCGAGCTGAGCGCTGTTAACAAGTGTTTGTAATTCAAACCGTCACCATCGGCATGCGGCTGCGACGATGATAGTGACAAGGATAGAAGAGTTGCTGTCGCGCTGGAGGCTGGCGCCGAGTCGATTGCGGGTGCACTAGCAAAGACGGGATGCAACCAACTGCAAGATCGAGGATCTGTGATCGCTTGAAGCAAAAACGCCACAGCGTTCGAGGCCAAGAGCACTGGCGCAGCCTTGGCCTTGACGGACGGAATCAGCACAGGTTGCGCAAAAAGGCAGGAAAAGACGGTCAGACTGATGGCCAGATCGGTCAAGCCCGGCGACGTTTTGCGGACAATGGCTGCTGCAATCGCACTGCCAAACTTGGTAGGTTGCAGCGAGACGAGCATTTGCAGAACAACGGCAATGCGCGTTGCAGCCAAGGATGCGAGCGAGAGAGGAATCACGCCTGAAGTGGCGACCGCGCCAGCAGCTGCAGCTGCGAGGGCGCCCGTCGTCTTCTTTGGATCGGTCGAGTAGGCGTATTGTTGGTTGACGTTCAACAACACTTCCACAATCTGCGAGAGAGAAGGGAGAAGTCATTCAAACCACAATGAGGGGCCAACAACAACAACAACAACAACAACAACAACAACAACAACACAAAAAAAAAAAAAAACAGGGGGGGGGGGCAACAGCAAAAAGGAGACCATTACCTCGGTGATGCGATCAGGAAACGCGCATGCTATGGCGCAGATTATTTGGGCACCACAGGCGACATGTAAAAGTGCCTGCACGACCCGGACTAATGGGAAGAGGTCTGGAAGACGGACGACACCGACAAGGACAGCGTCGCACACTGCAGTCGCGTAAAGGTCATTATCAAAGATGTCTGATGGGAAACGCAAGAGTGGCTTTGGCACCGTGGCGAAAGAAGCTCCAGGTGCGAACGAATGCAGATGGATCAAATGTTGATGGAACTGCACCAGCGAAGAAAACTCGATGGCGCTTTGTAGCTCGCTTAAAACAATGAGTAGACGTCTGTTGTTGCAAATGAAGAATGAAGAGCACCCACCAGAGCAAGTAGTCAGATGACGCGGGGGAAAAGCCAGAACGCGGCCTGGGGCTGTCTCAACACGAAAACAAACTTACAGTGCTGCATGTTCGGTCTCGAACAAGGTCATCATATTCGCAACGCCCGTCAGCATACCCTCGCGTGTGGCGGCAGCGATGGCTGACGGATTGAGCGTTTTGACTTGCGTTGGAGCGACAACAGCAGCAGCAGCATCTGTGTGCTTGCCAACGTTCGCAGGTGTGGGTGCATTGGCAGTTGCTTGAAACACCACGGGCGTTGTCGTCGTAAACAGCAGTGGCCTTCGACGTTGACGGATTTGCGTCTCGCGCTCCAAGATGGCAGCAATGCGTTGTGCAGCGTTGGCTGGGATTGCAGCAGCAGTGGTCGTCGTTGCGCCGAGCACCCAGGCCGGATCGCCCGCAGCAGCAATCTCGGCGCTGTCCATGCCATCCACGCCAAGCTCGAGCGCGCACATTGCGTACAGATCCAGCGTGTCCGCAGAGCCTTCGCTAAACCATCGCAAGCAGCTGGCGAACGGCTCTCGTCGTGTGCAAACGCGGCCAGCCGAGTCTGTCATCCGCACAACCACAGAATCACATAATCCAGTGAGCCAAAGTGAGCCATCGTTCCCGATGATGGAGTCGTCGAACGTCAGCGTCGAGGTGGTAGTGCTGGTGGTGGTGAAGAGATCAGCTCGAGACGCTCGATACGACCACACACACACACACACTAGCACAGACAGACAGACAGACAGACAGACAGACAGACACAGAGCAAACGTATACCTGTGGCGTTCGGGAGGGAGAGTGCGATGAGTGGCAGGAAGAGCGTGCGCAGGGTCGCTTTGGTGGCCGAGAGCGTCGAGATGGACGACAATCCAGACGCCAGGGCAGCGACCTGGACATCGCATCCAGATGGTGTGGCTGGAGGGCTGTGGGACGGATCTGAGTGTTGGTGGTGGTGGTGGTGGGGGTTGGGCCGCAGCTGCAGCGCAAGCAAACACAGCGCATCGAGGCGGCCATCCAGCGCGCACTCGAACGCAGATGCAATGCAGCCTGCTACCATAGAATAGAATAGAACAGGTGGGTGGGTGTGAGGAAAATAAATGGACTGAACTCGATGATTGATTGTTGATAATTGTTGAAATATTGAAATAGGTGTCCCTCGATCGGCTTCTGAGGCTTTCTGGGTCTGCCTTCAACACTCTGTAGAGAGCACAGCAGAAGGCATCGTTGATGGTGATGTGAGGAGGACGTTGTTGCTCACGAAAAGCTTTTTAATTTCATCTTGTACAAATGTTCTCAACTGAAGGGGGCGAGGGTTGCTCCACTGATTGTTCATGTTCAAATAAGTTGCGCAAATCGAATATTAGTCCATTCTCACAACAATAGCGTTGTCTTGGGGAGGAGGGGGGTGGTGTTACGTCTCCTTGACAAATAGCTCAGTGTCGGACAAGGTCAAAATGTCAACCACGACTTGATTTTGGGAGCCAGAGTCACCAATAATACTCTCAGCGCTGGGGTTTTCAGCCCTCAGCAAGGTTGGTCCAAACACCACTGCAATATTCGAGATAGTCATTTTGTTCTCGGCGGATTGGCCAGCAACCCTGTCGGTAAGGCAAGCATTCGCGCAACGATGAGGACGCATGCAAAAGGAAACTCAACGAAGCAAAGTGTGCACTGACTGTCGTAAATGATTGGCTAAAAATCGCAACGTCTCAAAGTTGGGTTTTGGTAATTGAAACACGAGTGCTTTGATGGCAGGGTGGCGCTTGGCTGGAAGGGGGATTTCTGCAGGGTGAGACAAGTGGGAAAATGTGAGTCACATGGTAAAGCTAGACAAAGGCGGCATGGCACGACGTGACTCACGAGCGGCTGCAATAAATGTATCGTAGAGACGGAAGGTGAAGAGCGAGTCGGAAAGCTCGCGAAAGTAGAGCTTGAGCAAACTGCCAACAATGTTGACATCGTCTACGTTGGAAAAGTCAATTGTGGACGAATCCGCGTTGATATCCGATCGATACTTTTGCACAACAGCTGCAGTGCCCGAGACACGATACATGCCCACAGAGGTCATTCCTGTTCAAAGAACCAAAAAAAAAACAGGAAGGAAATCACAAAGTGGTTTGACTGGTGAACATGACAGAAACACAAACGTCTGAGGGGTAAAAGTGAAAAAAAAAACTAACCTTGCTGCTCTACAAACTCGAGACATCGCCGAACCAGCAGAGGAACTGAGCCTCGCTCCCGCGAGCACTGGGCAGCAAGATCACCGCCAAATATCAAATCTGCAGAATGCGACAAGTGAGCGCACTATCGCCATGCCTGACGCACCTTTGACGACAACGACGATGAAGACGACAACAACGCTCGCGAATCCTCACCTTTATCTTTGGAAGATTTCTTCGAGTCCTCAGATTTACTCGCCAGCTTCTCCAGTTCCCGGATGCGCTCCTTTTCGGCCTTCTTGGCAATCTTGTCGCGCTCCTTCTCGTCTTCTTTGCGACGCTCTTCGTCCTTGCGAGCCTGTTTTTCTCGCTCCTTTTCCTCCTCTTTACGACGGTCCTCTTCCTTTCGGGCCTGCTTTTCGCGCTCGCGATCGGACGGTTCTCGCGTGGGTGATGCAGCGTTGAACGCCGGAGTAAGGTTCTTGTAATCAGGGTGTGCGGGAGCCCAGGATGCGCGCTTGACGATGCAGGCATTGATCTTGTTCACCCAGAGTGTGAGTGCCGAAGTGTCGTTGTCGTGCGCTTGCAGCAATATGCGATCGCGAGCGTTGCCGACTTCGACGGCAAACTTGTGCTTTCCAGACTCGGATGCGGCAGCGGCTGCCTCGATGTTGCCTTCTCGCAGCGACACGACGAGAACAGGTTCCTTGCTCTTCGCCTTGGCTTTCTCGTCCTTGAAGACAAAGATGGAATGGCCGCGCAGCACTGCAAAGCAGGGTGTCCACTTTTGCTTTTTGAGGTCTGCGCCGTCGACGCGCACTGCCTTGAACTGCAAGACGCCTTCAAACACGATTGGCTCGCCAGAGCTGCTGAGAGTGTGCGTGCGTTGGAGCGGGAAGGAGGTGTGGTCGGTCGCGTCCGAGTTGAGCGCCGACATGGACATGGACAAGCCGCTCGTCTGGCTGGCATTCGAGTGTGCACTCGTGTTGCTTCCCGTGCTGAGGTTGCGGTGGTGGTGCTGGTGCGGTTGGAGGTGCGCTGCCTTGGCTGGGCCGCGAAGAGCGGCAGCGGCAGCAGCAGACTGGACTTGCGCCTGCGACGTCAGCGACGCCTGCTGGACCACCGTGACATGCTGTGCCTGCTGCTGGACGACCTGCTGCTGGACGTGCAGCTGCGACATGGACATGGTGCGCGAGAGGCGCGGGGACGACGTGCCTTCCGTGGCCATCCCGACGGCTCCGTCCGCGTCATTGCGCCGCCGGGTGCTTGGAGACGTGCCTGGGGATGCGCTGGACGCCGCCCTGCTGAGCGGGTTGTTCTGCACGACGGCGGTGGCGGTGACGAGCGATCCGGTTGAGCCTCCCGCAGCGCCAATGCTCGTGCTAAACCCAGCCCTGGACCGCTCCGACGCCCTGCGGTTGAGCGCCTCGTCCGACCCTGCCATTGTTGGCGACGATGACGACGACGCTGTTGTTGCTCTGCTGCTGCTGGCAGCCCTCGAGACGGACGGGGACGACGCTCCGCTGCTGCTGCTGCTGCTGCTCGAGCCGTTCCCATTGCTTGCGTAGCTCTGTTGGTGCTGTTGCTGCTGCTGATGGTGGATGTTGTTGTTGTTGCTGCTGCTGCTATTACTACTACTGCTACTTGATGTGGTCGTCGTCGTCGTCGCTGTTGCTGTCGTCGTCGCTGTTGCTGTCGTCGTCGCTGCGGTCGTCGCTGCTGCGGTCGTCGTCGCTGCTGCGGTCTCAAAGTGCGCGACCCAGGCTTCGTACTCTTTCAGGGTCTCTGCAAAACCGAGCGCGATCGCCTCGTCGGTGGGGACGTCGCACACCCACGAGACAGGCAGGTTGCCGTGTCCGCTGTCGGTGAGCACGGTGAGCCAGCCAGAGCCAGCGTGCCGCTTGAGCACCAGGAAGCAGTCGCCCGGCTCAAACTCACAGCCGAACGCCGCCTGCTCCACCTCGCTCCCCGCCGTCGACGGATGCAGCGTCCGCACCACATCCAGCTCATCATCAGCTCCTGCTGCTGCTGCTGACACTCCGTCTTCGTCTCCCAACTCGTCGCTCATTCAAACAACAAAACGCTTCGGTTTTTTCGTTCTTGTGTGAAATGCAAAAAAAAAAAAAAAAAAAAAAAAAAAAAAAAAAAATGAAAAATGAAAAATGAAAGCAAAAAATTTTAAGGAATGACTTTTTTTTGTTTTTTGTCTCTCTTTCTCAGAAAATAAGAAGAATAAAGAAAAAAGAGAAAAAAGGATCAGAAAATCGTTGCATCATGTTGAATATCGCGCTTCTGAGTGTCGTGGTCGGTCGTTTTGCAGAGAGCGTCCTCGAAAGCGTTTTCGTTCGCTTTCAACACGTTGATCTACAACAAAAAAAGGCCTCAGGTAAAAAAACGATCTGTGTCCATATCATTACTGTACGGTTGGTCGCGATGTGTTCATGAGGACTTCTCAGACTCGGAAACGAGAGGTGCAAAACTGCAACGACGTACAGATTGGATTTGTCGCTCGGGTCGCTGATGTTGCCGCAATGCCATAAGTACACGGGGTCGCATGGAGACTTGATGTTCCAATCCTTCGCTGTACTCCCATCAGCAACGAATAACACGCCTCCCCTCTCCCCGAGGGAACAGAGATTCAACAACCTGAGCCGTTTCAGATACATTTCGGCCTTTTCGCAGAGAACAGCTCCCGCCATCGACGTGTGTCGAATTCACTACTTCGGCTGTGTTCAATCCGCATTGGACTTTTGATTGTCTGCGTCCTGGCTGGACCAAAGAGCTGAGCTCACTCGTTTTTCTCAGCACTCTGCTGAATCATGTCTGCTCGCAACAAAGGTGAGTTCATCACACGAGACGACTCGAGCGTCGTTTCACTGACAGTGTGAAGGGAGCTTTGGGCTGAGGTTATTTTCCCCCGTCTTCTTCTTCTTCTTCTTGTTCTTCTGCAATGGATGTGCTGGCTGGAGGAGCGACGGCCAACATAAAGCGCAGTTTGGCCATGTGTGTCGAGCCTGAATGAGAACCCACAGTAGAAGCACACGCACTCTCGTTCCGACGTCCCGAGCGATGCAAGTGCACCGCGTTCATTCAATCAATCCCGCTCTGTGGGGCTGTGCGAGGCGGATGACCACGCTCCAGACCAGACCAGCAGACCAAGCGCCAAAGAAAGCGACGATGACTGGACAAAGACGACCTTCTCGTTCCCTCTTCCTGTCCCCCACCACCACCCACCACCACCACCACTTCAGCTCTTATCGATTCGTTGCCGTTGCGTCGCTTTTGACTCGGAGTGTGCAAGAGCGAGTGTGGAGCTCACTGATGTGCTCATTGCGCAGGCCAATCGAGGAACAAGTTTCAGTCGTTGGCTGCATCGGGAACGACGTCCGGACCATCCTCACCCAGTAACGCTGCTGGCAATGCATCGTCGTCCAGCATCAAGCCACGGGGCTCGTCTGCGGCTGCGGCTGCGGCTGCGGCTGTGGCGGGGCCGGCTTCAATGACAAACGGAGCAAAGAATCCCAGCAAGAATTCAGCTACGTCCGCTCTTCCTGCTTCTGCATCATCTGCATCGGGATCCATTCCCACTACTGCTGCTGCTGCTCGCAGTGACCGTGGACACTACGATGACACCGACGATGGCAGCGACGAGGACAGCGACTATTCCGACCGGTGAGGGTTTTTTGGGAGCGTCGTCGGATTTTTCCAACATCGTGGCGCATTGCTAACGCTGTTCTTGTTGCTGTTGGCTGTTGGCTGTGTTTGCTCCACATCCAGGGACTCGGAATATCTATCAGAAAACGAAGAGCAGGAAGACGAAAAGGATTACGTACCAGGTACAGTGTTTGATGCGAGATAATGACTCAAATTTCAGTTCCTAACATAACATTTCTTGTTTCGCAGGAGGATACCACTTTGTCCAGATCCACGACGTCTACAACAGACGGTACCATGTTATTCGCAAGCTCGGCTGGGGGCACTTTTCTACCGTATGGCTCTGCGCAGATCTCCAGTACGCTACTTTACGCGGCTCGTTGTTCATTTGCTGTGTTGCCAGTGTATCGGCTTGCTCATCATCATTCGCTCCAACTATTGAATGCAGAACGAAGGAATATGTGGCACTGAAAGTCGTCAAGAGCTCGCAGCATTACGCGGATGCTGCTCGGGACGAAATTCAATTGCTTCGTGCTGTTCTCACATCGGATGTCAACGATCCCGGGCGTTCAAGAGTTGTCAGATTATTGGATGACTTTGAAATCCGCGGTCCCAACGGCACTCGTAGGGCATTGTTTTCTGCTTTCATGACTTTTTGCTGTTACGGCCTCACCCAGATCTGTGCCTCCACTCATGCCATGTGATCTGTTCTCTTGTTTTTTGTTTGTTTGTTTGTTTGTTATTTGCAGACGTTTGCATGGTGTTCGAGGTTCTTGGAGAGAATCTGCTCAAGATTATGACCCGAAATGACTTTAAAGGCATCTCTATCAAATTAGTGCGCCAGATCGCCTTCCAGACACTTCAGGCCCTCCACTACATGCACTCCAAGTGCGCCATCATTCACACAGACCTCAAGCCCGAGAATATTCTTCTGACGATGCCCGGAGACGATCTCATCAAGCTTGTTGCCGGCGCGGAAGAAGCGGCTAAAACTCGCTCTGGTTGCGCCACTGGAAAGCCAAGGAGCACCCCGGCAGCCCTTCTTAGTGATTCCTCTGTGAAGGTTAGTACGACGATACGTTCGTTTGCAAAAGCGGGAGCCATTACACTCAGCTGCTGGTGCTTTTCGCTTTTCGCTTTTTGGCTGTTGGCCTGGGTCAGCTTTCTCGTGCGCAAAAGAAGCGATTAAAGGCCAAGTTGAAAAAGAAGCAGGCGCAGCAAGCGTCTACGCAGTCCGAGGCGCACGTGTAAGTGACATCTTGGGGTGTACCGTTGTCTAGTTTTTGCGAGATTTTATTGACTGACTTTACACTGGTCGCGTTTGATTCACTGCTCTTGCTGCGTTGATGCTTGTATGGTTGGCATTGAATGATCGGTTAGCGAGTCGGATGATGGGGAGGCTAGCGATGATACAATTCCGATGGAAGTTGGGTCGCCCCCTTCTTCGGCTTCGTTTGGCCCGATTCATGAGCATGACGAAAGCGCTGACGCCAGCCCTGTGCTTGGATCTGCTGTCGTTATACCTCCGTACTCGATCTTGCCGCAGCCCCCATCAGGCTTTGAGTTGGACGTCAAAATTGCAGACCTCGGCAATGCGTGCTGGGTCCACAAGCATTTCACAGATGACATTCAAACCCGTCAGTACCGCTCACCTGAGGTCTTGCTCGGGGCCAACTATGACACTTCGGCCGATATTTGGAGTTCTGCGTGTCTGGTATGTTGGGGGTTCGATGGTTTTGCGTTTAATGTTTGATTCTACTGTGTGTTTTGGTCGATTCACGTCTCTCCTCACTCGAATCCTTTTCCACTTTATTGCCTAGTTTTTCGAGCTGCTCACTGGCGAGTTCCTGTTTGAGCCAAAGACTGGACGAGATTATTCTCGAGACGAAGGTAACAGCAGACCTACTCGGTGTTTGCATGCTTCCAACTTGGTGGCCGTTTCTGTATTCTGACTCTGATTTTTGGGGATTTTATGTGTAATTGCTTGTGATGACATCCGTAGATCATATGGCTCTCATTCAGGAGTTAGTCGGGAAGATGCCGAAACACTTGGCCACCCGTGGCAAGTTTGCCAAGGAGATTTTCAATCGAAATGGTAGGCAGTATTGATGAATAATTGCGCTTTTTGTTTGGATGGAGCTCGTTGTTCAAGAGTGCTTTCGCTTGTCGGCGGGGGGTGGGGTTTGGTTGAAGCGTGCTGACAATTCGTGCGTTGAAAACTTGGCTTGACTATTTTTTGCAGGTGAGCTTCGACACATTGGAAAGCTTTGCATGTGGGGCCTTCGAGACGTCCTGGTGTCCAAGTACGCGATTGACTCGACTGATGCCGACTCGTTCTCCTCCTTCCTGCTTCCCATGCTTGAGCTCAACCCAGTGATGCGAGCTACAGCAGCGCAGTGCCTCCAACATCCATTCCTTGCTGAAGAGCGAGATATTTTTGAGTCCCGGCATGGCAAGCTCAGCTTTGAGTAGACATGTCGCGGTTCGGAGTGATGGGTTGAGCTGTTATTGATTAAACGCAATAATTTTTTGATTTTGAGTTCCAATCCCAGATTCGGTTGTATTCGGTTCCTGACCGACTGAGGTGGAGGTTCTGGTGCTCCTTTGTGAAATTGTGGTTGTCGTGTCGTTGGTTATGGTGCTGTGACTGAGAGAGAGTGCGAGTGATTTATGGGCAACGATGTCTTCTGGCAGGTATGGGTTTCTTATTGATCAACTGACTGACCTTCAATGTGCCCATCGCACCAACAGCCACACGACTATCACCCATACTAGACAAGCCCTTGCACACAAATTACAGACAAGAACGCTACAACAACCCAATCGTTCAACCGAGAGACTCCCAGCACTAGCATCCACACCACCGGTGCCGTCTTCAACCTGATCAATCTTCGCGCTCGCGTTATCATCTGTGGCCAGATTACTCAGTACAATGGCAAGCTTGGTGAGCTCTGCTTTCTCTTTTTGCGCGTCCTTCTTTTTTTGCGGAAGGGGGGTTGTGCGTACGACTGGTTTGCTGAAATCTGTTCAATGCGCGCAGATTCGGTGGAGATGGGACCGCGCTTCTTACACCGTCTGATTTACACGCGCGCGACCATCCAAGGCATTCTTGCGCGAGATTACGTTGATCGCATGGATGAGATGCTGCCTGTGATGAGTAAGCCGGAAAAGTCGCGCTCGAGATTGTTGTGTTTTTGCCAACGCTCTCCATGTCGGAACACCAACTTCCTTTGCTGTCTGGTGTAGTCGACTGGCTCAACTCTGGCAAGCTCAAGTACGAACAGACCGTCGTCGACGGGTTTGAACAGCTGCCGTCTGCTTTGAACGCCCTGTTCCACGGCAAGAATGTTGGCAAGATGCTCGTGCGTGCTTAAGCGAGCGGAGCCGGATGCGCGTGTTGCAGTGGAGCAATGTAGCAATGTTCATGGAACTCAAACGAAAAAAATAAAACTTTCAAACACACATCGCCAAAACGGAAAAAAACAAGATGCATTGCACACATCGCCAACTGGAAGACTTGAAATCGACGCAAAGTCACAAACTTTCAAAGTGCTCCGACCGCCCTGAATTTTAGCACACTATCTATCTTAATTATGTTGAACAAGAATATGAAGAGAGCCAGAGGCTGGGCGGTCTCTGGTTGATTCTGTCGATGCTGGTCGGTCCGAAACAGCAGCTCCCCCCCCCCATCTCGGCTGTTTTCGGAGATCGACGAAAGCAAAGTATAAACCCAACAACCCAATTCTGTTCAATAAACTTGTGCACTCTTTGTTTCTGCGTTATTGACGAAGGTTTGTTTTTGCTCACAAAAAGTGAAGATCATCCCATTGAAGATCAGCTCTGCTTCCATTCGGACTCGCTGATGGGAGGCTGCCATTGGGCTGTCGTTCCACCAAACACACGACTGTACGGGGGGACTGTCCGGCTGTGAAGCAGAAGACGACACGCGGAGTGTGAGTGACATGCGAAGCGAGCGAGCGGCTTCACACAGCTAAAGAACAGATGACTGCGATCACACTGCCTGAGCTTGTCCTCGGGCACAGCGACTGGTGCGAATATTGGAGTCACAAGCAAGTAGTCTGCAAGGGGGCCCAGTGCTGCAGAGGCCCGAGACTGGTGAGCTCGCAGCGGCTCAGAGAATCAGCAATCCAAAAGATAAGATGAAAGACTTGGGGAAATGTTTGACAGGTTGTCAAAACGACCTCGAAGAGCTGTGCACTTATGCCAAGCAAGCAAATAGGGTCGTGATTGGAGCTGGACGAAGTGGAAGGGGTGGGCAAATGGAGCAAAGACAACAAGGAGCGATTTCCACTCATTCGCTGTGATTTCTGTGTTCAGGTTTGCCATGTCGCTGTCTGACGAGGCGATGACGCCAGAACAGCGCGAGTTGTATGAGAGAGTCAAGAATGCGAGTAGTGAGCTTCCGTAAGAGAGCAAAGACAAAATCAAACAGCCGAAAGTGCTGAATTATGACACTGACATGAGGCGACAGTTTAAGTTGGCCTTGGATGTGTGATGTTGAAACGCAGACACTTGCTGAAGCACTCAAGGTGAACACGACGCTCACCCAGCTCGAGTAAGTTGACTGCCTGTAATGAATGAGATCGAGTGACGGATTCGGGTTGCCGAACTGTGGCACTGACAAGTGTCCCGTTAGCATCCCAAATCGATCACTTCGCGAGGATGGTGCGCAGGCAATAGCTGAAGCCCTCAAGGTGAACACTGCCCTCACCCAGCTCGAGTAAGTTGACTGGCAGCGATGAATGAGATCGAGGAACAGATTAGGGTTGCCGAACCGTGGCACTAACGATAGCTTGACAGCCTGCACAACAATCAGATTGGTGATGCTGGAGCACAGGCAATTGCTGAAGCACTCAAGGTGAACACAGCGCTCATCCAGCTCGAGTAAGTCGATTGATCAGCCAAATTCAACGACTGGTTCTTTCACTCAATGTTCGACAGTTTGAGCAGGAACCTGGTTGGTGACGCTGGCGCTCTTTCCATCTCAGAAGCACTCCGAGCGAATTCGACTTTGCAAAATCTCAAGTAAGCCGTTTCAACGTTGAATGCCCATCAACGCAACTCACTGAGCAATCGTTAGTCTGGGATCGAATCAGATCGGTGACGCTGGCGCCCGTTCCATCTCAGAAGCACTCCGACAGAATAAGACTTTGCAAATTCTCAGGTAAGCGTTTTCAGTGTTGCATGCCCACCAACTGCGCAACTCACTGTGCAATCGTTAGTCTGTGGTTTAATCAGATCGGAGACGCTGGGGCTCTTTCCATTTCAGAAGCACTTCGAGAGAATACGACCTTGCAAAAGCTCAAGTAAGCGTTTTCAATGATGAATGCCCAGCAACATCATTACTCACTGAGCAATCGTTAGTCTGGAGTTCAATCAGATCGGTTATGTGGAGGAAACGGTACTGCGCCACAGTATCCATCCAACCTTTCAGTTGTAAGTTCTCTGCTTCGTCCGAGTTTGTTCGTCAACGACTTCATTCTGCTCTTACGTTTCCTTCCAAATTCAGACGCATTGACATACAGGGGCGATCTGGTTCTGTTCGATGCCAGGAAGTTCGCGTGGTCGTGCTTGGCGATCCTTCAGTCGGCAAGACCTCACTTGTTAGGGGAATCGCCGACGGTTATGTTCGACAGGCGTTCTCCAATGTGTTTAATCTTGCCAAATCCACCGATGGTATTGATATTTCAACAGTCGTTCTGCGTGAGAAAGACAAATCCATGATTTTGATCATTTGGGATTTCGCTGGTCAAGAAGTCTATCTGGTTTCGCACCAGTTCTTTCTTCGTGAACGAACAGTCTACCTGGTCCTGTTTGACGTGCGTGAAGACTTGTCACTCCATTCGCGCCTTGCCTTTTGGCTCCGCAGCTTGCACGCTTGCGTTCCAAACGCCGATATCATTCTTGTTGGAACCCACATTGATGATCCGTCATACACTTCGGAGCGGCAGCAAGAGCAAAAACAAAATCTTGACAATCTGCTCAGCACCTTGCAAGAATCAAGGGTTTCGTTTAACGTGCGTTCGGCCGTCTACATCAACGCGCGGAACTCTACGGGGGCCCCGAGCATGCCGGAACTCAAGACTGCATTGTTTCAAGCTGGACAAGACATGCCGTTTTACACCCAACCGGTGGATGGCCGATACATTCAGTTCAGAGACTCGCTACGAAAGCGAGCTGATCAGTTGGTCGCCCAAAACAAACCGCCTCTCTGTCGATGGCATGAAATTGTCGAGCTTGGCCAGTCACTGGGTCTCAGCGGGCGAGCAATCGATGAATTCATGCAGCTCTTGCGTTTTCAAGGCTGGGTCGTTTTCCATCGTCTTGCCGATTCAGCGACCCAAGACCCGCCCGATGTTCTCGCGCTGCAACCAGCAACTCTCCTCGCTTCGATGAATGACATTGTCATCTTGAACCCTCAATGGTTCACGAAAACAGTCCTGACTGGAGTAATAACCCAGAGACCTCAAGATCGATGGGTCAAAGATGGCATTGTGACTCGCCAGGATCTGCTTCGAAACGCTTGGAAGGGCATCGATTCTGCGATTTGTGATCAGTTTGTGCTGCTCCTTCAGCGATACGAGCTCTTGTACAAGATGAGCGATGCCGATCAACCTGGAACCGATTCTGGCACTCGCTATGTCATCCCTTCGTACCTGCCAGCTTACGAGTTTGACCCGAGTAGATGGTCTCTGAAGCCTGCAGCGGGCGAGCCGCATGAAGTTGCCATTGTGATGGAGACAAAGTTTTTGCTGGAGGGATTTTTCTCGAGGCTGCTTGTGCGCTTTCACGAGCGGAAATTCAGTTTGACAGCGTGGAAAGATGCTGTTCTGGTCAATTGCGGCGGTCCTCGAGCACTACTCCGTGTTCATCGCAACGCTTCCAATGTGCGCCTCGAGTTTACCGTGCGTGGGCAACATCCAGAGGAGCTGCTGCCAACCCTGATTGAGATATTGGACAAGCTCAGTTCGGATTGGTATCCTGGAATCTCGTGGGAAACCTACCTGCGCTGTCCCATGCAGGTGCCTCATGACAAACCGTGCAGGTGGCTGCTCCGACCTCAAGTTCGAGACGCGGTGATTGACAAGATGAAAAACTTATCTTGTTCGCACACGCTCGCCACTTTCCGCAAGGAGGAATGGCTTCCTGTTCTCAGCTCGCTTTTGCAGCGTCGCTTGAACGCTGTTTCGCAACCCACACCGGAGGATATCGAAGCGCTACGGCAACTCGAGTGGCAACAAGCACCGTCGAACGAGACCCAAAGTTCGGTGACAGAAGCTGCATCGCCTGTCGCACCACTGGTTGCATCCGAACAGCGACCATTGCTGGCGCCAGCATTGCAGCCGATCATCGATGGACAAACCCAGCATCGAGATTTTGCGAACACAAGTACACCGCAATCTGGAATTTCCACGACTATTCCTCGAGTGGGTATGCAAGAGCTTTCTCAAGTTACTGGCAACTTTGCCGAATCACGGCGCATCGGGGGCGGCGGCTTTGGCAGTGTTTACGCCGGCATTTGGCGTGGTGCACACGTTGCTGTCAAGCGTTTGGCGGCGAATTCAAACCAAGGCATCGCTCAATTTGAGGCCGAGCTCGAATCCCTCTCTCGTTTTCGCCATTGCAACATTGTGACTATCATGTGCTATGCTCAAGAAGGCAACGAATGCTGCTTGGTGTACGAGCTGATGGCAAATGGTTCAGTCCGTGATCGTCTGGATTGCACGAACGGCACGCCTGCTCTGAGTTGGCCACAACGCCAGAGGATTGCCATCGAGGTTGCGCGCTATGCACTTTGTGCAGAATGCTATTCCAGATCAGCCGCTATTCCACTTGGATCTCAAGACGGACAATGTTTTGCTGGACACTCACTTTACTGCAAAAGTCGCCGATTTTGGATTGACGCGCTCCGTGCCAGCTCAGTTGGCTGCACAGAGCTACCTCCATACGCAGACCATTCGAGGAACTCGCCCTTACATTTGCCCTGAGTATCTTGATCACCACGTCGTTTCCATTCGAACGGACGTGTACTCGTACGGCATGATTTTGCTCGAGCTGCTGACTGGAAAGCTGCCTGGTATTGCACTTGCTAGCTCAGTGAAACGTGCGCTTAAACAGCAAGGTCGGCTCGATTCCGAGTTGGATGCGTCGATCACATGGAGCGCTGCAGACAAACTCGCTGCCACCGCACTCGCGCATCTTGCTATTGCTTGCCTGAAGCCTGATCGACACGACCGACCATCCTTTGGCGAGATTCTGTCAAAGATGAGCCAATCTGCCGATCAGGGCAACGCGCATGCTCATGCTGCAATTCCCCACAATCCCAGGATGGAGCATCATCTCAGAAGCATCAAGGAGCAGTCGCAACCTCATCGAAATTCGGATCTCGTGAGCTCTCACATGGAGCAGGAGCAGGAGCAGCAGCAGCACTCACAGGTTGCTGAGGTCGGAGCTGCACCTCTGAATCCTCATCACAGCGCCGTCAAGGAGTGGCTCTCTCCTACTTTAAACTCGATTGTCGTGAACGCTAGCATGCAGTCGCAGCGCTCGGAAGTCGCAGCTGCAGCAAATTCACCACTGTCTCATGATCAAAACAGCATCAATGAGCCGCTGCAGCATGCTGCAAACTCGATTGTCACGAACGCTAGCATGCAGTCGCAGCTTGGCTCCTTCAACGGATCGGACGTGAACCCAGATATCGATCACTAATGTTTCAACGCTCCAAGGACGGCCAAGTTGATGCCTTTGCTGTCACGCATGTGTTTGCGTGTGCTCAAGAAATGATTCAACGGCAGGACAAGTGCGTAGTTTGTCGTGTCGTCCCGACCGCGTAACTGCCGGGTTCTTTCGACCAGACGTTTGTTCCGTGAAGATGTTTGTTTTGGCGTTTTACTGTTTGTGCATGTGATTTGCTTTGATTCAACTTGTCAACCGATGCCCTTTTTTTCGTTCAAACTCGATCCTGTTGGCCTCTGTGTGAGTTGGCGAGTGGAATGGAAACGGAGGGATGGCGGTAATATTCTGTTGTGAGATCGAACGGGGTTGCTCGGTTTCATCGAGCGAAATAGGCTCACTTGACGCCAAATGCTCAATGTCAAATAACAACGGAGCGTGCGCTCGCTTCCAATCTCGGATCGTCATCTCAAAGTCGTCAATCGATTGGAACAAGTCCCGAGGCAGGTTTTGAACAGCATTGTCATGAATGAATTCTGCAACAATCATTTTCTCCCCGAATTGCCGTCCTCCGAAAACAGAAACACGAAACATCCAAACCGGTTCCGAGATACAAAGGTCAAGATTCTTACACGAGCACGAACCTTCCAAAAAAGCAAAAAAAAACCCTAGCACCGAAAGTAAACGCAAAGAAACTGAGACCAGAACAACAAACAACAAAAAAGAAGAGTTACAACAAGCAGTATTCCCGCGTGGTCTCCCACCGCAGTACTAACTACTCTCATGGTGGTTTAACTTCGCAGAGCGGAACGGGATGCGGTGCATTCCACCAGATATGGCCGTAACTGAAAGATGAATGGGGCAGGCAGAGTGAACAGCGGAACGTTCGAACGAGCAGAATCAAAGCGAGATTCCTCATCGATTCACGCGAATCTTGGTGCTTGTACCTGTCGTGAGTTGTTTATGTATTGTATGGTTGTTTTGAAAGTCAGTCTTGTTTTCTTTTCTCAAAATCCTCCGTTCTCATATTCTGAGCCTAGTTTCTGCACTTTCCAGCTCATCCCGCGAAACCTTCTGTACAACCAACCAAACACTCCCCCCCCCTTTCGAACAATGCTTCTTGTCAGAACCCAAGTTTGCGTCCGTCCAGCCGGCGAGGTTAGCCGGTGGTAGTTAATGAGGATTTAGCATATTTTGGTGTATTTGGATGCTTTTGGATAGTTGTCATTGCGCATTTTGTATCAATCAATCGACGTTACCTGGCCAATAGCTCTAAGCCCCAACCTGTGGGAATCGGAGTCTCACACAGGTTCTTGTGCAGTTGTAGTTGTCGTGTCGTTGGTTGTGGTGCTGTGACTGAGAGAGTACGAGTGATTTATGGGCAACGATGTCTTCCGGCAGGTATGGGTTTCTTAATGCTCGACTAACTGACGTCCAATTTGTCAATCCCACCAACAGCTACACGACTATCACCCATACTAGGCATGCCCTTGCATATAAAATACAGACAAGAACACCACAACAACCCAATCGTTCAACCGAGAGACTCCCAGCACTAACACCCACAGCGCCAGCGCGCTCAAAAACACCATCGACACATTTGCCATCACTTCCTTGTCGGTCGGTTGCCGATTCGATCAAAGAAAGCACAAAATCATATTTGTGACACGTCTATCAACTGCTGAGATTGCAGTTGACCTCGATGGAGAGCGAGAGGCAGCCTGAAAGTTGTAGTTTTTGTTTTTTTTGTTTTTTTTTTTCGTTTCGTTTTTCGTTGTTGGTTTTGGCGTTCTGCCATTCCGAAAACGACAACAACACCAACTACAGCAACAACAACAACACCAACTACAGCAACAACAACAACAACAACCAAAAAAAAAAAAAAAGCGAAGGGGAAGGCTGCATTGAAAAAACATGTAAAAAAAAACCCCAACAAAAAAGAACAAAAAAAACATGTCGCGCGTGAGTTTCGATCTCACGACCTTCTCAGTGTGAGTGAGATGCGCTACCACTACGCCAGCGCGACTTTTCGCTTGTGAGTGTCATGGGCAATTTAGTAGTTGTTAGTGCCGAGACGTGATTGAGATCGCGACCCTGCCGTCTGGAATTTTCTCCATCATGCCCTTTTGCCTGGGTCATATGGTCCAATCCAGATGTCTTGCGAGATTACCTTTCCTGCTTCCGACGTTTCATCAATCAAATCACAAGATTTTCAGCCCTCACTGTTTTTTTTTCCTTTGTCCTTTGTCCTTTTCCTTGATTCGTTTTCTGATTTTTGCATGTCTGCGAAGGTTGTGGAGCGCAAGGGCAAGTCGAAGCCAGCGCCACCTGCCCGCTCCGACGTACCGCCGTCCGAACATGCATCGTCGGCTGGGTCTGCAGCGGCCAAAGCGGTGATTTCGGCTGGGGAGCGCGGCCGGGCGAGTCATTCCCCCGTTAGCATCTCGCTGACATCGACCGAGGAGGACGAAACCGAGCACGAGGCGCGTCGCAGCCGCGGCATTGTGATTGACGGCGAGGCCGACACGGACTCGTCTGCAGCGGACAGCGGCAACAACAGCAGCAGCGACGACGACGACGACGACGACGACGGTGTTGTCAAGCGACCGAGCCCGTCGAACAAGAAGGATTTGTCGCTCATCTTTGGCGTGGATCCCGCTCGCGTCAAGCCTGGCCTCGTTGTCGGCGGTGGCAGCGGCAATGGCAGTGCCAGCAGCGGCGCCAGTCTCAACAGCAGCCTTGGCGGGAGCAACAGCAGTCTGAACGTTGACGCCGTGTTCCTCACTCCGGACGGATCGCTCGACAGCAGCGCGAGCAACAAGAGCAAGGCAAGTCGGAGAAACCCTTTTCCACGTTCCCAAGCAAACACTCTTGCGTTAACACAAGCGAACGACTTGCGATTGAAGCGAACGAGGCTGAAGAAGCAGATCAGCGGAACATTATCAAGAAAAAGGGAAAAAAAAACAAACAAAACCAAACAAAAATCATTCGAACGCGAACAAAACAAAAACAAAATAGGGGCAAAATTCAAACCGTGCTGAGCTGCAAGCGACGAGGGAAAGGACGACAAGGAGGATGAGGAGGACGATAAGAGAAGCGGCCTCAGAGCGCCGACTCAGCGACCGAGCGACAGAGCCGAAAAGAAAAAAAAAAAAAACAAAAAAAAAAGACAAGAAACGCATCGAACCAAATTCAAAAAAAAAAAGCAATCTGAGCAAATTTGAACATCCATTCGCAATCCGAAGGCTGGGGTTGACTCTTTATGGATGCATTGAAGTGGCACAGCATGCACCGACTGCGATTATGCTATTGCACTCTATCACGGAGGGGGGCGGGCAAAGTAGGGGTTGGTTTTAAAAGAGGGTTCTGTCTGTCGAACCACGCATTCGGCGTTGCGCAGTTCATTGCGTTCCTGAAGCCAACAACAAGTCAACAAAGATGAGAAGCAAAAAGCAACAACGAATGGAATTGCGTGCATACACACACATTGTGAAGTCTGGGTGTTTATTTGAAAAACAGAAATATTTGAGATGGTTGACGATTTTGCGGCTCACCATTTTGGCTTTCTCTCCCATCATCAGAGAAAATCAAAGCTCGGCATTGATTGGCACAGACTCTCGACCAGACTGAGCGGAGGTGGCTCGGACAGGAGTGGCTCCATGTCGCGGAACTCGTCCCAACGATCGTCCAAGGAGACGGCAAGCGCTGCCATCCCGCCCCGTACAGGCAATCTTTCCGCCTCTTCCAGTATCATTGCGAATGCAGCCTCAGTTTCTCCGAAATCCAGCATTCCTCGGTCTCCATCACAGGGAGATGCGGTCGGCAGCGAGCGATCGAGCTTCTCCTCGTCGCATTCGTCTCCTTTGGCCGTCCCGACGACTGGCACACCTCGTTCGCAGAGTGTCGACTATGGTCGTTCAGGACTGGGGTTCTCGTCGCACTCTCCATCAGAGTCTGGCGGCCTAACCCGCCAGGGAAACAAGTTCTTGAGCCAAATCAGTATTGCCAGCTCCTCAAGCGACCTGTCCGATATCATGGACCGACGCTCAGATTCAATCAGCTCCCCTGGCATCTACCACAGCAATTCGTCCCTCCATTCCCCCAACGGTGGCAGCCGTGCCGATTTGTCCATCACGCGGTCGTCCAACACCCCCTCCAACGACGGATCCCAAGACGACGATTCCGATGATGAGAGTGGCCTCCGTGTGGCAGAGCATCGTCGCTCGCGGCCGCATTCAATGGGCAAGCTTGGCAAGTTTTTCGGCGCCGAGCTCCAAGTGGGCACAGGCAGCGGGAGTCAGCATTCGCCTGGCACAATCTCGGCCCACAAAGGAGGGAAGCTTGGCAAGTTCTTTGGCACTGAGGTGTCGACGGCCTCCTCGTCTCAGGCCGAGTCTGTATTTGGTGTACGATACCCAGCTTGGTCGAACAAGATTGTTTGTTGTTGATTGTTTTTTTTTTTGAATTCGTTTTTTCGGTTTTTGGTTTCTTGGGTTTGGCTCACGTCTGCTCGGCCCACGCATTTGTCGCAGTCCACGCCCTCGCAATCAATGATCCACGAACTGGAGATTATGCAACTTTACGGGAAAGACACTCGGCACGAGTTGTCAAAGGAGAAGGAGCGCCACTGGACTAAGCTCGTTTCTCCTGACGTGTTGCGCAACTTGGATGACCGTACTCGCCGACACAACGAGAATGTTTGGGAGCTTTTTACATCCGAGGTCGACTTTATGGAGTTTTTGCTCATTGTCAAAGAGGTATGGTTGCTTGTCGTTGTTTGATCGATGGCGTTCGGGCTTGGCAATTCATGTTGTGCTCACCTTTCCCCGCCAACCCCATCCAGTGCTTTTTGCAACCCTTTGACGAGCTCCAAAGCAAAGGCTACTTGCACGAAGTCAACCGCAGTTCCATTTTCTCCAACTTTACCGACATCTTGGCATGCAGCGAACGAACTGCCTACGCCATCAAGCGCTCACTGGTCGATCGCTTGGATGGCCGTTCGGTAGCATCCCCGAGCCAAAGCAACGAAGAAGAGGACCATGGACCTGTGTTTGCTGGCAGCAACTCCATGCTTTCGACGGTGTTTGTCAATTCTCTCTTCAAGAATGTGAGCGATTGGTGTTTTTTTTTTGTTTGTTTTGGACTTGCATACGAAGTTGCTCTTCTGCCATTCTAACGTTTGCTATCTTGATTCCGCCTTCGTAGATTGAGTCTGACTTTAAAGACTTTCAAACGTACTGTCTTTTGCATTCGACCGTCTTGAAATATCTGAAAACGCTGGACAACAATTCTGACTTTGTCACGTTCCTCAAGGTTTGTCTGATTCTTTGCTTTTTGACCTGTTCCTGCGCTCGATGCTCACGTTGTCTTGTTGCATTCCGTTTGTCAGTGGTGTCAAGCGCGGCCGCTTTGCCGACGCCTGCAGCTCCGCGATTTGCTCGTTGCGCCTGTGCAGCGACTAACCAAGTATCCACTTCTCGTGCAAGGCATGATCAAACGGGTGCCAGCCGACCATGCTGCGCGGCTGACAGATACTTGCGAGCGGCTCAATCGATTTGTGGCCCAGATCAACGAGAAGATCAATCAACGCGAAAACTACAACAAGTTGACCGCCTTGCAGCAATCTCTCATTGTCTCTCCGGAAGCGGCCGAGGTGGATGGCGCTGCAGCAGTTGTATGTACAAAATCACCCTTGCTTGCCGCCTTGCGAACTGTTTTTCTCACGCGAGCTTGATCAAAATGAGCAGAGCATCAATCTCCTGGCCAACGATCGCAAGTTTGTTCTGGAAGGAAGGCTGAGCAAGGTTGGCAGCTTTGGCATGTACTCGGATCGTCACGCATTCTTGTTTTCCGACATGCTCCTCATCACAAAGCCCCAAAAGGATCAATTCGTGATGTATCGTGCGGTAAGGAGAGAGGCTCTTGAACTGATCGAGCCGCGCATTTTGTTTTGTGATTCGGGAGCCCGTCTCACTGACTGGTTTTACTTCACATTTTTGTCCTCCCCCCTTGATTCGGACAGCCAATTCCTCTCGCTGAGCTTCGACTTGTGCACGTCACTGAAGATTTGGTCAAGCACGGATTTATGGTTCGGCAGCTCAATTCGTCAGGCAGTATTTTGCGAGAGTACACCTTCATGGCGGAAAACGGGCAGGAAAAGTTGAAATGGATCCAGGCCATCACCGAAGCCATTGCTGTCGTATTGCGCGAAGGTTTGTTTCGAGACCTTGTTTTTTTTTTTTTTTTTTTTTTTTTCCCGATTTCGGTCGCCGTCCCGTTTTTCCCCCCCTAACTGCGATATTTCTTCTGCTTGATTTGTTTTGCAGTGTCTCAAAAAGCAAGCCAGAGTATTCGGTCCTGCGGCGATACCTTTGTTCGCATCGCATTGCCGGACGGATTGGGCCTTTCTCCTTCCACTACACTCAACATTTTTTCGCATACCACCATGCAAGAAATCACAGCGCTGGCATGTCGCAAGAAAGAGTAAGTCGATTGGTGGAGTGATTGCAGAGCTTTGTGTCGGTGTTGAATGTGATTCTTGATGCTCACCGTTTGTGACGCTCTGTTATATACGTTTGTTTGTACAGCTTGCCGCCATCCAGCTTTTTCCTCTCGCGACTGGTTTCCGACGCGCAACAGCAACCAATTGCGCTGTATCCAGGCGCGACCGCGGGCGATGTGGCTGCATCGCACTTGATGCTCGTCCTCAAACCCGGCGCTGTCGTTCCCGCGATTTCGCCAACTACCGCTGCTCGCTTTTCCTACGCACAGCCTTCTGTTGCGGTCGAGGACGCAACAAAATCCTTTGCTGTGCTCGAGGACCCGACAAAACCTTCAGTTGTGGCCGAGGATGCAACAAAGTCTTCTGGTTCGTCCAGTCCCGAAGGTTTCACGGCCAACTCGGCGCTTGAGATCGCCTTGGCAAAGATCAGCGCGCTCGAGCGGCGTGTAGCACAGCTGACCGAGCTCGTCTCCAAGAAGGACACGGACATTCAGGACATGCGGGACGAGTTTGCTTCCTTCATGTCCATGCTCGACAACAGAGCTCAGACGATCGCAGGACGTCTGCCAGGCGAAGAGGACGGGTCGGCACTTGTCGCGCGTCGATCCAGCTCTCCCGCGTCTCGTGCAAGCATCACCTCCACCTCGTATTCTGTGCCCGAGGAAGACGAGGAGCCGCCAACAATCCTTCGTATTGGGGACTCTCATCAAGCTGCTTCAGTCCTCTAGTATCCGCTGATTCAGCGCTTGTTCTCTCGCTCGCCTTCTGTTCCGCTCTTTGTTGTTAGTTTTTTTTGCTCATGTGTTATTTCGTCTCATTCACACAATTTATTATCTCAATCACTGTTCTTGTTGGTCAACGGTATATTTTTTGTTTGTCCGAACGCAATCGAACGTAGAAGCGTTGGGCTTTGCAAAATTTTCATTGAACAACAACAACACCATGGCATATCGTTTACTTTCGCCCACCACGTTCCTTCACTGATAAAACGAGGGCAGTGCCAGATTCTAGTTGATAGAAAGCAGGCGTAGTGTCCTTCAAGAATGTAGACGTGCCCGCAATCTGCAACTTTTGCTTGGCTGCTGGCATCAAAGTGTGCTCTTGAATCATGCTCTTCAATGTCACGAAGGAGGTCAGCACGGAATCCAATGTTAGCTGCAGCACTTGGCCGGAACATTGCCAGCCATTCTTGTCCCCGACAAGATTGGGAACTTGCACTTGGAGGAGAATAGGACCCTGAAGGTACAAGCAACAACAAAGTGAATGCAAAAACACCCTCCTCAGGGCAAAAGGCAAAAGAAAAAAGCGCGAAAGCGCATCGTACAGGATGGGTGGCTGCAAAATGTTGCTCTGCAGGTCCGATCGAGTCGTCCATTCGCACACGTTTGCTATCCGGCTCTTCGTTGGCGTCGCGGTCGGGTAGCCGCATGTCAAGCGGGGGTGCAAGGTTTGGCAGTTGCGGGGCCAAATTGACACCGTACTGACAAGTTGCAGTGGTGGAGGAAAAGCGAACGGGTACAAAAGAACAGAGAACATCAAGTAAGCACCCAGAACACTGGCCATTGAAACATTCACACACTTGCATGTCACCACAAGCAAAGAAAGCGGCCTGGAACAATTATGAACATTCTTACCATGCCGCCAGAAAGCGGGAGCAACGGCGCTGCATTGGGACGGGGCACGAATTGCTCATGCTGTTGCTGCGGAGGAGGAGGAGGAGCAACAGCTCCCAGCAATGGCGCGCGCGCAACGGGCGGACCGCCGCCCAACATTTGGAGACGATCGGAATGGATGGCTGCTCGGGCGCTCAAGGCTGCGGCGTACTGCGCCTGTGCCTCGGCCCCCAGCGCAACCGGCGGTGGTGGCATCTGTGGCGGGGGAAGCAAGGGCTGCGACTGCGATGGAAGCATAGGCGGAGGGAGCAAAGCAGTCGGCGGAGGCGGCGCGCCGTGCATGGGTGGACCTGGCAACAGTGGTGCTTGGCGGTTCTCAGACGCCGCAACTTCAAATGCACTCTCGGCAAACGCTGGTACGCCTGCACCCGAGGGCTCGAAAGCAGCAGCGTTGGCAGCTGCCAGCGCTGCAGCCTTCTCTGCATCCGAGGCGAAAATGTCTCCTCGGCGCTGGGCAAACTGCTTGAGCGTGCTGCCAATCTGCTCACCAGACGCAAACATGGCTTCAATCTCCTTCTTCTCGTGGAGCATTTTGTCGCGCTGTTCCATCCAGCGAGGATCCAACAGCTCAACACGAAGATGCTCGGCGAAATCGGCCAGCGGCACCTGTTCCTTGCATCGCGGACAAACCTGGTATGTCACCTTATCAAAGCCAGCGGCGGCACCGGCGCGCTGCTGCGCCTTCGGATCATAGCCGCGAACAACACGCGCTGCGCCTTGCACACCCGGGACGAGTGTCGGGGCGACAACCACTGGCGCTGCCGGAGCAGGGCCACTAGGAACACTGTCTCCGCCTTCATCTGTTGGGACAAACACGCAGACACCAGTGGCAACAGCAAAACGAGCATCCATTCAACGTGAGCAAGGAGAAACAGCAACAGCAACAGCAACAGCAGCAACAACAGCAGCAACAACAACAATAACAACAACAACAACAACAACAACAACAACAACAACAACAACAACAACAACAACAACAACAACAACAACAACAACAACAACAACAACAACAACAACAACAACAACAACAACAACAACAACAACAACAACAACAACAACAACAACAACAAAATGCAGCAGACCCGTACCTCCATCTGTTGCAGTCTCCTCTTGATGCATAAACTCTTGAATGCGCTGCTGAGCAACAGCGCGCATGCCGAGTTGCTCGGGCTTGATTGGAGGCGGCAGATCCGGGTCGTTCTCAAAGGAGGAGTACTCGACCGTTTCCACAATCACGAAATCATGCCAATCGATCGAGTTGTAGGCCACTGCAGCGCCAAAGGACACAACAAGTTTACAG